CCAGCAGCAGCTTCACTGCAAGTTTGGACATGTCACTAAATATACCTATGGCTCATTTATTTTCTTCGCATTACAACCAGGCAATTGCTTTGACTCTGTTCCTGTAGTGCATATTATATAGATGCATCTCTACAAAGATGGCGTTAGATACTTAGAGACAATAAAACAAAGATAATTATTTACTAAATAATTTAATTGCTATTTAGTAAATAGCTCAATTTAGTGACTTGGTAACTGAATTGCAAAACTTTGGCAACTGTAACTGATTTGGAGAAAAAAATGAAACTACCCATCTATAGCTACGGTTTGGCAATTTAGCCTTCATTTTGCAGTTCACGTTTTATATCCATACCAAAAGTCCTGGATTGGTAGGGCAGTCAAATTTGATGCTTCTGTCTCGCTGCCTGCATTAAAGGGACGCTAGAGTCACCAAATCAACTTTAGCTTAATGAAGCAGTTTTGGTGTATGGATCATGCCCCTGCAGTCTCACTGCTCAATTATCGGCTATTTAGGAGTTAAATCACTTTGTTCATGCAGCTCTAGTCACACCTCCCTACATGTGACTTTCACCGCCTTCCTAAACATGTCCTGTAAATAGGTCTAAAGGTTAAAGGGACACTGTTGGCACCCAGACCACTTTATCTCATTGAAGTGGCTGATGCAGTGTCACTGCCCCCCTTAGTCCTGCAATGTAACTTATAGCAGTTTTCTGGACTACGACTGCCTCTAATGGCTCTCAATCAGACAGCTAATAGTGGCGCTTCCTGGTTGCTAATGGACTTTTGATTGCCTAACTGACACGTCAGTAGAATCACCTTAGCAAAGCTTAGAAGCAATGCTTTCCTAAGGGGAGGGGCTAATGCGCTTGCAGCAATCATCACAGATGCGCTTTAGCCCCCTCTGTCAGATGATGGAGGAGGAGGCCGCACGCCAACCCAGCGCAGGTATCGATGCTGGAATAGGGTAAGTGACTAAATGTTTTTTTACCCTTTATCTGCCGGAGCAGGCTGGCATGAGGGAGGGGAACTAGAGAATCCTTTTAAACTTCCTTTTAATCAGCACAGGGTGAATGCATCATTAGACGTGCACGTACTATCAAAACTGAACTCAAGGCATTGTGCTCATATAAGAGCACTTTAACAGCACTCTGTGAAAGGGTTAATGTTGTAATGGACTCTAATCCCCTCGGTTCTCGATCCCTCGGTCACCATAATCAACGTTGATGGAGAATCATTTGTAAGCAATAACACACGGACAACCGCTTTACAAGACTCTCAAATGAGTGTATTCCAGAGCTGGCTTTTATACATAGTTTGCTTACATTAGCCATGGTATATGCAAATACAGTACAGACTATAAGATTTATTACTTCCTTATATTACGTTATTCTGACAATGGAAAGATAAGCTTTTGCATACGTCTGGAAAAGAATATCCTTAAAATCGGAATGGGCAAGACATCCTGAAATTTAGCATTGTCTTACATCCTATAGAAGAAATACCTTAGTCTGTCACAGTCAGCATATTGACTTTAAGTATTCAATATCCCTTCAGTCAGCAATAATCATGTTATAAACCTTATAAAAGCATAAAATACATATAAACAAGTTAACTATTTAATATTCTTACATTCCCCTCTTTGAGCAATAAAACAATTGCTCATCTTATCGATAAAATCTTATCAGGACAGAGAAACTTCCACATGGTATTTTCAGGGGTGCTAGTCACTCCCTGCGGGACTTTCATTAATTTCTTCACCTCGATTCCCATGTGGTAATTCCTACGGCCCAGTTTAAAGATGGGTTGATACCCTCCAGTGGCAGAGAGGAGAATTTCTAATTGTTTCTGTTCTGCATTATGGATTCATTTCTGTACTCTCTTCCTCAATGTACAAGTAAGGTGACAGTTATATAAAACCATACACAATAAAATCAGGACTATAATAACAAAATGATAGAAGAATGATTTCATTATCTGGGATCCAGTAGGGGACCAACCAGTAAAGCATTGTACCAATTATGGGCTAAATCATTCTGAATTTGTGAACTCACCTTAAGGAGTTCTCCTTTTAGGATATGTGTGGCTACCTGTGTATGTTATCTTTGGGAAAAATATAGTCCCCTGTGTATGTGGGTGCCCACCAGGTTAAATTCTTGGCAAAAAGATCATAAACTGGTACTGGTAATGTGTTAAATTGACAAGCTAATTTAACATCCTTTGATGATGTATGATATAATGTAAAATAGCATGAGCATGAAAAATGTGAAACATTACCAGTTAACCATTCATTGCATTTAGTGGATTGGGGTTTTAGAAGTAACCATTCATTATCTGTGAGATTACACTTTCCACTAATCTTCTCTAGTTTGGGAATCATTAGTGTGTTTTCTAATGCCAATCCTTGTTGTTGTATCCATAAATACCTGATGGCACAAGTACTCCAGTTACTTAGATCTGTAGTGAATTTCATAGTTGCAACAGTTAAATTATCTAAATAATTATACATTGATTTATCTAAATCCAATCCTATAACCTGTGATTTAACAACAATTGGAGCCCAATTTGCAGTAGCATGAAAACCAGTCCCTATATGCATGCTGGCTGTGTTTAACTTATTCTTGAGGGTCTCCATATCTATAACTATTTAGTATACCCATAGTGGTTCCAGCACCTCCTAACAGTGTGTCATACCATTCCCTTTTCTGCCTTTTGTTTGTTGTGTTACATAATGTTACAACAGGAGTAGTGATTTTTAATGACACATGTACAGCTTGTAAGAAGGCAGTTGTATTAATAAATGTGGACGGAATAGGTGTGTGTGTGTGTGTGTCGTTGTTGACTTTTGGTTCTATGGTAGAGGATAAAGGACAGTAATAAGGTGTAAAAATATAAGGTAGTGTATAGTTCTCAATTGTAGTGTTGTTCATAATGACTAACATTTGTCCCCTTTTCCAATTAATGATACCAGTTGTATAATCATTATTAAAAGTAATAAGGCCTGTCTGTTTACATTGATATGCAACCTTAACTGTGCACATTTCTGCGTTATAAGATCTAACAATTTTCTGTGAACCTTTAAACAAACATAATGCATCGGTTTCATTAGCTGTAGACACATTTCATATGGGTAACTGGTACTTATAAGGGTTACTATTTGTCCAATTCATCCAAATGCGTTCAGTGAATGAATGATTGCATATTGCATGCTGATAGAAAGGTGGTGGAGAAAGGTTCTTGAGGGGGCGTGTGTGACGAATGCTAGATGAGGGGCTAAGGCCTAATTGGGCTGGGGGTATTGAAGAATTGTTCATCATGTCAGAGTCTTTTTCCAGAACTTGCCATTGACTTGTACTCATAATGGCATTCAAGGAACAATATCAGAGGGAGTATAACAACTCCAGAAAGCATAGCGCACAACATAATCTTGGTCTCAGGTACGTATGATCCTCTCAATCTACGATATGGTGTGAAAGCCATGACGCTTCGCTGAGGAGAAATTCTTCTGTTTCCGAGCGAGGAGTGGTGTTGTCTTCCTTGGTTCCCCTCCTTGGACACAGCTTCACTCGGGATGCGTGAATCCAGATGTCATGGGATTCTGTGAGGACAGCGGTTCTGGTTACAGCAATCACAGTAGCAGGTGGTCCAAAAGGGTATCCTCCTTTCTTGGTCCTGTTCAACTGACGGATATACACCTTGTCACCGGGCTGGTATGAATGAGTAGGTTCCTGTGAAGGTAAGGGAAAACTGCGAAGAAACATTGTCATACATACCATTCGGTTTTATCAACAATTCACCTTGTGGGGATTCATTCTTATCTCAGCTAAAATAGCTGGTAGATATCTTGTCCAATTTACCCATGTTCCTGGGTAAATTCTGGGCTTTTCCTTAATAGTCCTATTCATCCTTTCAACTACCCCTGTATTCTGTGGATGATAGGGTATATGAAACTGCCAGGTAACTTGCAAGAATTTAGCAAGTTCCTGGGCAACCCTACTGGCAAAAACCGGGCCATTATCAGAGCCAATCTGCAGAGGGCAGCCATACCTGGGAATAATTTCAGTAACAATAAACTTCACTAGCATCTTCCCTAGATGTCACAAAGGCCTCATGCCATCTACTAAACTGATTAACTATGACCAGTAAGTATTGCTGTTTCTTACCAATTTTGGATACATGAATAAAATCAATCTGTAAGTGTGTAAAAAGAGCAGTGTTCACACGATCTTACAAAAGACTGTACATGCTGCCTGAGATTCCTAATATAAAATGAATTCATGAGGAATTGAATGGTGCTTGCTATGTGCCTGACTGATGAAAATAAATCAGCTTGCTTCAAGTATGCCTATTCTTCAAGTATGCCTATTCTCCCCTCTTTAGAGAACAGATCATTTTGATCTTTCTCTAAACCTTGTTTAATCCAAAAGACAGATTCTGGGTATTAAAAAAAAGAATCTCATAACCACTGAAGCGCTGGGCTGTCATGTGTTGTGTGGTGAGATTTGTCATCAGCTGAGTGACCTGGTGACTGGCATGAAGTATTGTAGGATGCCCTAGTGTGATAGTAGTAGCAGTTTCAACAGCCATTGCACATGCTATCAATGCTCTGAGACACGCCGGCATACCCTGTACCGGAGCTCGAACTACTTTGGAAAAGAATGCTATGGGACGCATACCGCCTCCTTGCTCTTGTGCACAGACCGCGGCCATGGTTTTACAATTGTCCCAAGCATACAAATGAAATGGTTTACAATACACAGGTAGTCCTAAAGCCTGGGCTTGCACAATAACAACTGTAAGGGCAATATATGCAGCTAGCATGTCTGGTGACCAGCAGACATTTTCAGGGCTGTCAGAACGTACAGCCTCCCTTAGGATTGAGTCATAATGGGAGCATTCAGGGATCCATTGGTGGCAGTAATTAATCATGCCGAGGAAGGTGAGCAACTCCTTCCGAGTAGTGGGTGTAGGAATCCTCTGAATGACCTCAATACGTTTTGGACTCAATTGTCTGGTGCCTAAAGCCAGAACAAAACCTAAGTATTCAACCTTTGATTTACACAATTGCATTTTGTGTTTAACAACCTTGTGACCTACAGTTGCTGACAGTATCCACAGTGCTTGCCTCATAGCTAGGGCTACATAACAACAAATCATCAACATTTTGCAAAAAGGACGGAACCATGACCGGTGGTCCATGTTTTTTAGAGTATGTTGGAGTACCAACGAATAAACAGCTGGGGAATCCACATAGCCTTGGGTAAGCGTGTCCAGGTAAACTGACAGCCTTCAAAAAGTAAAAACCATAAGTAGCTGTGTCTCTTGATCAATAGGTATAGAAAAAAATGCATTACTTAAATCAATGACAGTGAAGCAAGTGGCATCATGTGGAATGGCTGTAATGAGGGATGTCACATCAGGGACAATGGGTGAAATGGGCACAATTAAACTATTCAGGGCTCTAAAGTCCTGAACTAAGCGATATGCTGGCCAGTGGTGTTGGGAGTGGGTCTGGTGTTGTTCTTGCCTACCGGGCATATTTTGAGAATTGTGGGGTTGTTGGGGTGTGTGGGGTTTCCTGGGGTGTGGACACTCATTCCTCCAGTGGCCATATTGGCCACAGTTGAAACAAGTGTTCCTGTCTATTCCTCCTTGGTTACCCCTGCCCCTATAACCCTGATTTCCCTGTCTCCATCCCCTTGCCCCTCTTTGACCACCCCTTCCACGGGCTTTATGTGCTCCATCCCATCCTCGCTCTCAGCCTGTGTAGCTGGACATAATATGTTGCAATCCCTGAGCATAATAAGCAACCTTACTTTCCTAAATCTTTTCTTAATTCAAAACAACCTGCATTTTCCTTTTCTATAACCTTGGTAAGAAAATCTGAGCTATCCAAATTGGCCCAGTCTGAAATCAATTGTTTCACAAGCAAATAATACTGTGGCAACATATTACCAAGGCATGACTGTATTTTAAAGAGATCTATATCATCTCCAGACATCAAACCTGCCTCATCCTTCCAACACTTGTAAAATTTCTTTACAAAAATCATATTACCAATCTCTTCCTTTGCATCTTGCTTATATGCCAAAGCAGTGAATATAGACTGCTTATTCTTCCATAATCCCAACATTTCAGCTTCCACCTTGTTCCAGATTTTAGCACATCTTACTGAAGTACTAAGCTCATAATCACCAATTCATTTCAAACCATATAACTCATACTCAGCATCCAATGTAATATTACACGTCATCTCACAAAGCAATATCTTTGTAGAAACACATAATGGGTACCCAGCAGATATGCCAATACAGAAATCACATTTATGGGCACACAACTACACACTCTGTCTCCCTCCTAGGAAACACAGATAGACACAATATAAAAGCAATCTTAAACTAACACCTCCAAATCTCCAACTATTCTTGGCCAAAACGCTAGTATTCAACAACTAATAAAACAGTTATTTGCTAGGTTATTTGGCTGTCATTCTTATCAGTATCACTAGACTGAAACAAACTGATTCACATATAATTTAAAACAATACAGCAACATATAAATTAAACCACTTTCAAGTTAAACTGCACACTTATCACACATTATCACAATCACCATTTACACAGAATAAACAGTTAACAGCTGTATTCAGAACATATTATTGGAAGGTATACCAATTTTAGTTTAGATTTATTTTAGGGATTCTTATGTGTACATTTTCTTAATTAACTTCATTACTTTAATCTACTATAGTATTGTATTTAAAGAAAGGATCCATTTATATAGCGCGCTCATAACTCAACTATTTGTATAAAACTACCATTAACTAATCTGAGATGATGCTGCATCAACTTAAATCTTATAGAAATTGAACAAACATCTGGACCAGATTAAACAGACATGGTTTCACCTGAATCTTTCAGAACTCTCAGAGACTTAAAAAATTTATACTATACCATGTTTTAAAGGCATGGCAAACCTTTAGACCGGTCAGTCTCCAAGAGCCCTTAGTAACACAGGTAAAAACCTTTGTCCATGATGTCTGATTCAGGCTATATACCACAATTTAAAAATAACACATAATGTGAGACATAGAAGACACAAGCAGTAGTTATTACACTGGATCATTTAAAAGGAACCTGTTGCAATAAAAAGGTTAGTTTACAGTGCAAAATAAAGCATGTGTTGGACCGCTGAAAATGTAAATGTTGCTCTGTTATTTTCAAACATAAATCATATTTAGTATGGATCCTTTGCAACAAACACACAGGGCAGGGAAGATGTGCTGATTGGTGTTTCTATACAATTAATCCCATATGGGGAATTAACTTTCAAATACTAATGAAGTGACTTTTTGTCTCAGTTATAAAATATACTGAGCTCATCATGCAAACAATGCAACACATTTACACTATCCCACTCTCATAATAAGTGTAGTGGGCTTATAGTATTTTTAAAGCAACAATCATTCCAGGCACACAGTTCCCATGTGAAATAACTTACAATAAAACAGAGTAATAAACTTATACTTCTATGCGACAGAAAGAATAAAGCAAAAAGATTTAAGTAGGTCTATCAGGTACAACCTGTGAGTCATTTCTTTTCTAATATACAGTACTGCTATCTTGCAGAAAGATAAGTCCTGCGCTCACTCCCATCACTACTGGGCAGCAGCAAGGACTACAGTACACATCAGCCCCAATATATGGTAAAAACCAAAGAAAAACAAGTTACCTGCGTTCTCTCCTTAATCCCTATGTATTTTTAAAACCTCCATTTGTTTAAAAGTACTGCTATCTTATATATACACATATACATATACACACACATATATACATACATATACACATATATACATACACACACATATACATGTACATATATTGGTCACTCAGGACATGAACTCACATTTCCCATACTGCTGATTCAGAGTGGGGACACTACTAACTTACCAAAGTGTGTCCCCAATATAGACAAACAATCACCCACAAAAAACACTTAAGACAAACAAAGGTGACCGGGAGAAAGAGAAGTTTGGGTTATACTTATAGATCTACAAACCGTGCTGCTCAGAACACCTATAGACTTAATAAACCGGAGACCTCTTATGGTCTCAAAAACCTGTATCTACCTGAGATACCCTGTATCTATCTTAGATACTAACCTGGGTTACCAAAACCCTATAATAAACCGGAGACCTCTTATGGTCTCAAAAACCTGTATCTATCTTAGATACTAACCTGGGTTACCAAAACCCTATATATATTTAGACCAAATGTCTAATAAACCGGAGACCTCTTATAGTCTCAATATAACTAGAGTCCTTACACCTTTCCTATCTACTGGATACAGTCTTACTGAACCAAAGGGGGGTCATAGACAATCAGCGTCAAATAAGACACAAAAAGGCTACTCACCGCAAATGGTTTTGCTGATCCACTTCATCTATCCCACTTCTAGACACCAAGCTGAAAGGGTTAATGTTGTAATGGACTCTAATCCCCTCGGTTCTCGATCCCTCGGTCACCATAATCAAGTTGATGGAGAATCATTTGTAAGCAATAACACACGGACAACAGCTTTACAAGACTCTCAAATGAGTGTATTCCAGAGCTGGCTTTTATACATAGTTTGCTTACATTAGCCATGGTATATGCAAATACAGTACAGACTATAAGATTTATTACTTCCTTATATTACGTTATTCTGACAATGGAAAGATAAGCTTTTGCATACGTCTGGAAAAGAATATCCTTAAAATCGGAATGGGCAAGACATCCTGAAATTTAGCATTGTCTTACATCCTATAGAAGAAATACCTTAGTCTGTCACAGTCAGCATATTGACTTTAAGTATTCAATATCCCTTCAGTCAGCAATAATCATGTTATAAACCTTATAAAAGCATAAAATACATATAAACAAGTTAACTATTTAATATTCTTACACTCTGTACCCGGACTTCTCTGAGTTGGGCAGGAAGGCCAATCTGCAAGTCATCCTAATTGGTATTTAGCAAACAAATCCAAAAGACTGCACTATTGTGTTTATTCAATAAACAGTGTAATGTGGTGAAACAGAATCACAAAAACTAGCATCAAATAGCCAGTTTGGAAGAGGATCTTAATTGGAGAATTCTTTCAGCTCAGGTATTTTGGTCTGTGTTTTGCAATTCATTTTTGAAATGCACTGTTTAGTAAATCAACCCTCAAGTCTCTAGTTTCCTGTTCTGTGTTGTAGTCAAAAGATTACTAAAGGAACATGCTAGTTTGGAGTCAGCCCCATTTTTATATGCAAAATACTATAAAAATGGTGAGAGCACACTAAATAATTTTATATAGCTAATGCATTAAAAAATATGGTTTAAAAAAAAAAAAAAAGGGAATCCTTAGATTCTCCAGTTGGCGTGGAGACACAGAGAATATACCTAGTTATGTCTGTAATGACTGCTGGAACCAGGAAGTGGCTGCGATATCACAGCCAAGCACTAGCACTGTGCATGGGTGCAACGCCTTGTCATAGCAATCAAGTATAATATTTCTGTTAAAATAGCCCAACTTTGGCTACATTTAAATTGGATACATTTTTAATTTTAATTTGCCCTGTATTTTGAAAATCATTTTGCATTTTACTGGAATGTAATGTTTATTAAATAAACTATTATGAGTTTGATAGTTGAGTTAAAGTACTTTATTAACAGTGTCCCCTCTTCCACAAAATAAAAAAAGCACTGAATTCTGTAGACATTGGCACTTTTATAAAGGTGTTAAGTTTCACCCTCCAAGCAATCAATCAAAGAGCAGGGAAGGTGCTCTTCCTGATGGCTTTGAGTCCCAGCACAAAGCGGAAAGCGATGCTTCTAGCAGAGATTACACACAAGCACACTGCCTCTCTATGCTTCTCAATGAGAAGCATTCTGTTGTCCAGGAGATCAGAACTGATCTATGGACAGGTGGAACATTTTGCCTCTGGATTAGAGGTAAATTAACCCTTTATTTTGCAGTTTTGAGAGGTGACTTCAAATCTTGAGCATTATATATAAATGCATGTATGGAGTGTTCCTTTAAAGAAGGCTCATAAGTCCCCAAAAAATCTATATATAGATCAGATCCCTTTCTATCCATCTCACAGTTATTTATTGGTCTTTTTTTACACAATATATATATTTTTTTTAACACTGACCATTTATAAATAAGTCTAATCAGCTTGTTACTACTTCTGTGGATAAAAGAGTGACTAGTTTCATAATTAGTTTCAATATATACACGAAAGCTTGTTTGTTGGATTTCTATAATCATTTTTGCTTCTGCTCACATCGACTTTAATCCTAATATTATGTGGCTAGGTCTCTGGCTAGCGGGATTCGCTGTAGGATATGTTGCTGTCATGGAAACCATCCCTGCGACCCACACAGCTGGTTACAGAGCGACTGGAATTGTATGTTGTGCTGTAACTTCAAATCTAATTCAATTCCAATTGCACATAAAGGTTGAAGTACTTGATGAGGGTCAGAGAAAGAAGAATACCAGGCAAAAATCATCTTAAAGGAGAAATGTCCATCTACAAAGGGCAGTTAAACATATAATTCATTTAAAAAAAAAAAAAAGACTTGTTATAATTCTCTGTACATTTCCACATACATTTTATTCTATTGAATAAATAAATCTATTGAAGGCACCCACATGTTGGATACAATGTGTAGGTTAAAGTTAGTTATAAAGAAAATTCCAGTGAAAAAAATTCTCTCTGGAATAATAGGTAGGAAGTCCCTTTAACCATCAGATGGATAATATAAAATATACCTTTTATTAGTTAATTTAAAAATATGTATGTATTTTTCTCATATATTTTTCACGGACTGAGATACAATAGTAATACCAAGGGTTAATTCGGTTTGTTTCCCTTAGGGGCTCTCCACCAATCATCAGGCACCACGGTCATAGGGTGTGTGGCCAATTCGTATCCTGTTTGGGCGCGAATGGTGTAACCACGCCCCCCCTACAGTGATTGGCTATGTGCAGCTTTAAATTGTTACCGGAGAGCTGCGTCCGGTTGCCTTGCCTCAGACGAAGGCGCGTTAGCAGCGCCGAAACATATGTTAGGTAGTTCCAGGCGTCTCTAGACAGGCAGTTAGAGTTAGAGTCTCCAGATCGCTCTCTCCAAATGTTGGATCGGACTAGTTCTTTACAAGTGCTAGAGTTGTTTTCAGTGGGGGGAACTATCAGGAGTTTTGAGTTGATTTCAAGTGGGAATTGAAGGGGATCTTTTGCTGCTGCTATTACACCTTTATTCTTGCTCCACTATTTTGGGCTCGTGTTGATTCAGATAACCCATTTATATCCAGCAAGCATTGAATGATTTTTTGTAATACCTCAGAATTAGGACGACAGATTGCCTAGGCACCTGCTATACATTTGTCCTTTTTACCCAATTATTACAGGAGATCTCTCTCTCTTCCTTTATTGTTACACTTTAGTTTTATTTTTTGCTTGATTACCATGGTCCTTTTCTCTGATTCAAACGGCCCATGTTTATCATTCAAGCATTGTCAACATTTTGTATCAATTTACAACTAGGGATAACTTATAATCATTCAGTGTGAGCGACTCACAGTATTGTTAGTTCGCTCACTTCATTAATATCTCTCATTCTCCCAGAGTGGGGACTCTATGTTTCATTGGTTGATACTATTTTGTTCTATATCAATAGACTGAGTTATCTCATCTTTTCACAACCAGTGGACATACTCACCAATCTGCCTGTCTATATGTTTTATTTTTCATTTTTATTCATTCCTACATACATATTTTTAAATTAACTAATAAAAGGTATATTTTATATTATCCATCTGATGGTTAAAGGGACTTCCTACCTATTATTCCAGAGAGAATTTTTTTCACTGGAATTTTCTTTATTCTCTACTTAAGTAAGGGTTATCCCCTATGAGGTTGTCCCTGACACATTAACACTATAGTCTCCCTATTGGGATACTATTGTTTCTCTCTTTTTTCTAAAGTTAGTTATATCTATTATTTTTATATATATATATATATATTTTTAAACAAAGATTTATTTACATCACATGCAGATCATCCTTTTTGCACAACCCTCCCAACCCACTTGTTATGAAAATAAAGCTCTGTGTAATTATTATTATTATTATTTTATTATTTATATAGCGCCAACAAATTCCGTAGCGCTGTACAATGGGTAATATACTGCAAAGGTGTCTGGGAGTTGCAGTTTACTTGTGAGTGTTCTACGATTAAAAACAGACTGTTGAACTATACGCCCTAGAATCCTCTGCTGTACCCATAGATGAGGGACATGCTTCTTACTATATAAGTAAGTATATACTTGTGGCGAAAGGGACCTCGCCACTGTTTTTTGGAGGGGATTGATTGCCAGCCTCATGCCTTGGGACTATGGCCCCTGGGAGATTGGGCACTTTAAAAACAGCATTTGGGGCTTATGGACTTCTATTGGACTATGTATGGCCCTTGTTAAACTTAAACCCCATGGCGATTTTATTCTGTTCGTGGGATCTGAGTGCTGTTTGGATATATTGAGCGCTCAGATCCAAGCTATCTGGGAATAGGTTGAATGTGGGGGTTCTGTTCAGTATGATGGGAATTATGTATTTTTATGTGTTTTTACTGTTGTAAATGCAGATATTTTCTGTATGCTGGCGATAATTGGCTTACCACACCCAAGCCATGCTTGCAGTTGGTCAAAAAGGGATTTCCAACTAACTTTTGAACCACTGGACCAATTTGTATGATTTTGACATATGTTTGTATTTGGAGTATGCTGATTCTAAAAATTTAAGTTATACGTGAATGTAATGTATATTTTTAAAGTTACAGTGTATGTGTAAAAACTGTATTTCTCTGCCTGTGATAATTACATTAACCCAATGTATAAGGCAGAGGGGAGGATTTTGTGTGGGAGTGTCTGTGTGTTGTACTTCAAAACCCTGTGGGCGGTACTATGGTTGTAGAATGGGCGTAAAAGCAGAGTGTTTGAATAAATGTTCAGTTCTACTTCACCCTCAATTTGGAGTGCCGTCTCTTATTGGGGGAATCTACTACAAGGGATTGCTATGCCAGTCATACTCTCTTGCTATATCACAACTAAGCTCTTGTAAGAGCTTGTTCCTGCTTTGCTCTGAAGAAAGAGAGGTAAGGCCTGCGGTGGTTGTGGTGTCTGTTAGAGTGCTTGGAGCCCTCAGGAAGCGCTAGGAACATCCTTCAACGGAGGTACCCAGTCGGGGTGCCAGGTGATCCGTTAGAATACCCCTCTGTTCCCGTGTGTCCAACTTGTCTGGTTACAACTACATGTCTGTTCGTCCACCCATTGTAAATCGCTGCGGAATTTGATGGCGCTATATAAATAACATAATAATAATAATAATAATATAAATTTAAAGAAAGTTCACTGTTGACTGAGCACCTCCTGGTTTGAGCAGAATTTGCAAAGCCTGGTGTTTTTATAGCAAATTCAGAAAAGTTAAAAATTTTTTTTTTTTATTTCATTTTATTTTTTTTGAGACATTTTGCCTGAAAGTTTTATTTCAATGCTTTGTCTATATAATGCATTACAAAGAATGACACAACTCCTGCCTGAACTGCTCGTTTAAATGTACACTTTATTCAGTAACACAACTTGTATGCATTTTTTTTTAGTTTTTGCCCTATTTGTTTGTGTTTTTTGTATGACTAATTTTGTATATTTAAAAAAAAAAATAAGTTTTGCAGTATTCTGTATCTTAACCCTGCTTCTTATGTCCCATCTTCCTATTCGAAAATACTTCATTCTTGCGAGTTACTATACCGAGCATCATAAATCCTATATTTTCCATTCCTCCCTTCTAACCTGCAATGTTTACAATAACACACATGAACATATCATCTGGAAGCACAGCAAACGGTTTCGGGAGTTGTGACTAATAAGTGAAGCCTTTAAAACCCCAACTAAGGCTGTACACAGAGAACTTTGAAATCTGCTAGTCAAACGCTTTCTCCGTACACACCACACAGACAGTTTGGTAGAGAAATGAGAGACACAAGTGCAAATTGTCTTTGTGGGTAGGATAGTGACTCAAACTTCTATTCTCAATAGAGTTGAACAAAGCTTTTAAGAGTAAAGAAATTGAAAAGGGTTGATGTAAATGTAACTAAATATAAGTATCTCAATGCAAAGTTTTTATAACTAGCTAATTGCTTTAACCCCTGTACCTCCTATTCTGTGAAGTTACAGGGAGAATGTTGCTTCTTCCTGACTGAACAAGATCTAGTATTGTATATTGCACATGCCACACAACGTAATTAATTTACACAGGCTCTCAAAAAAAAAAATGGAGAACGTTTTTATAAAAGGTGTATGCACATATTTGGTTGTGAGTAGATTCTTTCATGCAGAGATATGACTGAAGTCACTGGGCAGGGTAATAGCAGCTACATGATTGGTTTAAATGAGATGCAGGAGTTTATTGGAGGTATACCACTCTATAATTGATTGCAGGAGACAGATATGTGAATCGATTGTTCCTTTTTTTTTTTTTTTTTTGCATAATAAAAGCTTGTTTCCATCTTGGATTATCACTAGATATCATGAGACCTGTGGAACCTGTGCATCTCAATGGATTGGAGGGTTAAGATTGATATTAAATAAGTAATACTAAGTGTATGTTATTTTGGATTTTGTTTCGCACAATGCTATGTTTGCAGCTGATAAATTAATTCCGTAATAAAATATCAATTAAAGAATGCTGAGAAGTAAATTAAACCACAATCTAGTTGCATTTATTTATTATTATTATTCTTTATATTGCTTACACCATTTTTGTCAATGCTGTCTTTTCTTTCGTCTTTTAGAGAGAAGCCATATGAATTTCTGAGTAATACTCAGAAAACCACAAGTAGCCACAATCTTAGTTTCCAGGGGCTTGCAAACCACCGCAGACCTCACGCAAGCAACAGAGGACAATCATTTCATGGTGAAACAAATGGTAGGAATCAAGTGATGATTGATTGATTTTTTTTTTTTTTTTTAAATGTATATTTTTATTTTGTTTTAGGAAAAGAAAAAATTATACTCCAAATTTTAATGTAAATGAAGAAAGTCAGGTCAAGGCACTCAGGATATTGCAAAAAGCAATGACGAAGGCCAGTGGCGTACATACCAGGGTCGCGGCTGCGACTGGGCCCGGCCCACCAGGGGGCCGGCCGCCCCTGTGACCCGGTATGTAGCCACAGGGCCAGCCTCTTCCCCTGGGGGGCCCGAGGGAGCACTCAGTGCTTCCTCTTCAGCTCCCTCGCGCACCGCACTGATGCCGGAGCCATCTTCCGGCGCCGGCATCCCTACGTGGCGCGCAAGGGAGCTGAAGAGGAAGCACACAGGGGAAAGTGCTCCCTCGCGCGCCGGCCGCCCAGACAGCCCGCCTACCCACCCAGTGACCGGCCACCCAGACAGCCCGTCCACCCACCCAGTGACCGGCCGCCCAGGAGCCCAGCAGCACCACCACTGGACCCCAGGGAATCCCCCCAGCACTCCAAAAGGTAAGGAGGCTGGGGGGATTAAATTTGAAAAAAAAAAATGTTTGTGTGTGTGTGTATGTGTGTGTGTGTGTGTTAGTGTGTGTGTGTCTCAGTGTTTGTTTGTGTTAGTGTATGTGTCTGTTATTGGGTGTGTGTCTGCTAGTGAGTGTGTTACTGTGTGTGTCTGTTACTGTGTGTGTTTGATGTCTGTTAGTGAGTGTGTATTTGTCAGTGAAAGTGTATGTTTTGTGAGTGTGTATGTATGTCTGTCGCTGAGTGTGTCTCTGTCAGTAAATGTGTGTGTCTGTTAGCTAGTGTGTATGCGTCTGTTTGTGAGAGTGTGTGTGTGTGTGTGTCTTCAGCATTTACCTTTCTCCAGCGTCGGACTCCCCAGTGTCCGCCTCTCAGCTCCGAAATGCACATGCGCGGCAAGAGGTGCGCGCGCATTTAAACCGCCCATAGGAAAGCATTACTCAATGCTTTCCTATGGACGTTCAGTGTCTTCTCACTGTGATTTTCACAGTGAGAATCGCGGAAACTCCTCTAGCAGCTGTCAATGAGACAGCCACCAGAGGCTGGATTAACCCTCAGTGAAACATAGCCGTTTCTCTGAAACTGCTATGTTTTCAGCTGCAGGGTTAAAACTAGAGGGACCTGGCACCCAGACCACTTCATTGAGCTGATGTGATCTGGGTGTCTGTAGTGGTCCTTTAAGTGTGTGTGCATACCGCGGTCGCAGCCCTGCAACCTCTGCGACCAGGTGCCCGCCACCATGTGTTGCGACCCCGACCCGCGCCGAGTAAGCGCGCGGGGGGGGGGGCCACGGATCAATTTTTGCACCGGGGCCCCATGGGTCATGTGTACGCCACTGACGAAGGCCTCATTGCAGGTCAAAATGTTGCTCCTTTGTTACAAAACTCTGCTTTTTGCAATATCCTGAGTGCCTGGACCTGACTCTCCATATCTGCTAAATTGGGATTTTCCAACACTGGATCCGGAGCACCTGGATTGTATGCGAGAGTGCAGGAATCTTTTTGTGTATACTCCAAAAACGTAATGTGACATAATGAGGCACTATATGAGTGTTGTTTTTTTCTCTGTGGTTTGAAGTAAGAAATATATATCCTTTCTAAGAAACTCTACGGACTGCTTGTAATAAAACAGTTACTCACAATACTGGCGATAGAAGGCTGGCAGACTTTATGATTAATAGCTGCGAGGACTGGCCAAACTATTTGCTGTTTTTCATTAAATGCACCTATGGTCTAATCAGCTGTATGTTGGCATCGTGTAACAAAAATGACTTGTATCTTCACGGATACTCATTTATAATGTAACTGAAGATGACATGAAAGCAGCTTTGCCACTTCTGAGTTTTTTAGAATCATATCTTTATGAAACACTTATGTATCCTATGTTGGAATTTACTCAAATTTAATTGCTGTCAAAAGGCACATAGCATACAATATAATATGGAGGCTATTTTTCCATACCTACGCAGTATTAGTAACAGGCAGAGCTTGGTGGTTGAAGTAACCCTTTAGTAAGTAAATGATGAAATTAGGTTTACTAACTTTTCAAAATTGATCAACAGGTTGAATGCAGTGCTAATGCTCACGTGGAGGAAGAGTATTTTTCATATTGATTTTACAATTAGATGTTAATGGGAAGAAGGTTGTGCTCTATTGTGTTTTTGTTTTTTTAGAATTCTCTCATGAGGTTTATACATTATGTTTGGGATTTTTTTTTTGTGTCTATTGGCCACATTTGTTCTTTTATGAGAGTGGATGACGGTTAAGTAACATGTCATCTCAAAAATCGCTTTAATTTGTAACGTGTGTTAAATATTTTGTGTCTCTGTCAGTCCTAGGCCGCACATTGTCACAATACACCAAAGAAAATCCAAGCATTGATGACCTAGAAGATAATTTAAGAAAACTCAAAGTCCAAGTGGATAGTTTGGCCTCGAGTCTTAATGTGGACTATGAGAAAGAACCAATGTCTAATGAATCTATAGATTCACACATTCCTCAGTGGCCAACACATATGAATGGAACATTGTATAAAAAATATGAAAGAACAACAAAGACCGCACCAGACTATGAATTGTTTTTAAAGTCAAGGCATTTAGAGAACTCTACTGAAAATTATTCTACAATGCAGAACTCAGGGTTACCCATATTTTCAAGATCATCCCTTTATCGTCCACCTGGAATTCTGACTAGCACAATCTCAAGTACAGATTCCAGCTCTCCTTCAGTAAACCCACTAGATACTACATATGGTGAATCCTATCCTGTTAAGCTTGGAGCACCTCATGTGATTGGAGTCAAATCTTTATTGCCTCCCAAAATCCCTGTACGTTCTCGATCTCCAAACAGAACAAGGGTTTCCGTAATGAGAGGGAGATCTCAATCCCTTGACCGTTCTCACTCGTTTTCTCCTGCTTCAAAAAAAACCCGTTGGTTAAGGTCTCGCTCACAATCACCAAAGCCCATATGGAGGCCAAACTCTGCAAAAGCTAATGCTTGTAGCCAACAACCACCAAGACTTCGATCCAGTGGCAAGACATCTTCCTCCAACCGGCAATCACGGTCACGGTCTTACAGACCTGGTGCATTAGTCACAAGGTCCTTCACACCACCAAGAAAGACTAGAAGCAGCCTCAGTTACTCATGGAGTCCCTACAGCATACCTTCAGCTGCAATAACAGCACCAAGTGTCGAGGAGATTAGTGAAAGGTAAATAGTTTACTAGATTTAAATGAATTATCGTGTACTCTTTCAACAAGTTGTTACATTGCATTTTGCCTTATTGTGTGAAAAACTAAATCTTTTAAATATGATTATGCATATCGCTGAATATTATTACATGTAAAGCATTGGATCTAACTAAAATATTGTTACTTTAGCTGCAATAAAGAGATCTAAAAATTTTTTATGTAGAATGTATGAAAGTGTTATTTAAAAAGACAGCAAGTTCCATTTTTAATTTTAAATAAATAGAATAAAAATACACCTCTACTTGTCCCTTGTGGACGCCACCATCTTCTCCCAGCATGTCTTCTTCAGCTTCTGGCGCTCACTGCTAATAGCTGACTGCATTGAGGTCTACGGAGGATCCTGCAAAAACCAATTCTTTTCAGCTAGTTATCGCTGGGGGGGACTGACACTTCAGTCTACTACTACTGAGACAAAGTAGTCCCTACATTTGCAGACTCCTTTGTAATATTTCCAGTTTGCAATCTCTCTTGGAAGGCAGAGCTGGATCATTGCTATGATGTTCAATAGCTTGGGATGGCTTTCATATAGTTATAATAAAAATATCCACTACACTCAATTCTACCCCTTTAAACATTGGGAATAGCAGGGGGTGCAAACTAAGCCTTTAAACAAAATTGGAATATAATACCTTATGTATGTATATCAGTGAAACTTATTTATGTAGCACCAACTTATTCTGCATTGCTGTACAAAAGGTAAACAAGAATAAAAATACTTCTAATAAAACATGATTGACATACTGGAATAGTAGCTGAAGATGGCATTACAAGAGAACATTTGTTCTGTCTATTAGATTCTTGAAGACATTGACAGAAAGAGATGCTGGAGTGTCTTTGGTAGAAACCTCTCCCTACCAGCAGGAATTGGCACGGCTCAGACTGGAGCGGCTTCGGGTGGAAGAGGACTTGCTATTGGAAATTAAAAGACAACAAGAATTGGAAAGAACCAGAGGGCCTAAACCTAAATGGTGAGAATGTCCCTTTAATCAATATTTAATGCCAGTGACATGTTTTCAAGTAACTATTATCTGCACTGTTTTGAAATTAGGTGTTAAGATGGGGTCTTCCAACGACAAGAAATGTGTTATGTCTGCAGCCAATATTGAAAGGGGACAACCTTGACTATTACATTAGGTAGAAGGGAAAGGGCAGCTCTGACCGGGAAACCAAGTGGGAGGAGGCGGATGTTTTAATGATTATTTTAGGGAGAGAAATGCCACTTTACTCATTTAAATTTAAATTTACTGTTTTGAAAACCCAGTGATACTTTTTGAAACCAAGACTCAATGGGATAAACGGCCAGATCCCAGGTTTGATTACACATTGAATCCACAGTCTCTGGAGTAAATATATTTTTTTATTTAATACACTGTAGGTGACATTTACTCCTAAATATATTAAATATACAGAGTTTTTATTTTTTTATTTTACAGGTATGAGATGAAAAACTCTCAATTCCATTATGAAGCTCGTAAAAACAATGAATTGCTGAAGAGCAGCAATGATTATCAGGCAATCTATGATTATCGTCAAGATTTGACTACAGCATCGAGAGACTTTCAGGAAAACCTCAAGGTCACCCATTTGGAGCCAGTATAAATGGACAAGGCCCACAGTCTACTGACAAACCCTGACTTGCAAGTTGATCTTGGTAGGATGCTTTGATGTTGGAACCCTGCTGAGTTCAAAAGCTGCTCTAGCAGCTAAACTTAGCAGTAACATTTCACTTCAAAGAATTCAGCCAATGAATACTCACACTGGCAACAGGGGTGGTCTGGTAAGGGTTGGAAGGTGTTTGGTTATTCCTAGACTGCACTAATTTGTAGAATCACATAATTTCTTTTATTGTGCTACTTATGTTTACTTTGAAACCTGCATTTCCGCATATAACCTTTAGGTAATATGAGGCATTTAATGATAAGATCGTTTTTATAATTTATCGTGCATACATTTTATTTAGCCTGTTTTAATGAATTTTAGTGGTGTTTATTTATTAAGTTTGTCAAACTATGTTCCATCTAACTCTGCAACAAAAATCATGTTAGATTTCCATGTCTGCAAAATTACTTCTTGTGTTTTTTTCTGTGTGTATGTGTGTGTGTGTGTAGAATGGAGTACATGTCCAGCCTTGGCCTTTAGTATGTTGTTGCCCCACAACCCCCAAAATTCCCTTCTAGCCTTGCAGAAAACAGTGGGAGCTAGAGTGCAACAACATTTGAAGAACTTAGGCTAGATCCTATTTAATGTAGAATGATGATTAATATATATAAATACATGAAATAATAAAATGTTAATAGATTGGTGTTTACAATAAAAAGTAAAAAAATAATAAAAAAAAAGTCAATGCTGTATCCTCACATCCAAGAGACACAGATCAGGGTTTATGCTTGCGGTGTAACGTTTCTCAGGGTGTTCATGCTATAATCTGATTTGTATCGCATAATAATATAGACGGGCTTATTCACTAAAGTGTGGAATTGTCAGGAATTCAGAGTTCATTTCAAAATTTTTAAAACTTGGGATTTACTTTGAATTCCAGATTTCAAACGCTAGTGAAATAGACCTGATACCTTTTAAGATACAGGCTGTTATTGTCTTAACACATGTTTTATTAACTGGGGATTTATTTCCTGAACATAACTTGGCGAAGCCAAACTTGATCATAAAACTGACTTAGCCATTTCCAACATTGTCAAAAGATGGATGGTACCCAGTTTTCGGTTATCTAGCAGAATAATCTTTTTCAATGGAATACTTTTAAATGTTAAAATTGTGGAGAGTGTATACTTTTAATTAAAAAAAAAAATATATATATATTATTCTTTTGTGAATATGCCTTTTCTGTGTAATCCTATATTAATTGACATAACATCAGATTGTATATTCTGTAATAGAGGCCAGATCTAATACGGTTATTGTATGGTCACTGGTATCTTTCCTTTAATGAATATCCTATATTGTCAGAAATGTTCTATGTACACTTCATATTACACTTTTTAAAATCACATTTCTCAAGTGAATCCTTTTTAACACCTGTGCAGCAGCTTTGAGTATTTTGTGTTTAAAGGGACTTTTTAGGCACCATAACCACTAACAGCCGGTTGTAGTGGTTTTGGTGCTAGCATGCTACCACTGCTGATCCCAGTTTTAATACCAGGCTTAACCCCTCTCCTCCCTCCTAATGTATCTCAAAAGCAGAAATCCTGTACTTTATAAGAACAATAAAGGTTTCGCTAAAGGTTTTTAATGAATGGTTGTAGCCATTATTTAGTTCTGTCCTAAGTATCTGCAGTATGATAGCACACATGCACCTTTTTTCATGGTCTATTTCACCAATGATTTTTATATCTGTTGTCTATTCTACACTGATCAGTGACAACATTAAAACCTCAGAAAGGTGAAATTATTAACCTTGATTATATTGTTACAATGGCAACTGTCAATGGGGTGGGACATAAGCAGCAGTGAACAATCAGTTCTTGAATTTCATGTGTTGGAAACAAGAAAAATGGGCAAGCAAAAAGATCTAAGTGCCTTTGACAAGGGCCAAGGCAGACAGATCAGAGTGCCCATGATGACCCTTGTTTACCACCCAAGGCGTCTTCAATGGGGACGTGAGCATTAGAACTGGACCATGGAGCAATGAAAGAATTTTGTCTGGTCTGATAAACCATGTTTTATTTTAGATCAGGTGGATGGTTGGGTGCATGTGCGTTGTTTACCTGGGGAAGAGATGGCAACAGGATGCATGAGAAGAATACAGGCTGGCTATGGGCAATGTTTTTCTGGGAAATCTTGGGTCCTGGTGTTCATGTGGTTGTTAATTTGACACGTACCACCTACCAAGAGACTGTTGCAGACTACATACACCCATTCATGACACATCATGTGTTCCCTGATGGCAGTGGCCTCTTTCAGCAGGATAATGCACTCTGCCACACTGCAAACATTGTTTGGGAATGGTTTGAGGAACATGACAGAGTTCAAGTTGTTGCTTTGGCCTTGCAATTCTCCAGATTTCAATCTGATTGATGATCTGTAGGATTTGCTTGAACCACAAATCCAATCCATGGAGGCCCCACCTCGCCACTTGCAGGATTTAAAGAATCTGCTGCTAATGTCTTGGTCCACAGGCCCTGTTCAAATGTCTTCTGATGTTCATGTCTCAAAGCATCATAGCTGTACAAGGGGGACCTACATGATATTAGGATGGTTGTTTTCATATTGTGGTCGATTAGTGTTTAATAAACTATAGATCTATTTTTTGCATGCGTTCCAACAATTTGATATCTGTGTCACTCATAAAGTGTCATTTACAGGAGAAGATCATCGTGTGGCCTTCCAGATGTTATACTATGATTCTCAAGTGTCTTTTCTGGAATTTGTGGATATTTTGTTCATCAAGACCTGGAACACTACTTATTCAATTAACTGTATCCTGTGTTGCCACTCTTTATTTCTGTCTGACTCAATCATAAGCTCTGATGTTTGAGGAGAATCAAGCAAAATATGATGTTTTATTCCCCATTGCTGCATTTAACTTCTGGAATATTTTACCCTTATGATAGAATAAAAAAAAGAACAGCCCCTTCTGCTAATATATGTTATATTGGGCTGCCAATATTTTGCTCTATGCACTTAAGTACTAGATGATACACTGAACTGCAATACTTTGCTCTAGAACTTAGGCTGGACTGCAATATTGCTTTTGTTTGTACAGATCAGGTAAGTGAGGGATGGGGGGTAGCCTACAGATCAGGGAAGTAATGGATGGGGAGGCATGGGTGGTGAGTGGGGCAGCCTACAGATCAGATAAGTGAAGGATGGGGGGGCAGCCTACAGATCAGGGAAGTGAGGCATGGGGGGCAGCCTACAGATCAAGTTAGTGAGGGATGGGGACAGCATACAGATCAGGGAAGTGATGCATGGAGGTGGGAGGGGGCAGCCTACAGATCAGATAAGTGAGGGATGGGGGGCAGCCTACAGATCAGATAGGTGAGGGATGGGGAGCAGCCTACATATCAGATAAGTGAGGCATGGGGGGCAGCCTACAGATCAGGTAAGTGAGGGATGGGGGCAGCATACAGGAAGGGTCAGCAAGGAGCAGTTAGGTAAAGTAGGGGAAGGAACAGAAATGAGCAGGAAGGGACATCAAGGAGCTGGAAGGGTCAGAAGGTGCAGAAAGGTAAAGTAGGAGAAGGAACAGAAATGAGCAGGAAGGGTCTGCAAGGAGCAGGAAGAAGCAGCAAAGAGAAGGAAGGGTCTGCAGAGAGAAGAAAGAGTCAGGAAGGGACAGAAGGAGCAGAAAGGTAAAGGAGCAGAAAGAATCAGAAGGAGCACAAAGGGCCAGAAAGGAGCTGGAAGGGGAAGAAGGAGCACAAAGGTAAAGGAACAGAAAGAATCAGAAGGAGCACAAAAGTAAAGTAGAAGAAGGAGCAGAAAAGGCCAGCAAGGAGCAGGAAAGGTAAGCATGGAGTAGAAAGGAGTTGAAAGGGGCAGAAGAAGTACAAGGTAAAGGAATAGAAATGAGCAGAAAGGAATAGAAATGAGCAGGAAGGGTCAGCAAGGAGCAGGAAGTGTCTGCAAGGAGCAGGAAGGTAAAGGAGCAGAAAGAATCAGAAGGAGCACAAAGGTAATGTTGGAGAAGGAACAGCAAGGAGCAGGAAGGTAAAGTAGGAGAAGGAACAGAAATGAGCAGGAAGGGACAGCAAGGAGTAGAAAGGGGCAGAAGGAGCAGAAATGGTCTGCAAGGAGCAGAAGGATCATAAAGAGAAAGGAGCAGAAGGGTGCAGAAGAAGCAGAGGAAGATAGTGTCAGAAGAATAAGAAGACTGTGTCAAATGAAGAAGAAAAGGAGATTGGAGCAAGAAGGACAAGTGAAGTGATCCCTCCACTTCATTCTGGACACACATCATAATGCTTTGGTACTTGGGCCTGGCAAGAAAACTTTGGACCTTCTCATCTCCCTAGGTAAAAAAAAATCTCAGTGTTAAAGGACCACTATAGGCACCCAGATCAATGAAGTGGTCTGGGTGCCAGGTCCATCTAGGGTTAACCCTGCAGCTTTAAACATAACAGTTTCAGAGAAACTGCTCTGTTTACATTAGGGTTAATCCAGCATCTAGTGGCTGTCTCATTGACAGCCGCTAGAGGCGCTTCCGCGCTTCTCACTGCTGCCGTCCATAGGAAAGCATTGAGAAATGCTTTCCTATGGACTGATTGAATGCGCGTGTGGCTCTTGCCATGCATGCGCATTCAGCACCGGGAACCGGGAACTAGCGAGCATCAGCTGACTCTAGCCAATCAGTGGCACCTGACGTCAGTCTGCACTTCCTGACTCTCCGTTTCATAAGCCGAATACTACTGAGCGACCTGGAGCTAGAGGAAGTCTTTGAGGTTAAACCATTTGAGATAGGTTTAACACCTTAAAGGAAAGAGAGCACCCAGGGGCCTCCTGTCATCATAGCATTTTCATTTAGATGAGGTTGTTATGGTAATCAGAATGTGTTAATTTGATTAAAGGAACACTATAGTGTCAGGAATACATACATGTATTCCTGACACCATAGTTATGAAAACAATATTCACCCTGGCTTTATGTAATAATGACTAGGCCCCTCCCCTTCATGACACTGGCAAAAAGGGGCCAAGCATGGATCTCATAATTATGCCTCCCTCCCTCCCCCAGGAAAAATTCCTGCGGATGCCCATGATTTTGTTATTCTTTTAAGGTAGTCTGTGTCGTCGTCCCCCCTCCCTATGTTGCTGAACTACAACTTCCATGACTTGTTGGTCATCTGTTGCATTCAAAGTATTCTTGGATTTGGAGGCCATTAACGTCTGGGGATTGGCAGAGTTTGAGATCCCTGCTTTAGACACTAAATGTTAGGCTGAATTAAAATATTTTATCTGCCGTCTCTTTAAGCACTATGTGTTAGGTTGGATTGCAATATATTGGTTTTATCCATTGAAGCACTAGATGATAGCCTGGATTACAATATTTGGCTTGCATGCCTGTTGAAAAGTGGTTTTATTAGCATGCCAGATCTTTTGAGGAATAGCAGAGTAGGTCTTCATTTTCAATCGGCCTGATAACATCCTCAAGTGTTTTTCTGATTTCCACATCCACAGGCGTCATACTACGAATGAGCTTTGAAGTATATATAGTTATATTGTTGCCTAATGAAGGATATTATCTGAAAGAACATTAAAGCTTTGTTTCTCTTCAACCTGCTGCTATATTGTTTTTGCTGTGCATCCACAAAATAAGGAACTTAATCACAATAAAAATATTTAATAAAAAAAAGCAATCGATGAAATACCATGGGGAAATAGGACATTCTACAAACTAATGAAAGAAGAGGAAATTGCCTCAATAACACTAGTCTCACGCTGAAATCAAAGCGCATTAAGAAATGTTTTGTTTATTTTCCTTTTTTCACAGATGCTGCAAAAATGTGCACTTTTTCTAATAGATGGGCAGTGAGATAAAGCTGCTGACTTGAAGGTAGGTACAGATCATAAACTAAAAAAAGACAATTAATTCCATTTGAATACTTTCTTGGCTGATTAGCTGATTTTGCTCCCAGGGCATATGAGTTCTCAATACCGTATAGAATCAATTTCCATGTGCACTTGTCAATGTGATTAAATCAGACCCATCCATTAAAACGTATTGAATATAGCAACCCTGGCTAACATTGAGGCAGCTTTAATGGAATTGTTATATTGAAACATACATACAATCCAGCTACAGGCTAATGATATCATTTGTATAAGCATTGATTGGCAAATACGTGTATTTAAATTTTGCAGGATCGTTCACTAAAATATGAGTTTTCAAAAATTTGAAGTGATTGTCAAATCTTGGGCTAAAATAGTTGAAATGAAAGCAAATCTTATGTCACGTTTTCCATCTTGCTATTGTGGTGTATCATTTAAAATTCAGTTGAATTCCTGTCAATTCAAAGTCCACGAATAACCCTGTAATTTAACGAGTTGCGTTTGTTGTTATAATTAGTAAGTGCAAGATAAGAACATGCATTTTTTTAGCACTATTTAAATACGAACATGTTAAAATGATGGGTGAAGAACTCATATGCAAAACACATTACAGATTCTTTCCCTTTGCTGCCTCTGCAACCTTTGCTTTTTCTAACTTACCTCTGCCAATGGTTTGGCCCTTTTACATAACTCTTCCACAGCAACCATTGCCCTCCTGTTCCAACAAATGCACCCCTATTTCATTGGTTTCTGGCCATCGCACTTGACTCCTCCTTGCTTCCAGTGATCTTCCTTGTCTCCAGGTGGAGGAGCCCATTGCCGGGAGAGGCCCAGGCATCAAGCACCAAGAAGACTAGCCAAGACAATTGCCATGATGCTGGCATGTTGCATGGCAGCCAGTGATGCCATGTAGGGATGCTACAAATAGTGCATCTCTGTGTATTCATGATATTCTACATCGACACTTCATTGTAATTGTATTTTTAGAATGGTGGTGGCTATGGAAACAAAAACTCACGTAAGATATGACTAAGTATATGGAATCCTTGTACACAAGAAATTTAAAGATAAATATCTACTCCAAACTACTCCTATTTACCAAGACAGCCATTAAACATAATATATTTAATAACATGTATTTTAAATAATTGTGACAATTAAGGGTGCAGAATGGAGGGTGACATTTTTGATTTTTCATTTGTAACAGATAGTCTCCTTGTGTGTCAATATTCCCATCTCCGTGGAAACAAATACTTTAATGTTGCTGAGATAGCATTCTTTGACCATATGGTTTTGGAAGAACATAACAGACTGGGGTTTAAGCATACATCCTCTGATTCTATCACTGCCCTATATAAGAGACTTCGCATTGTCATTTTCAAGCACTAACTAGATGGTGAAGAGGGATAGTGGTTACTGAAAATGTATGGTTTATTAACCATGGTTTGAAACGTACGATAACCAATTGGGTCCTTGCCGTCATGAATATCAAACCTAAACGTTCGGAGACAATGCTTGCACACATCTTGCTCCAACAAATTGATGCTTTTGATCCTATTACTTTCAAGTAATACCAATATAGGAGACACTTCTTATCCTATTTAGATTCTCATAGTCTCTTGCCCGTCTTTTGAGTCTCAGACTTGCGGGATAAAAATGCTGCATTTCTCTCACATGCACGTCACTACGTCCGCAACATTGGGTAGCCTTCTGCAGGAGTTACTGGTGCAAAAAAGAAAAAGAAAAGGTTACATGACTATTTTTTATAGTAAATATTACATGGTATCCACTGAGACGCTTTGTGTGTTATTAAAATAAACCTACATAAACTATGTTAAACCACTAATCCATTTTTGTCACTCATTCAGTGTAGTTCTATCTCCCTCATTTACCTTATTTTCTAACCTAACTTAAAATGATTTACATTTTCTTCTAGTTTGTTGCATCAGATCTCATTGTGGAGCTGCCATATTTAGTATACCCTATTGTAGTCATTTAATTTAAATCATGTGCATGTAATTGAAAAAAACAAACAAGTAAAGATTGCAAGAGTCAAGTAAGCTACACTCATTGATACATTCAGGAGAATTAAGCGACACAAGTAAAGCTACTATGTGCAGGCCGGTTTATCTCATATATAAATAAAGTGAATGATTTTGGGCAAAAGAACAGGGAATGGAAATTCTTAAGATCTGACTTTCAGCACATTTGGCCAAAATGTACAATCTACTAAAACGGCAAGTGTCACCTAAAACCAATTTGCTCTAACATACATGTACTGAAAGGAACCATTGTTTGTAATAGTTGTGTCAGGCCTTGTCAAGCTAGAATGATATGGAACACAAATGCAGATAAATGTGAACTTGTAAGAAACTAAATTCACTGAACAAGGTGAAATGGTAGTTAAAATAGCAGAACTATTAATTTAGTTGAAGTACAGTTCGTGGTACAAATATGTTGGGCAGAAATTCAACGCCGATGTGGATCTTGTTTTGGGGTTGGAAAAGGCAATGTAAATGGGAGTACAAGTAGGTTTGTCAACAATTCAATATAGAAGTGTAGAGCTCAGGATTGCAGCACTGTATCGATCAGTAGCAACAAATTATCTGAGCGATACATTGTTGCACCAACCCCTTTTTTAACAAGGACAGCAGTAGTACAGTATTACGTGGAGGTGTGGCCACATTAGGTGAGGACGTTGGAACTACAAAAACCATGAAATAGTCCTGACAAGTTGTAAATAAACATTTTGCGAACTTTGCTTTTCTACTTATGGACTTTTTTTTGCTGCCATGTCTATCTTCGATTGGATGCTCTCTTGCACTGGCCGCTTGTTCTGTATGGTCTTGCCTCATTGAGAGTACTGAGTAATGGCTTCATCTCTCGTGTGTGCGTATACCACCTGACAGCCAGTGACCTGCGTGCATGCGGACCAGGGCCGTCTTTAACACAGGGCAAACGGGGCAGCTGCCCCGGGCCCAGTAACTTTTGAGGGGCCCAAAGCAGCTGCCCTATTTGCCCTATACCCACAACAATTTATTTTGGGATCAGGCCCACACACTAAGGGCACCCATCAGATGTCCCATGCACTTAGGGCAACCCTGTGGGCATATTTCAGCAGGGGCCTGGTCGGGCGCTGCGGCCCTTGCTTTTCAGAAGCATGGGAGGAAGTGACGGCTGGTCACTTCCTCTCAGAGCACACCGAGCCGCGCGGGAGGGAGGAGGACCCGAAGGATGCAGTGAGGAGGAGGCCATGCCAGGAGAGAGCAAGAGCTTATCTCCCAGCCAGTACACTGGACCCCATGGAACCCGTCAAGCAAAAGGTAAGAAACTAGATGGTGGCTATCAAACTATAATTTCTTCAATATGTCTGTGTGTATGTGTGTTTCAGTATGTCTGTGTGTGTCACTATGTCTGTCTGTTTCAGCATATCTGTGTATGCTTGTGTGTCAGTGTGTGTGTGTGTGTGTGTGTCAGTGTATATGTCTGTATGTGGCAGTATGCCTGTCAGTATGAGTCTGTGTATCTGTATGTTGTCAGTGTGTATATATTTGTGCTTATCTATATATAGTCAGTGTGTGTATCTATATATAGTCAGTGTGTGTACTTGTGTATCTGCACGTGTGTCAGTGTTTTTTTATCTATGTCTGTATGTGTGTTTATCTGTGTATCTGCACATTTGTCAGTGTTTGTATCTGTGTCTGTATGTGTGTCAGTGTGTGTATCTGTATGTTCTCATTGTGTTTATCTATATGTAGTCAGAGTGTGTATCTTTGCACTTTGTATCTGCATGTGTTTCAGTGGGTGTGTCTGTGTGTCTGCATGTGTGTCATTGTTTGTATCTGTGTGTCTGTGTAGCTGCATGTGTCAGGTTGTGTATCTGTGTCAGTGTGTATCTGTGTGTCTGTATATCTGCATGTGTCAGTGTGTGTATTACAGTGTGTGTGGCAGTGTATGTCACATAGTTACATAGCTGAAAAGAGACTTGCGTCCATCAATTTCAGCCTTCCTTAGCCTTAAGCAAATATTAAATATGGCCCTGATGTGACCAGAGACTGCTGACAGACATAGGCTCCAGCCAGACAGAGTGTGCGTACACTGCAGGCGGATTACACAGAGTGTGCCACTCATAAAATGGCCATAGCCAACCATTCCATCAACCAACCATCCCAGATAGACACACTGCGTCTATGCTGCATCACTGCTCTGTGCCTTCAGAGAGACAGCATATGCCATAGAAAATAAACTGTCGGTGCAAGGGAGCATCCAACCAAAGGTGGACAGACATGGTGGAGAAAAATATATGAAGTCCAGGGTACGGAGGCATTTTACATTGACATTAAAAATAATGATTTCTTTCAATACTCATATAAAGCAATAATTTGTCCCAAAGCTATTTTTAGGTGACAATTGTCTTTTTAAAAAAGTAGTTACAGTGATCTCATGTAGAATGTTTGGGGCAAAGAAAGACAGGACAGGACAGTATAAGCTGCAAAGACAGTATAAGGAGAGAAAAAAATAAAAGAAAAGTGACACTGCCACTTTAAAAACTAAGCTTAGTTGTACCTGGATGTATATGAACAGTCCTGCATAGGTTTTTTCCTGCTCTGTCTTTATAAACTGGCTTGACACAAATCTTGTTGATAGACCCTGCTGTAATGTCAGTGAAAACCGTACTGTGGGTCTGGGGAGCCATGTTAACCACAGCAGAATTCCCTGCTTGCCGCCGACATCTCACACGATATCCCTGCACGTCACCATCTGCTGAGCCCCAAGTAGCCTTCAAGCGATCAGATCCCAGGTCCTCCAAATGGAGGTAGCGCACTTTAACATCTTCTGTTAGAGGAAGCAAATCAATAAATCATTTAGTTAGCAAGATCATAATGCACTGCATCAAATTAAACACGTGGTCATCAAGGAACGTGGAACTGTAAATGGTGGTTTATTCAAATATAGGTTTCAAAGATTGTATTATATGAGTTGTAAAAATTTACACTTTTTTAATGAGTTGCATGCATTGTTAGAATTATTTTAAGTATATGTTTATACTAGGACATCAGTTTCAGCGTTTCCTTTAATGTGTGCCTCTGAGACCTCCCCAAACGCCTGATCAAGGGCTCTCTAGGAAGATGCTTCACCAACCAGATGCTCCACCAATCAAGATCCCTGTTTCATGCCACAAACACAAGTTGAATACAACAGGAAGCAGGAAGTAACATTTTCTCCTCTGCCATCCTTATCGGAGAGAGCAGTCTTATAGCTGCGGCACGTTTTGCAAATCACTGCAGTTTTACGCCATTGTGTGGTGGTAGACACAAAAATACATGAACCATAACCTATGCAAAAAAAACAAAACTTATGTTGTTATATTGCTTAGAGTGCTCCTTTAAGGGCACTGTAGAGGTTATGGTGCCAGGTGTCCTGGTACCATGCCACAGTAAGGTGTCAAACAGCTTTTGAACATCACTTACCAGTGTCTGATGTACACCTGTAATCATTCTGGTCTTCTGTGGTACTGCCATAGAGAAAGTCCCCAGTCCGGTAAAGCAATATCAGTTTTGGCCCTTATTTATTGTTTGAAAGCATTAGCTCACCCATAAAAAAAGTTGTCATGATATCTTACCTCGTTCCAGCACTCCTACGTGGTGCGGTACCTGAAACCGACTCCTCTCTCCAGCTGATCGACAAGCATCACGTTGTGATGACGTCCTTTTTTTGGGGGCATCATTACGTTGATGCCCATTACTTTGATTTTCATTGGCTCAAATGTTTTGGGGACGTGGCCTTAAAACAAAAGACACCCCCATATAAATAGGGTGCCTTTTGCTTTGTACGTTGCCCTATTGTAGTTCTTGTAAAGTTACCTCTAGTGCTGACCTTTGTCTGTATAGTTTTTCTTGGTATTTTTATATTTATGTTTACACACTGCGTGTTGGGGTTTACGTAACCGGGACAGACATTCAGAGTTCGACTGAATTGATATTATTAAAGTGGAATGCCAACCTCCTCTGTAGTGATTTCACAGAAGATTGGAAGATCAATGGGCACCTGATAAATGTTAAACTGTTCAAAAACTGTTTGAAAATGTTGAGACTCCTTCCTGTAAAATAGCACAAGGGGACTCCAGTTACCATACCTTTACAGACCACTGTAGTGGATATGATGCATAGAATGCCCCTTTAAGTAACAATTATATAATTCATCATAAATATTAATTACATATTCTGTTGCTTTCTGAGTCTAGCTAGCTCAAGGAGGTAATTTATAATATTATTTCATTACTGAGTTCTTATAAACAATAAGAATACATTTTAGATTTTGTTGGTTTCTAACTATGTCCAGAGATTTATAAATATTAATACCCAGCTCAATGACGATTGTTGTGACCACCTTGGAAATAGAAAGGTTGAGTTGACCTTGACAAATTAAAACCACGTGCCTGATGTTTTATCTCAGAGGCATTAAACTGAACATTAGCTTGCTGTTCAATTTAGCTTGTCAACTAATAGTAAGAAAAGAACATTGTAAATATATGTGTAATCATGGGGACCAATTCTCGGTAGATTTAGTAATTTGAGTTGAAGCACTGGGAATTCCGCCAAGTTCAAGCCATTTATATAAAACTATCTCCACACACTGACAGACATCAGATAAACCAAGAAGGTGATAACATCCCCAAAGAATAAAATGACTGATAAATGAGCTGTGTGTGTCTGGACTAGGAACGAAAGAAGCACTCTCTTACTAGTTTTTTAAAGGGGATGCTCCCCCCAAAATGTACATTTCTCCAAAGTGAAAAAAAATAAGCAACAAATACACTTGTCAACATTTTCTATTTTTTTAACAACATAAATTGGATCTGTCACAATAGTTTTTTTTAATGAAATAAATATTTTGCACATGAAAAAGTGCTGTTATTTTAAAGGAACACTCCACTGCCCAATTACAAAAAAAAGGAATAATCCCTGTTTAGTATATATTTACGCCAACTGGAAACATGCATGAATTTAATCATGTGTTTCTTCACTGGGGATATATCTAAAACCAATTTGCAAAAGGTGTAGATCTTGTCTGCAGCATTTACAAACCCTCCCCTTTTTCCCCAGGCCAGACTTTCTGTGGCTGTCCAATCACAGGCTTCCCAATGCAGCTCAACGAGAAGACTTTGCAAGACAGGTGCTCTAGGCAATTGCTGTCTCTTGAGTTATCTTCACTGGAAGTAACAGGACCGGTAGTCTGATTGACAGCCAGGAAGGTGTAACAAGGTTTATTTATAAAAGTGCCAATTTCTATTTAAATCGGCATTTTTTGTAAACTAAAAAATGAGGACACACTCTTCATACTTAAAACATTTCAGCAAGCTAAAGTTGTTTAGGGGTTCGGATTGCCCCTTTAATGTTATAGCCCAACCATAAAATAAATACTTTACTTTATGGAGCATTGTCCCCTAGTATTCTGTAATGCTGACCCGCACAATGCATGATATACCTCTCAACATTTCAAACAGACAAAGAGGGACCCTTTCCTGTGACAGTTACAATAAATTTTAGGTGACTTACTAACAACAATTTGTGCAACTAAAATGTAATTTAGAACCAGACCAATGCTTCTTATTTAGACAGACCAATTTCTAAAAAACATTTATTATAGTTTAAAGACACAGTACTGTGCATATTTTTACTGTTGAGCTCTGTTATATACTTAATCACACCAACAATACGGAGCTTCTACAAAAGAGGGATATTAGGATAGAAAAGAGGGACAGAGGGATTTGGGCCCAAATTAGGGACTGTCCCTCCTAAATCGGGACACTTGGGAGGTATGCATTATATTTAGTAGTAGTCACTAGGTAAGGGGGTCACATGATCACCCTGCTATAGAAGTGCTACTGTAGGTTGGACATTCTCATCCAACAAGAGACAGATGCTATTTTTGATGCAGAGTGCTAAATGTGGCGGACCGTCTGGCACCCCGACTGGGTGCCTCTGCCAATCACTGCTTCCTAGTAACTCTGAGTACTTCCAAGCACTCCACCCGACACCATAACCATCGCAGAGCCCGCAGCCAGCATTACAGCTTGGTTGGGGTCACGCTGTTCTCCACTCACCCTGGACCCAAGACCAGGATCCAGCTTCCAGTGGGTAGACCTCTCCCAATCCAGAGAGTAAAGCAGAATGGCTCTTGCAAGAGCTAGTGATTATAATCCAAGGGAGTATGAGTATAGCAATCCCCAGAGTGAATATAACTGTTCCCTCCACACATGATACAGGCCAGGGCTACCATCAGAAATTTTGGGGCCCCTGACACAGTTCAAAGATAACTGAGTCAGGCACTGTACTAAACTCAATTATTAGGTGCAGAAAACACATGGAAACCCCACAAAAGTCACATCCCCTGATGTGGGGGACCAACATATCCCAAAATCACCCAGATCGGTTCAGGGGTTCGGGATTTCCATGGAAGTCATAATTTTGACCGACCATGCACATGGTCCTATACCCAAAACAGTTCCATGGAATCAGGGCTGACGGTCGGTTCTTCTTTGTGGAGTGCAAAAATACATAAATTCCGTGAACAGAGCCTTTTAAGGTGCATTGGACAAGGTATATTGCAGGGCCCATAGTCCTGAGGCAGGCAGGCTCCTCCAGGAGCCTGTGGCGAGGTTCTGTTTGCCACACTAAATATTGAGAGACAGTCCATTAATTCCCATGGTGATTGCCCTTACTAAACATGCACTTTACTCCAAATCAGCACCTGTTTTTTAACTTCATAAATCACCACCCCACCCGTCTGCTTAGTACAGTCTCTGTCAAAAACTGAGGCTTACAAACTTAGGTCTTCAGCTGCAAATGGACCACAATAACCACAATCCTTTGCCAGACAATAAAGTTAGAGTTTATTATTTTATTATTATTATTTATAAGGCGCCAACAAATTCCATAGTAGTGTATATTAGGTTTATGGGAATTAACTGGAGATATTGGGAGCGAGAGGATGTTATTGGGTTTTTGTACTACTATCATATCCTTATGGATACGGCCCACATGCTGAACCTGGCTGAGAATGAGGGCAGTTGCCAATCACAGCTTGTGGAGTCACAGGGTTCCTACAGTATCACACCAGCCCTGGGTATTGGTCTACAATGGTTTCCAAAGCACTCTCCCAGGACAGCAGAAAGTTGACACACACTGACACAACCGAGAACATTGATAATGAGTTATTGTGTTGGTAATCTAAACAATGGGTCTCAGACAAGATTGAATGGAATGACCGGGCACTTCGAATACAGAGGATCAGAACACAAACAGTCTATGAGACCAACATTAGAGAGATTCAACATGTAAAGACTGCTGCTACGTTACAAATCCTACAATCACTACATTCTAATCCCTTTTAACAATGAATCAGTAACAGAGTTGCCGCAGGTTAAACAAAGTAACCTAAACAAAACATGTTTTTCTTTAGTTAACAGGGTTGACTCTGAAGGTCTCCAGGTAAATCTCATTACTCGGCATAACTAATCCACCATACTTCTTTAAATAGTGGCATTTATATATTTTTTCAAACGGCTCTGAGAAAATTAAGTGAATGTTGAAATGTACTTTGGTTTTAAGTACACCTGAGCTAAAACTCATGTTTAAAGAATTATTCTAAAAACCATAACCACTACACTTTATTGGTGCAATGTATGGGTGCCATCTCCTGCTAACCTGCCCCACAAATCTCAGCCTATCATTCCCATTCAAGGTTGGACAAATGTCTGAATAAGATAGAAGTGTGATCTATCTCTAAAAAGACTATTCTCAACCTCGTTCTAATGGAATGACTACTTATAGCTGCTGTGGAATGCTATATATGCAGATAGTTTAAAAAAAACACACACATTAACCCCCTTATTTGTAAATTATTTGCTAATTATAGTGATATAATTCGAGAAAATCATTTGTTTAGAAGAAGACGAGAAATCCATGCCTTCCCAAAAACAGTGAGAAAAGTATGAGGCAACTGATCCAATAATCAGTACATGGGAGTTGATTATGGAAAAACAAGGCACAATCAGGAGAGAAATAATGACTGGTGGAGATACCTGTATGATCGGTCTTTAGTCCAAGCTGGGCCAATAGTGTACTGGGCATTTTAGTTATGGCCATTGGCGGTAACAAGTTTAAAGCTGAACTACAACTCCCAGTAAACCCTGCTAAGTTCCCACCCCCTAAAAGATGATCTGTAGACATGTGCGAATTTTGGCAATTCGGACATTCGGATGCTTCTAGTAGGGTTAGGGGTAGGGGTAGGGTTAGGGAATTGCTGAAGTCCTCAATTCCTGAAGTGCCGAATTGCTTAAGTCTAGAATTGTTGAACTGAACCATCTCTCAAGTCATCTCTAATGATCTCCTGCCTTGCTTTGTTTAACAATGCGTGTTTGAACCCAGGAGACACCTATAGATTCAATATAGGTCCACAATTACAGCTATTTCTGTATCTTCCCCCTCCATGATTTAGTTTCATCCGATTGGCTTGGTTGATACTTCTAATAAACTATGTTGTTCCTGATTTCACTAATCTTCAAACATTGTTACACAAAATAATGTTGAAATGGCCTGTATTACTCAAAGGACTGATTAGAGCTGCACCAACAAACAAGATTCAGTCTTACTTCTGCAGACCTACAGAATCCCCACGGTAATGACACACAGTTTTGTACTAACCTTTACTATTTCTATACATCTCTCATCTCAATACAAAATGTCTGTAACATAAAGCAAACAAAACTAGTCTGGAACTTTTGCACTTCGCAGCCCCTCCTTTGGATTGCCTCTGATTTGGTAAGAAAAAGGGAGTAGATGAGTAATTGTCATGTAATCAATGCTGTGCAATTTTACCTGCAATGTTTTTTTCCTGCTAAATTTGGACAAATTACTGCAGGTATGTTAAGTAAGGCACAAGGAATGTCCCTTTTATACCAAGCCACTTGGTACCCGACTGTGGGAATTAGTGGGAATGTAGAATATTACACTCTTTAGTCAATATTATTTCACATAATCTTCTGTAATTTACCAACAACTTACTCTCTTCCGTGCAAGCAATGGCTGACAACGCTTTCTCAGCTCCATCTTTAAATCTGGCATCTACCGTCACCAAATACGTAGTGTTGGATTTTAGGTTTTCCAGTACGGTGCTGTTTGTGTTACTGTCCAATTGAACTTTGTACACCGTATTGCTGGGAAGAGGGCCATACTGGATTTCATAGCTGGCAACACTGTCAAGGAGAGGACCCCAACTAATCCGAAAACTGTTAGAAGTAGGTTCAGATATTAAAATCTGTAATGGGGCGTACCTTTCTGAAAAACAATGGAATCAAAGTTGGCAAGTTGGGTCGTCAGACATTTCTTAGAGCCATCATTCATAAGCTTTGCAATACATTTCCTTAGCATGTGCACCCAATAAACTTTTTTTATTTTATATACATTAGAAACATTTATTGAATGCCTAATCATTAGAAACATTTATTTTTATTATTTAACCAAACTTAAATGCAGCTGAACCTTTTTTTTGTTTTCTTAAAATTAACTACAGTATAGCCAATATAAAAAATGGAAAAAGATTGAGGCACAGAATGCAACATTTTCATAGAAATGGTATGTTATGTCCAAATTTTTGTGATCCGTATTATCAACCATATAATGATCTAACCCAAAATGACCAAAAAGTATGGTAGCAGACTAAACGGTGAACAGGAGGAACAATATGGCCATGTATTCGGGTGTACCTGGGCACACAACTACATCTCAGTTTAAAGGTTACCTTAACCTTTTTGAGAGGGGGGCATTCCTGTGTAAAATGCCCTATTGGCCCTTCCGCCCCACATGGACTTTCTTGCCCCCTCCAATGTCACAGGGGCCACGTACAGACCAATCACAAGCTTCTCATACAGAAGTCTGTGATTGGACCGTTTTGCCGGCTCAAAGCTCATGCATGTGCTTTAAGACAGTGAGGCTAGGGGAGGTGACTTTGTGTTTATTTTTTTAAGGAAGACTTCAGATTACACCATTAACAAAGTAGATGACCCTATGAGTTGACACAGCAAATATAATGAATGTTGGATCAATGTGAACTCATCAATGTGAAACATTTGTAAAGGTAACATTGTTTTCTATTATTTCCTTAAATAGATTCTGTTTATCTTTTATGATAATTTGGATGGTCAGATTCCAATTACATTTGAAGTCAAATTAAAGGGTTCATACAATTCCTCACCACTGTATACCGGTTTTCTTATTCTGGGAAATAAGTATTCTTCCTTTCGTAACAGAGAGAAGCATGATACAGGGCAGATTTAGGTCCCTAAGTATCCCATCAAAACTGGGATGATTGGGAGAGGTAAGCAAGATCCTTCTTAATACAATACAATATAAGGGTGTAATCCATGATCAATGTTTGTTACACTCACCAGGACGAGTCGAGACCTGTATAGTTTGTGGCTGGATTATCTGGACATTTGATTCAGGGGTAAGGGTAACTTTATAGTTGGTATTGGGCATTAAATTCCCCAACAACACTTCAGTTTGACTTCCAAGCAAACTTTTCCGAACACTCCTACGTAAGTCAGATTCCAGGGAATACTCCAAAAGGTACCGGTCTTCTTGTCGATACAATATCCGTGGCCATGTTATACGAAAGCTTGTAGGGGTTATGTCTAAAGCCCGAAGCTGTAAACTTTGGATCGGCTCTGTGAAAGGGCAGATATACCATTTATATAGTTACAACATATATATCGGATAGATAACTACTGCTCACTACAAGGCTGAGATAGTCATGCATTTATATTGTAGTGGAGCAACATTACAGCAGGACTGGGCAGATGGGAGTCTCCAAGCACGTTACCTGGCCAGATTAAAACGGAACAAAAAAGGATATTTATTTTAAGGGACAGTCTACCTTCATTTTCCTGTTTTTGATTTAGTTATCTACATGCTTCATTAACAAGTTTAGCGATGAAACTTACTTTATTCCACCTAAATAAAATAATGCCTATTATGAGCTATCTGGTCTGCACCCTGATGTGACACACCAAGCGATAGCGCGTGTTGTACTGTACAGAGCATTTTTTTTCTACTATTAAGTGCTGCAGGGAGGGGAAGAGGAAGGAGAAACAAAATGTAAAGAGTAGAGAAGGAAAGAGAAGAGGAAAGAAAGAAAGGAAAATGGATGGATAAAAGGACAGACAATAATAGGCTAAATCCAGTAAGAGAGGTGTTAAAGACTTTAAATTTAGGCAACAAAATATTTTATAGCATTATATAATTTTTATTTCAGATTCTATTGATTAATGGACAGTGTTAAATGTGGCATGCATTTCTCACAATGCGAATAAGTTAAATTAATAGAGAATTTAAAGGACCACTATAGTGCCAGGAAAACATACTCGTTTTCCTGGCACTATAGTGCCCTGAGGGTGCCCCCACCCTCAGGGACCCCCTCCCGCCCGGCTCTGGAAAGGGGTAAAACTTACCTTTTTCCACCGCTGGGCGGAGAGCTTTCCTCCCTCCTACCGCCTCGACCGCTGAATACGGCGCCACGCAAGATGCGCTACAAGATTCAGCTGTCAAAGATAGGAAAGCATTTTACAATGCTTCTACCTATGCGCCTTTCCTCACTGTGAAAATCACAGTGAGAAGCACGCAAGCGCCTCTAGTGGCTGTCAATGAGACAGCCACTAGAGGCTGTATTAACCCTTTTTCTCTGAAACTGCTATAATTATGAAAAAATGGGTTAAGCCTAGAAGGACCTGGCACCCAGACCACTTCATTAAGCTGAAGTGGTCTGGGTGCCTAGAGTGGTCCTTTAAAATTTGGATTCATTTAAAAATTTGAAACTTTTCTGCAGCTCAGTTAGTTTTCCAGCTTGCCAACTGAGGTCTAAATATTGATATGCTCTTGCCAGTTCTCCAAAATTCTCTGTTTTGTCAATAAGCCCACATGAGTCTGGAGATGATAATATTTATGTGGTGTCTAGGATCCATGAAACGTACCTGGCAGAGTGGAGACCCGTATAGTTTGTGGTTGTATAAACTTAACATTGGATTCAGGTGTTAGTGTCACTTGATAGGTGGCATTAGGGACCAAGTTCCCCAGTACGAAACTTGTCTGATCTGCAGGTAGAACTCTCTGTGTGCTCCTCTGTACATCGGATACTAAGGTATACTTCAATTGGTAACTTTCTTCTCCAACTCGGTCCAACACCCGTGGCCAGGTAAGCCGAAAGCTTCTAGATGTCAAGTCATGAACCTTTATTTCTAATGGTTGGGATCGTTCTATGAAAGGAGAAAATTAATTATAACTACAGACGTATTACATTGGATACATTACTCCTGGTAATAACTGACCTGGAATTTTCATGTGTTTTAAATGTAATGAGGCTTTCTACTTTCATGTTTTCCTGTGCCAGTATTTAACTCCAAATTTCAGCAGATAAAAATGTTGACATTGGAGATAAGGGAGCTCTCCTCATTCAGTGACATGTGCTAACGTGTCTTAAGGGACAACTGTTTGTTAATATAATAATCCTTTCTTCGAGTTTTGAAAGGGAATAGATTTTTGTAACACGAAGTACACGTAAAATATAAGAAAAACTTAGCCCTACCTTTAGTATATGACAGGATCCTTCAGTCATGTACATGCACCTTTGGTCGGACAGTGTTTGAAAACTAACAGTTAGTCTCTATGGTCTAAACTGCTTATATGCAGGGAGTGCAGCAGTGAAGATCATAGAGAATAACTGCGTTTCTTTTTTGTGTGTCCATAAAATACATCTACAGTAATTTTAGCAGAGGTTTCCTTCTTAGGAATAATCTCCTTGAATTATTCACAGATAGAGAATTCCAAGTTTCCATTAGTTAAATAGATTCAGAAAGAGTATTGTCTTCATCATTACTATCATTTGTTACACCATATTTATTAAGCCAAGATGACCACGTGGTAGATCAACGGCATTTGGTCGGTTCTAAAACTAGAACAGTTACCACAGAAACGAATGGAATGCTCATGCCGAGGCTCAACTTTTAGAACTTTGTCCAACCACTGTGCTTTTCTAATAACAACCCTCATTGATGAAAAGGCTGGATTTGCTTCTCAGATACCCCATATGCCCCAAGAAAGAGGCATTATTAAAAATTCTTCCCATGTGGCCCCCAATAAAGTCGGGCTTGTGCTCTAGACATGTGCCTTTTAGGATGCCTAGCCTGACTATATCTGTCCAATGTAACCAATTAATCAATAATTAGGATCCACTAAACATACCAGGGAGAGTGGAGACCAGTATTGTTTTGGGTCGGATATTGATGATACTGGATTTAGGTGTAAGTGTGACCCGGTAGATGGTATTTGGGTTTAAATCGCCCAGTTCCAAACTAGTCTGATCTCCAGATAAACTCTTCCGTATAGTCCTCCGTATGTCAGATTCCGGTGAATATACCAAAAGGTAAATCTCTTCATTAATTGAAGACGAAAACAGCTGTGGCCATGTTAGTCGAAAGCTTGTAGTTGTTATGTCATGAACCTGCAGTGGTATTTCTTGGATGGGTTCTGGCAAATGAGAAAAAAACAAACACATCGCATCAGCTACATTACTCTATATTACTTGTCTAAATCCTGGTCATAACAAACAAATACATATATTGAGGTAGTCTTCTGAAATAGAATGTAGAAGTTACACTTATATTCTTTTTTAAGGATTAAAGAGCAATACATGATATATATATATATATATATATATATAAACTCATTTTGAGAGCACTTTGAGAGTACACATTTGATAGGTTTTCATAATGATGCATACAAATCCTCTTCTAGGCATTTAAAATAATTATTTTTGGATCAGAACTCCCATTTCTTTCAGAGGTATATAGCTGATAGTTCTTAGGTTATCTAGGTAGATTTCTGCTTTTAGCATCCTAATCTAACAGGTGACTTAAAGGGACACTAGAGTCACCCAGACCACTTCAGCTCAATGAAGTGGTCTGGGTGCCAGGTCCCTCAGGTTTTAACCCTTCACATGTAAACATAGCAGTTTCAGAGAAACTGCTATGTTTACATTAGGGGTTAAGCCAACCTCTAGTGGCTGTATTCCTGACAGCCGCTAGAGGCGCATCTGCAACGCTGGATGCGAATTTTGCATCCATCGCGCAGAGCGTCCATAGGAAAGCATTGAGAAATGCTTTCCTATGGACTCTTTGAATGCACGCGCGGCACTTGCCACGCATGCGCATTCCGCTCCACTCGGGAACTGACTTCGGCGGGGGAGGAGAGGTCACCAGCGCCAAGGGATCCTGGCGCTGGATTAAGGTAAGCTGCTGAAGGTAAGCTTTGTTTTCCTGACACTATAGTGATCCTTTAATATAGTATGCCAGTGAGATGTGTGGGTTATTAGCCCTACTATACTATCGGACTAAAAGCTCTCCAGAATATATCATACTTTATTCCTACCTTTTTTGTGAAACCACATTAGAGTAAACTTAAATGAGTATATTGCAAAATGTCATGGTCAAACTTTTTTATGGTTTACAGATAACAGACATTGCTAAACAAGAAATCAGCAGTATGGTGGAAACAGCAGTCCTCCCAAAAGTCACTATTTTTTGGTCCAGTCTCGCCATCTTGACTTTGTTCCCTGGTGTCCCACTTTTGGGGATACCAGGAAACTGTCCCCAGAAAGCGCACCATTCGACAGGATCTTGGCATTAGGACCCCGCATAGAAGGCTGCTCCCTGCATGGTTGCCTTCAGTGGGCCACCCTGCTTGATTGTCAGGTGGCCTAGTGTAAATGTACATATATGCCTGGCTGACCTGCCAATATGGTGACACAAGTGATGGGTTTCGTGTCACTAGCCTGTCCCCTATTACTCGGTGCCTATAAATTCAGTACTTATAGGAAAGGGTGCATTTATAGACAACAGAGTAGAAACATAGAAAAATAGAATGTGACGGCAGATAAGAACCATTCGGCCCATCTAGTCTGCCCAATTTTCTAAATACTTTCATTAGTCCCTAGTCTTATCTTATAGTTAGGATAGCCTTATGCCTATCCCACGCATGCTTAAACTCCTTTACTGTGTTAACCTCTACCACTTCAGCTGGAAGGCTATTCCATGCATCCACTACCCTCTCAGTAAAGTAATACTTCCTGATATTATTTTTAAACCTTTGTCCCTCTAATTTAAGACTATGTCCTCTTGTTGTGGTAGTTTTTCTTCTTTTAAATATAGTCTCCTCCTTTACTGTGTTGATTCCCTTTATATATTTAAATGTTTCTATCATATCCCCCCTGTCTCGTCTTTCCTCCAAGCTATACATGTTAAGATCCTTTAACCTTTCCTGGTAAGTTTTATCCCGCAATCCATGAACCAGTTTAGTAGCCCTTCTCTGAACCCTTTCTAAGGTATCAATATCCTTCTGAAGATACGGTCTCCAGTACTGTGTACAATACTCCAAGTAAGGTCTCACCAGTGTTCTGTACAATGGCATGAGCACTTCCCTCTTTCTACTGCTAATACCTCTCCCTATACAACCAAGCATTCTGCTAGCATTTCCTGCTGCTCTATTACATTGTCTGCCTACCTTTAAGTCATCAGAAATAATCACCCCTAAATCCCTTTCCTCATATGTTGAGGTTAGGACTCTATCAAATATTCTGTACTCTGCCCTTGGGTTTTTACGTCCAAGATGCATTATCTTGCACTTATCCACATTAAATGTCATTTGCCACAATTCTGACCATTTTTCTAGTTTACCTAAATCATTTGCCATTTGGCTTATCCCTCCTGGAACATCAACCCTGTTACATATCTTAGTATCATCAGCAAAAAGACATACCTTACCATCAAGACCTTCTGCAATATCACTAATAAAAATATTAAAGAGAGTCGGGTGAGGATATGAAAAATGTATGCTACTAAATAGGATGATTTTGTTTTATATATGTTCTCATTAAAGTATGCATTTAGTCCTCTGATAATCCTGAGGTAATTATATTGAGAATGTGCAATATTATAAAGTATCCCATCATTGGAATCTATCAAACACACCTGGGAGAGTGGAGACTCGTATAGTTTTTGGCCGGATTATGCGTACGTTGGATTTAGGAATGAGTGTCACTCGATGGCTGGTGTTCGGAGTCAAGTTGCTTAGTACTGTGCTAGACTGATCTCTGGGCAAAATCGCCTGTTTAGTCCTACTATTTTCAGATTCCACTGAATATTCCAAAAGGTAACTTGCTCCTTCAACTTGAGACAACAAGCCTGGCCAGCTCAGCCGAAAGCTAGTACTTGTTATATCATGAACCTGCAGTGATATTTCTTGAATTGGTTCTGTGAAAGAGGAGAAATACCATTATAGCTACGAAATGTTGCATGAGATATTGTACTCTGGTCATAACAGGCATGTTATTTAAATTTAACATGAATAGGGACATGTTACTGCAGGAATGGGCTGCTCAAGTCTTCAAGTCTCATTAATGAGTTAGCTTGTAAAGAAGCCATATGTGTTAAACAGAAGTCAATAAAAATCATGAGTACACGTTTTTATGAGAAATATGTCAGTAGAACATTTTTACAGGCAGACTTTTATATATTTTTCTTATCAGGGCTATGATTCATGTGAAGGTGTAATTTGTACTGAGATCCCAATGCGATGATGTAATACGCTAAGTAATTTATTACCAGTATTATGTACTACAGAAAGATGTATTGAGCTGTGATAACTTACATTTCAAAACCACAAGAGAATCCACAGTAACGTCTTACTATATTATTCTTCAAAGCCTACGTACCACAGAACTGACTGTAGAAATATTATATTTTTGTATATAGATTGCATACAACATGGGTGTTACTGTAAAAGTCACCCAACTGTTTTGGGACAACTGACCATGCAGTCCTTGGTCAGCAGTGCTTGGCACATACAATAATTTTGGCGGTTGAACTTCCCCCGGTAATTAGGAGGGCACAAATTAACACCCCTGCAAAATTACTGGGGTAAATGTTCTCCAGTGAATGACACCTTACAGCAGGTTGGGATCTAGTAAACATACCTGGCACAGTTGAGACTTGTATAGTTTGTGGCCGGATTGCATGCACATTGGATTTAGGAATGAGTGTCACCCGATATGTTGTATTTGGAGTTAAATTGTCCAGTACCGTACTAGTCTGATCTCCAAGCAAAATCTCCTTCATGGTTCTACTTGTGTCAGATGCCAGTGAATACTCCAAAAGGAAGCTCTGTATTTTAACTCGAGACTGCAGGCCTAGCCAGGTCAGCCGAAAGCTGGTAGTTGTTACATCATGAACCTGCAATGATATTTCTTGGATCGGTTCTGTGAAAGTGGAATGATGTCATTAGTGCTACTTCACATTGCATCAGATACATTTCTACTGTCATAACAAGCACAGGACTTCCATGCATCATACATAAACCAGGACATGTTTCTTCAGGAGTGGGCAACTAAAGTCTTCAAGTTTCATTAACGGTACAAATTGTAAATAAAATATAAAGGTTACATATAGATCATACTCATGAAAAGGTCATCTTTTTCAGATAATTATTAGCAGAATATTCTTTATAGGTTAATTGGTAGAGGATGATTTCCTCTCATAAACTTTTATCCACTTGCATTTAGAAAACGCTTGCATATTTTACATATGATAACTATTTTTTCTTATCTTTTAAGTTACAAGCTCAAAAGCAGTGTTGTCAGATTTTCCCTAAAACCCACATTTATTGTGAAGCATATCAAAAAGTGAATTTCTGTGTCCTAAATGTATTGTTACCCTTTGGGTCTTCTTCCCTAATCTCCCTTAGAATACTTGCTTGTTTAAGTAGGGCTCTCGTTACCTCTTGTTTCTGAAATAAAAACTGTATTTAATGGAGTTTTGAAAGCATAAAGTAATCACCAGCAGATACAATATGCACGTGACACTGCATCGACTTTACACACTTTGGTGTAGACTCTACACAGGGCCGGCGCTACCTGTAAGGCGGACTAGGCAGCCGCCTAGGGCGCCCCTTGGGAGGGGGCGCCGCCAGGAGCGCCGGCCCCCCTAATGCTGCAGCCGCCCGAGCGCTCTGTAAAGAGCCTCAGGCGGCTGCAGCTTTGCCCGGGCGGTGCGTCCATGAGGGCGGACCGCACCGCCCGGGCGCAGCATGGGGAGAGGCTGACAGGAGGGAAGCGCTCAGCGCTCCCACCTGTCAGCTCCCTCTCTGTAGCGTGGCCGAGCCCTCTATGGCATGGTCCGACCGGTACAGAGAGCAGCTGTCTCCTGTACCCGGCCGGACTAACAGGAAGTGAACACTGAGTGTTCACTTCCTTTTAGTCCGGCCGGGTACAGGAAACAAAAGCAACCTGTACCCGCGGACCAATAGAGGGCTCGGCCACGCTACAATAGAGGTAGGGAGGGTGGGGGGAATAAATGGACGGGGAAGGAATAAATGGACGGGGGTGGGGGTGGGGAGGAATAAAATGGACAGGGAGGGGGGGAGGAACAAATGGACAGGAGGGGGGGGATAAATGGACAGGAGGGGAATAAATGGACAGGAGGGGGGAATAAATGGACAGGAGGGGGAGGAATAAATGACAGGGAGGGGGGGAATAAATGGACAGGAGGGGGGGAATAAATGGACAGGAGGGGAGGGGGGAATAAAATGACAGGGAGGAGGGGGGGATAAATGGACAGGAGGGGGGGACAGGAGGGGAGGGGGGAATAAAACGGACAGGGGGGGAAATAAATGGACAGGAGGGGGGAATAAAATGGACAGGAGGGGAGGGGGGAACAATGACAGGAGGGAGGTGGAATAAATGGACAGGAGGGGAGGTGGGGAATGTGGACAGGAGGGAGGGGGGAAATAAAATGGATCTGGGGGGAATAAATGGACAGGGAGGGGAGGGGGAGGAATAAATGGACAGGGAGGGGGGGAATAAATGGACAGTGGGGGGGGGATAAATGGATAGGCAGGGTGGGGGGATAAATGGACAGGCAGGGTGGGGGGAATAAATTGACAAGGTGGGGGGGAGAAATTGACAGGGAGGGGAATTGACGGGGTTAGGAGGGGGAATGAGAGTGGGGAGGGGAGAAGAGAGTTACAACGGGGGAGACGAGAGTGACAAGGGAGGGGGAGAAGAGAGGGACACGCAGGGGAGAAGAGAGTGACAAGGGAGGGGGAAGAAGAGAGGGACAAGAGGGGGGAGAAGAGAGGGACAAGAGGGGGGAGAAGAGAGGGACAAGGGGGGGAGAAGAGAGGGACAAGGGGGGGGAGAGAAGAGAGTGACGAGGGAGGGAGAGGGGGAGAAGAGAGGGACAAGGGAGGGGGGAGAGATTGACATCCATCACACACACACACAATGCACCCCTTGCACACAGAAAAACGCACAATGCATTACACACACACACACACACACAAGCAATTCAACCCTTACACACAATGCATCCCTTACACACACAGAAACACAATGCATTCCTTACACACACTCAATGCACCCCTTACAGACGCACACACTGCATCCCGTACATACATTGAAACACACATTGCAGCCCTTACACATACAAACACAGATTCACACAATGCATTCCTTACACACACATATCAGGACATCCCCTACTCCTGTGAACAAAATAATTGGTGGAACATGAAGGTGGACCCTGGGGCCCAGACCTTGAGCTGTGTAAAGGGCCCCCAAAAAATGGAGCTGCTTCCCGTTCTCCCAGAACACAAACAGCCTCCAGACGAGTGGAGCCAGACTGCAGCTAGAGCCCATCACCATCCTCATCTGATTGTAAGTAGGCAATCTAGTATATTATTCGTGGCACTAAGCTCTAATTTACCTCACATTAAAGGGACACTTTAGTCCCCAGAACCACTGCAGCTTAATGTAGTGGTTCTGGTGTCTATAGCCTGTCCCTGCAGGCCTTTTAATGTAAACACGGCGGCACTGCAGCACTTGCGTTAGTTAAAATGGGGCATTGTGATGTCATATGGGGGGGGGGGGCGGCAAACTTTACTTTTGCCTAGGGCGGCAAAAATCCTTGCACCGGCCCTGACTCTACACAAAAGGGGTGATAAACTGCTCCTGGTGTTGGACAATTCCAATAATTCTGTATCAGCTATGGTTAGAGGCTAGAGAATTATGGGTGTTGGCGGAACACACAGCCTTAGTGGAGGATCTTTAGAAGTTTTTTTTAGTTTTTTTTTTTATCTTTGGAGTAAAATCTCTCCGATTAATCCCACCTAGCATGATGGCATTAGTTACATACAAAGTTATTCACTAACGTGAGAATTCAAATTGTTTTAACAGTTTGGCTAGGAGTATTTGGACAGAAAATAAGAAAGTGAATATGACACATAAATATTTAGGTCACAGGAAAGATGACTTTGTTACCTATTTTCTAGTTGAAGGTTATAATAAATGTATATTACAGAGCATTATAAAATAAATACCCTCCTTTTGGGAGCTTACATTAAAATATTAGTATCAGGTATACATATATATATATATATATATATATCTTCATGCAATGTTCAATATTATAATAATGAGTTAAAAAATTTAAGAATATTGAAAGTTGTTTTTGTTGTTACCATTCTCCACCAGCCATTGATTGAGTTTCAGCCTGGGGGAACCTCAATCGAGGGCTGGTGGAGAACGGTAACAACAAAAAACTGTGGAAATCCTACTTTTATTAATACTACGGCTCAAAAAACAAAAAAAAACAAAAAACATCTAAAAACTATAAAGGGCTACTCCAAGGGAAACAAATAAGCTAATCAACTTCCATCCACAAGGAAAGGAAAATAATCCCAGTCCTATTGCACAAAAGGATGAGGTAGGTCTTGAGTGTAGGTAAACATAAAGGAGCAGGGCCGGACTGGCCCACCGGGATACCGGGAAATTTCCCGGTGGGCCGCGGCATCTGGGGCCGGACTGACAGCCCTAATCATTGGGCTGACAGCTCCGGCCGCACAGAGCCCCATGGGAGCAGGGGGAGCCGGCCGGCACAGCTCCCACACGGCCGGCCGGGATGATGATGATGATAAAAAAAAAAAAAAGATTGTGGCGGGGCGGAGCTTAGTGCGACAGGGCGGGGCTAGCGGGGCTTAGCGTGCGGTGAGGGCGGGGCTTACCTGCGGCGGGGCCCGGCTGACTGCAGCATGGGAAGCAGGAAGGAGTCCCTGATTCCCCAACAACCAGCCTCCAGGAACTCCAAGCAGGAGGGAAGAAGGAGGTCAGTGTGTGAGTGTGTGACTGCCTGTGAGTATGTGACTGTCTCTGTGTGAGTGTGTGACTGTCTGTGTGAGTGTGTGACTGTGTGACTGTCTCTGTGTGACTGCCTGTGAGTGTGTGACTGTCTCTGTGTGAGTGTGTGACTGTCTGTGTGACTGCCTGTGTGAGTGTGTGACTGTCTGTGTGAGTGTGTGACTGTGTGAGTATGTGACTGTCTGTGTGACTGCCTGTGTGAGTGTGTGACTGTCTGTGTGAGTGTGTGACTGTCTGTGTGTGACTGCCTGTGAGTGTGTGACTGCCTGTGAGTGTGTGACTGTCTGTGAGTGTGTAACTGTCTGTGTGTGACTGTCTGCCTGTGTGTGACTGTCTGCCTGTGTGTGACTGCGTGTGTGTGTGTGACTGTCTGCCTTTGTATGTGTGGGTGTTTGCCTCGGTGTCAATGACTGTCTGCCTGTGTGTGTGGCTGTCTGCCTGGGTGTCAGTGACTGTCTGCCTCTGTGTGTGTGTGCGTGCATCTGCTAGTGAGGGAGCCTGTGTGTGTGTGTGTGTGTGCCTGCTAGTGAGTTGTGTGTGTGTGTGTGTGCCTGCTAGTGAGTGAGCTTGTATGTGTGTCAGTGAGCTTGTCTGTAGGGATCATATGTGTGTGTGTGTTAGTGAGCTTGTCTGTAAGGAGCATGGGTGTGTCGGAGCCTGTCTGTGGTGAGCATGTGTGTACCGTGAGCTTGTCTGTAGTAAGCATGAGTGTGCAGCCAACTATTTAAATTGCCTATATATTTTATTGAAATATTTAAGAGAAGATCAACGTTTCAGTCCCTCTTGTGGACTTTCGTCATGATCCTGATGCAAGTCCACAAGAGGGACTGAAACGTTGATCTTCTCTTAAATATTTCAATAAAAGTTACATTTTCAGGAAATCCGAGAGTGCAGCCAACTATTTCAATTGCATATATATATATATATATACACCCTACATAGCACAATGACTTATGGGGCTGGCATAGATTTTTTTTACAGGGCTGCTTTGTATCCCCAGTCCTGCCCTGTAAAGGAGGATCCAGGAAGGGATATATCCACCAGTTCTCCCTCTTTTTGGGTCCCTAGTCTACAGTTTCTCTCTCTTTTTGGGTTGCTTAACTCCTTGTTGGAGGGGGTACCCATAATACTTTTATTATTATTAGAATAGTGTGTCCTATATTTAGACTTTTTTACACATACCTGGGAGAGTGGAAACTTGGATAGTTTGTGGTCGGACTAAACGGAAGTTGGATTTAAGAGTAAGTTTCACCCGATACGTGGTATTCGGGGTTAAGTTGCTCAGTACCATGCTAGTCTGGTCTCCAGGCAAAACCATCTGTATAGTTCTACTTGTGTCAGATTCCAGAGAATACTCTAGAAGGTAATTTTCATCTTTAAGAGGAGACAGCAATCCTGGCCAGGTCAGCTCAAAGCTGGTCGTTGTTACATTGTTCACCTGCAGTGATATTTCTTGGATCGGTTCTGTAAAGGGGAGCAATATAATTATTGACACCACTTATTCTATCAGACACAATAATCACAATAAAGTCTCTCCACAGATTCTCCATCAAATGAAGGTCTGAGCTTTGACTGAGCCGTTCTAAAATATCCAGATGTTTGATTTTAAAGTGTTCCATCGTGGCCTTAGGCTGTGTCGCCACAGTCATTATTCTACTTGAATTTGAGTGGCCTCCTCAGTCTCAGTTGTCTCAGAATTGCAGCAGTGGCTTAGCAACATTTTTGTTTAGGTTTTTTATACCAGAGAAATGTCTTCTATGTTTGGGAATGCTGCTACCCCAGGTCTTTTGTCAAATTCTAAAAAGAATTATGATTTTATTTTCTCAACAATGGGACTTTTAGAACTTATCTCCCCTTTTTTATTTGCAACATATTCATGAATGTCTCTATACATAGCTGAACTAACCATATAGACAACTTAGGTGGCCACCTAAGGCCAACTTTTAGAGAGGAGCCCAAGAACCATGCTTGCCAAGCTTGACAATTCACCATGTCCTGTGGATGTGGAGCCTCAACAAGTAACCTGTGTAGTACCCTGAGGGATCCTTCTCTTCCCCGATCTGGTGTTAGTTTTTAAAAAGCAATTCTAGGCCAGAGTTCTAAAACAAAATTAATCATTACTGACACTACCCTCAATTGTTACTGTACAATAAAATATGGTACTTACTGTCACATATTTAGGATCCATTGAACTTACCATGGAGAGTGGTAACTTTTATAGTTTGTGGGTGGAAATACTGAATATTGGATTCGGGAGTGAGTGTAATCCAATAGGTGGTATTAGGGGTTAGATTGTCCACTAATGCGCCAGTCTGATCTGCTGTCAGAATTTTCTGTACACTCCAGCGTTTGTCAGATTGTAGTGAATAATCCAAAGTGTAACTTTCTTCTCTCTGCGTCAACAACCGTGGCCATGTTAGTCTAAAGCTCGTAGTGGTTATATCAGAAGCATGGAGCCTTTTTGCATGGATCAGATCTGTGAATAAGAGAGAAAAGAATTGCATGGGAATTATCACTCTGTTTGAGACCACATGCATCAGTTTAAAGATACACTGCTAACTAGAAAACGTATTATTTAGTTATTTACAAATAATGTAGAATGCCAGTGGCATAGAGGTCTATGCCAATAAGTGAATGACAGTGGAAACAGGAGAACTGTCCAACAGGTGGTTCTCCTGCTCTCTGTCACAGTGCAACTAATTTGAGCAAGTGCATCTTGGATTTGCTGGGAAATATAAGAATGGAAAGAGATGTATCCTTCCAAACTAGTTCCTATGCACTGGGTGGATGGCGGAATGTTGGCATCATAGAGGAAGACTGTATTGCTTTAGGAAGAGTTCCCAAGCAGTACCAATTGTCTTGGAGAATGTGTGGAAGTTCAAAATCCACAGGCCCCTGACCGTGGCAGCATTGGCCATAACAGCTCCTAAGGCAACTGACTAAATAATTATAGTTATCATAAATGATAAATTCATTGCTTTAGGTGCAGTTATGCCCATGTTGGCAGGTGTTGGATCTGGGATGGAGCATGGAGGGGTTGGGTAGCCAACATGAGGGATAGTATGCAGAATTTACATGCTACATGAAAAACATGGTCTATCTACATGTCCCCTTATAATACCCTGTTCCTCCTTTTCTACACTGTCCGCGACTGAATACATGTGATTGTATCACAGACTTCCACAGAAATAAAATGTAAAATATATGAGCGTTACCAGATTGCCAATTTGTAAAGCACAGAAATTAACGTTTCATACTTTGCGACTGTGCGATTAAATGCACTACAGAAGTGAAAAAATTATTTCTGCTGTTTCTCTGGATTCTGAGTGTAGATGTTACATACCGCGAAATTATTTTCATATATAGCCTCCACAACATCATTAAAATGGGTTACATGAAAGGATAGTCTCCTTTCCCACAAAGATCCGTTACAATGCTACTCATCTGAAAATTAAATGGCAAAATTTTGGCTAAAGCTTTATTATTTTAAATATAATTCTATATATTCAAGTCACCATAATTCCGTGTTTAGAGTTTAGAAATGATTGGGAGGTTATTTTATATTCTACAGGACAGTATAACCTCCTAATCAAATCTGGACATGCAATTGTGTTTAAAGCTCCCCAGTTTAAATAAATTACATGTCCCCCCCATAATTGCTTACCCAATTCCACAAAGTTTCACTTTTTGGTTAATTAAAATTCTACAAAGTGTGCTCCCGCATTCTTCTCTTACTGGAATTGGGTGGGTAAAATGAGCATCTGTGGGTTCCTTACTGGCACTGCCAGATCAACTATATTTTTCTGAATGTATAGCACTTCGACATGTGCATGAGCAATACATGAAAAGTGCTACCCTGTACAATATAAAATTCATATATACATTCTATATAATAAAGGCCATCACTTTTCAAACCCAGCTCCTCAGTATACATAAATTACATATGCATCCCGGATAACAAACGCCCATTGACACAAATATATCTAAAACAAACATTTCATATGCTTTTACATTTTTAGGAAACTGGTTTGTGAATATGTATTACTAAAAAGTGGACACTAGATGGCAGCATTGTTTCTTTTTTGGCTGCTTGAACTTTCTCATCAAAAGAAATGCTTTTAAAGGGGTCATGGTACAAATATACTCATTTGTGGAAAAAGTACAGAGCTTCCAAACCCCCTATGGATTAAGTATTCAATAGAAGCATCTGGATGTATAATTGGTAGTTTGTGTTACAGGATAACCAGCTGGGCTCCATTTAAAATAACTACTATTTATAATCAGAGCTTTATGTTCTCCCTAGTGATTCCAGGTGTATTAAACTATATTCCATTGTGAGGACAGAGAAATTTCAATCTGCGGGCCAGTACGAAGCCTTAAGATAGCTGAGGGTCCTCTTTATGGGAAAACTATTGCTTTCGTATTTGTTCATCTACTAGTAAAAAATAATACAAAGTAACATAAAATAAAACATTTCACTCAATAAACTTTTACAGTTACAATTATACTATTCTTTTTTTTTTTTTTTTTTTACCACTACAGTGAGCCTGGTTCACGGAGGGTGGCCAGATTCACATCATATCTCCATCCTAGTGGGTGATACATGAAAAGTGCTACCTCGTAGTATGCTAGGTTCGCAATCATACAGAGCAGAAAGGATGTGAATTCGTCAATTAAGAACAAAGTCCGATGGAATATTCATGATAATGCAACCAATTTTCAACACATTTATAAATGATCTTGAATTAGGCTTTGAAAGCCATGTTTCAGTGTTTGCAGATGGCACAAACCCTGTAAAGTAATACAATGTGAACAGGATATTGCTTCGCTGCAGAGGGATTTACACAGATTGGGGGACTGAGCACTCAAACGGCAGATGGTAGAAAAAACGTACAAGCCATTTAAACCCTAAAGGGTAGTGATGAGTAGTTGTATGGACAGACTGCCCTGGGTTCAGTTTCCTTATTGGGGTTTTGTCCCTGGGGACCCAAGAAGTGGCACACCAGAGAGCTAACCCGGGACAGTAAAACAGGGACTGAAATATGGGATTTCTTGCAGAGCATAGAACTGTTGGGCGATATGCTTCTTACACCCAGGCTTCACCCAAACATTTGCCTGCCTATATCTACTAAATGAGGAAGCACAGAAAGTGTAGGTTTTCCTTTTCTTCAGTTTGCATTATAATTTGGAACAAAATTTGCTGAGGTCAGCAAAGCCCAGAGGCATCCCAAGCACCACAACCACTACAGCTCACTGACAATAATCAATCAATTCCTTCTGTCAACAGTGTGAACAAACACCTCCGGACCCTGCCAATAATCCATCCATTCTCTGCCGACATTGTGACCATCTCCGGACCCTGCCAATAATCCATCCATTCTCTGTCGACAGTGTGACCAGCTCCGGCCCCTGCCAATAATCCATCCATTCTGTGCCGACAGTGTGATCATCTCCGGCCCCTGCAATCAAACCATCCATTCTGTGCTGACAGTGTGACCATCTGCGGCCCCTGCCAATAATCCATCCTTCCTTTGCCGACAGTATGACTATCTCTGTCCCCTGCAATTAAACCATCCATTCTGTGCCGACCATGTGATCATCTCTGGCCCATGCCAATAATCCATCCATTCTCTGATGACAGTGAAACCATCTCCAGCCCCTTCCAATAATCCATTCATTCTCTGCTGGGAGTGTGACCATCTCTGTCCCCTGCCAATAATCCATTCATTCTCTGCCGACAGTGTAACCATCTCTGGCTACTGACAATAATTCATCCATTCTCTGTCGACAGTGTGCCCATCTCCGGCCCTGCCAATAATCTATCGATTCTGTGCCGACAGTGTGACCATCTCTGGCCCCTGCCAATAATCCATCCATTCTCTGTCGACAGTGTGTCCATCTCCGGCCCCTGCCAATAATACATCCATTCTGTGCTGACAGTGTGATCATCTCCAGCAATAATCTATCAATTCTCTGTCAACAGTGTAACCATCTCTGGCTACTGCCAATAATACATCCATTCTCTGCCGACAGTGTGACCATCGCCGGCCCCTGCCAATAATCCATCCATTCTGTGCCGACAGTGTGACCATCTCAGGCCCCTGCCAATAATCCATCCATTCTCTGCCGACAGTGTGACCATCTCCGGCTCTGCCAATAATCGATCGATTCTGTGCCGACAGTGTGACCATCTCCGGCCCCTGCCAATAATCCATCCATTCTCTGCCGACAGTGTGGCCATCTCTGGCCCCTGCCAATAATCCATTTCTTCTTCTGCCAACAGTGTGATCCTCTCCAGCCCCTGCCAATAATTAATCTATTCTTTTGCCGATAGTGTGATCATCAATAATCTACCATTTAGTGAGTAACATCAGAACCCAAGAACACAGGAGGCATGAAACCATTATGGACAATGAGAGCAGCAGAATTCTTAGTCTGTCTGCCTAATATTCAAGATCCTTGTGAGAATGTTTCTACCACTTTTATCTATCCATGATCCACCCATCTATCCATCCGTCCATCTGTATTAGATTGGCACCCACCATCCTCTCCTATTGTATAGAGGTGCCAAAACCTCTTTGGCTGGGCCAAAACTAGTAAGTTGCAAACCTTGGTCAGAAAAATATATCTCGACTACTCATGGCGACAGTGCAGCATCCATATGCCTCCTGCTATCCTGCTATCCTTAGAGGGAGCTGACAGGATCATATTGATATTCTAAGAAGCTGTGTCTTAGTCTGACTGGTTTATCATATTCTTGTGTCATTATAATGTACACTGTTTAGAATTGTTTTCTATATCCGTTGCTTCAATATTGAGTTTATAATTATAACATTTACTGACCTTAGAAACAGGTCCCACAAACAGGTCAACCAACATATTCAAAGTTCTATTATTTGAACTTTTTAGATGTAGAATTAATAATAAATGTGATGGGATTTTAAAACATTAGGGATTGATCAAGACAGGCTCTGGCCCCTCAACAGTCCTGATTTCATTGGGACACTCCTAAATTCAGCGGGACAGTCTCAATTTCAGTGGCACACTCCGATTTCATCAGTGTAACTTTGTTGCATAAGGGGAAACAATACCCTTGCAGATATGTCTTATTCAGCTTCCAGGTATAAGGTGTTGGTCCCTTCAGCATATCTATAGGAACCCAAAAGTCTTATGGGAAAAGTTGCTAATCCTGTCCACCTCTGTGTGATAATAGTTCTTAAAAAAGTCACTAAACGCCAAGCATCTATTTTCTGAGTTTTATTGCTGTGAATTTCTGATGCAAACAGAATTCTTTAAATCTGACTTCAAGACCAACAACAGACAACATTCTCATTACACCCCTTCTTCAATACAGGAGACCAACATGAGTGAAACGTAGGGTTCGTCTCACTAATTATTTTTCTATCGGCTGGTACATGCTGGCCTGTAGGGGGATTTTAAGTGGAGGACAGACTTGTAAAAAATCTCTGCAGTTATAAGCCAGCCCCCTGCCTCAGACACAGCTAAGGAGCAGTTTTTACTTCTTCCTTTGTTGTTTCAAATAAATCAAACTTGTGCATACAACAGGCAGAAGGACTTTGTTCTCCTCCCCTATAGTCAGCTGTGCCACGAATAAGATCAGAACTCACAGACCAGCACGGGAGGCTTCTGATTGGTCGAGCCACTTACTGCTCATGGCGAGGGTTCCCTGTAGCTGTAGAAAGCCTCTCTCACCTGTGCAGCTACATCATGCCTTATTTTCTATCCTAATATCCCTATTTTCTAGGAACTTCATAAATTTAACAGAGCTCCATAGCAAAAATACTCTCAGTAATTAAAATACAATAAATGTGTTTATAAATCAGGCTGTGTAAGTAAGATACATTGTTTTTGATCTAGATTACATTATAGATGCAGACATTTGGAAGTCACCAAACAAATTCTTAAATCAGTTTTGCTCCCGGACACACCTTTATGCCCCCCCTAAAATTTAAGTGACCCTCTTTGTCCATTTGAAATGTTTGGTAATATGCTCATGACCTCTAAAGGAGAGTGCTTTTTTTATTTCATATTTTGTTTCATATATTTTTAAATGATTATGTGAATAAAGCAATAAAAATAGGGGTAATTTTTTGCTTATATTTACTGTTAAAAATGTCTTATATAATTATTTGTTTTTAGAGGCTAATTAATCTATGCATTCCCTAGTTCATAGGTCATCCAGGGAGCAGAGCAAGAGGAGGTAATGAAATTTTAGACCTACCACCCACCTATTAATTAAGTGCTACAGAGAAAATACATTTTAGGATGGGAATCTTTGGAAGAACGCTGTGAGCTTCGGAAACATTAGCCATTTTCATTCTGTTGAAGATTTACTGAGAACAAAATAAACGTTTAGCTTTTTGCCGCATAGTATATTAATATTCATAGACTGAGTCTGAGTCCTAAACAGATGGGAAATTAAAAATATCTGATATTTGAGGAATTCATTAATATGTAAATTATTTTTTTAGGACAGAATGGGTCTATTCACTAAATAGAAACGTGTAAAACTGTGGGCTTGTAAAATTAAGAATATAATACTCAATATGGGAGAAAGTATCCAGCGGCAATCTGGACATTTTGTTCCCCAGGGCTGGTTTATCCTACATTTTTTAGGTCACTAGAACTTGTGAATTTGCCACAGCGATATGAGGGTCTACATGAAATTTCACAAGAAACAGCTGATGGGAAATGGAAGGAATGTTTCAGACATCCTATCTATTGCCTCATTGACACAATTTGCTAAAAATCAGGTCCTAAAGGAGACAAAGTGGTCCCTACTTTGTCACGTTGAGTTCTACAAGTCAACGTGAGCTTAACATAAACATTCTAATATTTTATGCAATGCTGTAAAGTGACTGTGCCACTTTAATTAATGGCAGCACATGAATTCTACATACTCCAGTGCCGGGGTGTACTTTTAGTCCTTGCCCAAGGGAATACAGAATGTATATGTGACCAGAAAAGAAAGTGTCACAGTCGCCCTAATTCCCACGAACCCTGCTGATCTGCAGGAACAAAAATATTATCTGAATGCTGAGACTCTAGACCACAGTAGCGTTCTCTGGGGCGGTGGCAAACAGACAGCAGGATAGTAAAGAATTGAAAGGTTTTTTTGGGTTTTGATTTTACAGGAAATGGCAATGAAGTAAAAATATTAGTGGAAAATTCAGGCAAAAATGAAAGTTGTGACTATATCAAAGTTGCAGAATTTTTCAGCTATTTTGACGTCAGTTTTGCAAACTAGTTTTCAGTTCACTGCCATTCGACCATTCGATGTTTAGAAAATAACCCTTGAGGAATAAAACACATAGTGCATGCTCTAGCACTGAAAGTGTTAACATGATTAAACCCTTTTAACCAGGGTCTATCTCGTCCCATCGGCAGATCTGCCAGTGGCATTGGACACACACAACAAGGCATGATGGCAGAACTCATTACAGATCGAATTCCTTGGCAGAGGAAACACCCTGAATAAAGAATTGATTCTTTCATTACTAAACAGTTTCTGAAAAAAAGAACTACGTTTATACTCCGTGAGAATGAAAAGCTTTTATGTCTAACATTTGGAGGGCAGCTGAAAAATTGAATTTATTTTTTGTTAAAAGATCTTTATATGATGTTCACAACATCTAGCGTGCTGAAGGTTTCCTACCCCTGACCAAGAACTAATATCATCGAGTGTTTACACTTTACATTTTCTTCAGCACAGCAGATACTCTCTACTCACCGCATACCTGCCAACAAGTCATATAACCCAAGATGGACACCTTACTATTACTATTAAACACATTACTGTGAGTTTCATAGAGCTGCAATGTTATTTTACGCTTGTACACAAAGTATTGTACATAGACCTATTTTTCTATTTGCCATTTTAGGTGTGCCATATTGATTTCCATGTCAGCCCTCCTTATGTAAAGTGTGCCTTCTTCCACCCCCCAATTACAGGAAACCAAAGGATGTTCATTTCCAGCATGAATCGTGCCAGTGTTCTATGCCGAAACAGCCAAGTGATACCCAGTACCCTGCCATTACCCAGAAAAACAACTTACCAAACTTACCAACATTCCCGAACCCCTAAATATATGTAAGGATTAGGGGATCTCTTAATAACCCTTCCCTAAAATGTTAAATATCTTTAACAAACAAAATTCAGCCAAACAATAAATGCAAGGCCTCATGCTCTGACCCTAATAGGCATTTTTAACCCCATCAGGACTAGGGGGTTAAGAACATACTGGCATATATTTTTGTCATAAAGGAGTTTAAACAAAAAACAAAAACTCACAAAAGTTACACTGTCCAGAAGAACTACAGCTCAGTGTAGTTGTCCTGGTGAGTATAGTCAATCCCTGCAGGCATTTTAATGTTAAAGGCAGTGTTTATATTGCTGCCTAGGAACACAATCCAGTGACAGTCCCGGCTTCTAGTGGTGTTTCTTGAGTCAATGCTACACATTCAGCAACTCCAATCTCTTCATGGCGGCGCCGAATGTTCCTCATAGAGATACATTGATTCAATGTATCTCTATGATGAGGTGCTGATTGGCAGAGCGTGGTGTTCCCTGCCCTATCTATCTATCTATCTATCTATGTGCAAAAATCAAGAAAGTTATGGTGGGGAAAAATTGTGGGAAAGCCCCTTCCACCTGAAGTCAGTGAATAGTCAATACAATGTTAAACAAATATCTGCACACCAGTCAAGCCATAAGAACTAGTTTGTTGTACGATTGTACGGTAAATATGACTAGGTAGGTGGTTGGATGATAAGTGGTACAGGGCTAAGGTAGGGTGTGTGTGTATGTATGTATGTGTGTGTGTGGAGGCTGCTTCTATTATTGTTTGTGGGAATGCTGCTTAAGGGGTTGTCTGTATGGTGGTGGCTGGTTGTTGTGTTGCATTTTGGACTCTAGTGGCAGAAGAGGGGCTTTAGTGAGTGGGATGTGGCTATAGTGGGGTTATAGGGGCTGTAGTGGGGAAACAGGGGCTATAGTGGGGGATAAAGGCAATAGTAGAGTGATAGGGCTATAGTGGGGAGATAGTGACTGTAGTGAGGGGATAGAGGCTGAAGTGGTGGAAGAGCAGCTGTAGTGGGGGAATAGAGGCTATAGTGTGGGATAGTGGCTATAGTGGGGAGATAGGGGTTAATGTTGGAGGTATATGGGCAATAGTAGGGGGAATGACTCTCGAGGAAGGATAGAGACTATTGTGTGGTGGATAGTGGCTGAAGTAGATATGCGCCAGGGAATGAGGGTTGTAGTGGGGATATAGTGGCTGTAGTGGGAGTACAGGGGTTTTAGTGAGGGACAGTGGCCGTTGTGGGGGGGTTAGTGGATATAGTGGGGGAAACGTGGTTGTAGTGGAAAGGATGGTGGCTATAGTAAGGGAATAGCTACTGCAGTGTGGGCATACAGGATGTAGGTGGGAAGTAGGGACTCTGGGGGGTATTGGAGCTATAGTCAGTGGTGTATCCTGGTTTTGTGATGCCCTAGGCAGGACAAAACTCAGGCGCCCCCCTCCCCCTCTCCGCACCACCACCCACCCAACCCTTCCCCCCGACCGCCTTCTAAATACACACACACACACACACACATTCACTGACAGATACGCATACACTAGCTAACAGACACACACAGACACACACAAGCAGACACACACATTCACTAACAGGCGCAAACACACTCACACTAACAGACACACACACAGTCAGACACACACACACACACACTAACAGACACACTCACTAACAGACACACTCACTAACAGACACACACTCACTCACTCACTAACAGACACACACTAACAGGCAAACACACTAACAGACATACACACTCACTCACATTAACACATTTTTTTTATTTAACCCCCCAGCCTCCTTACATACTCACACTCACTAACAGACACACACACACACTAACAGGCACACACACTTACACACACTAACAGGCAAACACACTAACAGACAAACACACTAACAGACATACTCACATTAACACATTTTTTTTATTTAAACCCCCAGCCTCCTTACCTTTGGGAATGCTGGGGGGGTTCTCTTTCTTCCTGGGGGTCCAGTGGCTCCTGGGCGGGCGGCTGGCAGGCGGCTGGCGAGGGAGCACTTTCCTCTGAGCGGTCTGCTCAGCTCCCTCGCGCACCTCACTCTGCGGCGCGCGAGGGAGCTGAGCAGACCGCTCAGAGAAAGTGCTCCCTCGCCAGCCGCCCGCCAGCCGCCCGCCAGCCGCCCGCCCAGCAGCCTGTCTGGCATGTCAGTTAGCCGCAAGGCTAACAAGATATTTGCCCTGGGCATTTGGGGGCGGCTTTTTTTGCCGCCCCCTGGAAAATGCAGCCCAAGGCAAATGCCTAATACGTCCCTTGCTATAGTGGAGGGGTAGGGCTGTAGTTGGAGGATAGGGGCTCTATTGAAGGTACACGGACAGTAGGGGGGGTAGTGGCTCTAAAGGGAGTGGCTGTAGTGGGGGTTATGGGTTGTAGTGGAATGGATAGTGGCCGCAGTGGGGACTCCCCCGTTTCAGGCAGCTGCCAATACCTTCGAAGACGTCTGTATGGCTGCTGATGTTTTCCGCAATCATAGAGAAGCTATGGATTGGAAATAGGCATGTGTGGCTAAACTGCAGTATTTGATTCCAGGTCCTTGTTTCACTTATTTCTGGAGGAGGAAGCACCTCTAGTGCTTGTTAGGATTAACCCCTCAAGGACACATGACATGTGTGACATGTCATGATTCCCTTTTATTCCAGAAGTTTGGTCCTTAAGGGGTTAAAGCCACTGGAGGTGTATTTAACTCTGTTTCTACAAAACTACAATGTTTTATATCGCAGGGTTGAATTCACAGGACCACTACACCCAGACCATTTCATCAAAATTTTGAAGGGGGATTTGCAAATTTAGAGAAACAGGAGAGCATGAGAGCGTGAATTTACTTGGTTTTAAAATATTCTTTTGGGCAGCCCTATTAATAGGATTAAATATACTGAACATGATGAAATTCGCCAGCACCCTTTTCATATTCCGTAGTATACATTCATTAGCTTAGCGGCAAAGCGCTGCTGGAACCATAGTTAAGTCTGTTTATAACTATGAGTCTGAGTCAGCGTATTAGGTTTCAGAGTACACAGGATCAGATAGTCACATCTTTCTGACTCAGTAGTAGATTTACTTAGTTTATACTTGCTGCGTCACAGTTATACAAATAGCAGCCAGAAGTATAAAAATAGAAGCGATATCTAAGCCAAAGGTGTGTCACTGACTTGAGATGGCCTAAAGATAAAAGATACGTTTACATCACCCAGCTATTGTGAGTGACAAACATCTTAGCAAATGCCACAAATAACCTCACATGAAGTGACAAAATAAAAAAGACTAGCGAGTGGGATAAATTATGACATTCTAGGATATTTTATTAGTCAATCCAATACAATTCAAGAGGTGAGAGATTAGTTATTTTATTATTTAATTAAAGGTACAACACTATAGGGTGAATAATACAAACATGTATTAGTGACCCTATAGTGTTAAAAACACTATTTAGCTTCCTGACTCCCCTTACCCCCCTTTGCCCCCACCTTAAATAATTAGAAAACGTACGTTTATTTGGGCACTGCTTCAGCCTCCTTGGCTGAGATGATCAGAATTGATGATCTCAGCCAATTGAATGCTTTCCCATAGGAAAAGCATTGCTGAGCCTGAATCAATGCAACTCTATAGGGAAAGCTCAGTGCCTAAATGCAAAGCATGGAGATGCTAAATATCAGTGCTGCTAGTGGCCTTCTGAGGAGTTACCTGGAGGTGTCCCTACGGAGCAATGTAAACACTGTGTTTAGAGCAAAAAGCCTGCAGGGACTGACTATACTCACCAGAACAACTACAATTAGCTGTAGTTGTTCAGGTCACTATAGTGTCCCTTTAATGCTTGATGTAGACATGTCATTTAAAAAAAAAAAAAAAAAAAAAAGAAGAATACCAGGAGGGAGCATCAGCGCCTGGTGGGGACCTAGTTATAGGGCAAATTCTTGCTAAACAATTTGCTCCATTACCAGGTAACCAGGCCAGGGTACTCATGGCACCATAACCACTACTGCAGGCTGTAGTGGTTATAGTGCTTGGACTAACGCGTTAAAGTAAAAAGAAAAAGCCAAGCACTATGGGTAGTCCTCTTTTCAATATCTCACTTAAAAAATAACTGATTGTGTTTGTTTTGGAAACCGTTAGGGTTATTCACCAGATTAAAACTTACCAGGAATTTAAAGTTAATTAAAATTGAACTTCACAATTTAGGCCAAAAAAGCAGAATTAGAAAAATTATATTTTTAGTTTGGGTATTTAGATACTAAAATTAAGGGTATTTTAGCCTGAAATTTAAATGTCACGTTGATTTCCTGGCAATTCTCCCTGTGTGTATTTTCCTAAAATATTCTGGAAAATTACATTTGGATGTCCTGGTAATTGTGACCTTCATTGAACATTATAATTCTTACTTTCTACATTTCGTATTAGTTTTTTTTTTCTATACCAGAGATTCTGCAACTTTGCACATTACCAAGTCAAAATAAGAACATGACCAACATACCAATGATGGAGTCCCGAAGCTCCTTGGTAATTATAGGGAGGTCATCCACATCTACAAAGTGAAGGTGTTTCTCAGATGGTTGGCTCGCTGCTTCTGATAACTCCAAGTAGTTTCCCCCACCAGTGCTTACAATAAAAACGGTGACACCTAAATCCTTGAGAAGTTGCATAGATTTAGAGATGTCATCTGTGGACAGACCATCTGTTACCCATACCATTACTTTTGGAACATCAGCCCTAGATCCAAATGTGCCAGCTGAGAGGTTATCCTTAACATAAGAAATGGCTTTTCCTGTATTTGTATCACCCATACGCTGTTTGGTGTCCCGTATGGCTTTTTGTATCTCATAGCTAGAACCATGTTGGTCAAAGGAAAATTCCAGAGATGGTTCAGTGCTTATGTGTACAATGCTTGCCTGGACATCTTGTGGACCAAAGGTAAATGGACCCAGAAGATCCCCAATAAATTCCTTGACTTTAGCAAACTCATGGTACGAGACACTTCCCGAACTGTCCAGAAGGAAGAGAAGGTCACCCTCGGAATCCGGGACAGAACTTGGAGAATCTGAGAAAAAAAAAAATTAGTGTTAATTTAAGTGAAAATTTAATTGGAATTGTGAGCCATATTTATCACTGGAAAACCAGAGCAAGTCTGGGCCATAAATATGGACCAGTCATCATCATGAAATGTAATTTCTGAAGTCAGCACTTTTTACCTTGATAACTATGGGCTGGTATCATTAATTGCCTAACATTCTATTAATTAATGGTCATGAACTCTGTAGCACTTAACTGAAATATTTAAATTTTAGGCAAAAATAGTCATGCTGGAATAAAATAATTTTTCTTTGTAAACTATTGGCCTAAAATATTATATTCCCTGTTTAATGCTTGACAATTCATAGTTTAAAAAAATAACATTGCACAGGCATTATTTATTAAACAGAGTACTTAGAATTGAAAGTCAAGTTGCAACATTTAAGCTAAAATAACCAAATTATAGCTATAGACAATGCATTTTATTTTAAATCAGCTAATCTAATCTTGCAATCTGATTTTCAGTTCTTTACAACTTTCTGTTTAGTGAATAGACCACCATATACTTGTCCATGAGTAAATTGGATATAGCAAACAAGTAGTTAGTAGCACATTAAAAAGGGGTCATTCTGGTAAATTATATTCAGTTCTAGTGTTTATAGAGTTGAATGATGAATGCAACAAGTTAATAAACAGGTCAATCTGAGCACCACCTCTACTTTGGTTTAATTAAATATTTTTCGTGCATACATAATGCCTCTGCATGGTCACTGCTCTTTTCTCTGCCAATTAAAGACTAAGTGACTATTTTGCAAGCCCTAACCACACCTCCACCGACTGTCAATCACACTCCTTCCTTACATGTGTTCTGTGAAGATATATTGATTTTACCCTATCTAATTTGTAGTGTCAGTACAAGTGTTTGCTTTAGGACTTGCAGGGGAGTGGGGATTCTGGGGAGTCCTTATCTCCCTGCTCAAAGCTGTGATTCATTTAAAGCTCTGTTAATTGCTAGTTATTTAAGCATAAATGATTGGTGCTGCCAGCAGCCTCCTGTGTGAGATGGAATAAACCTGTCACAATACAGAATTTTTTTTTTAAAGCCTGCAGATATTGCCTCATTTTGGGAGCCTTTAAACTACTTGTTTTTCCAAATATTTTTTAATACAATTTGTGAAACATCCAGCGTATAACTATTCAATAATTATGTATAATTATATTCTATGTATATATATATATATATATAGGTTTGTTCATATCTATCATGTACAGGCAAATCGTGGATATAGTAAGATGGCAGAGTAGTCCATAAAGAGGATTTGCCAGTGATCCAGAGCATAAGGTATTTTTCAAAAAAATTAACTGGAAATGATAATCCTTGCCAGTTGCTAAGTAGACTGGCACAAGTGAATTAAAATTTTCGATAGAGTCAACCACCCATTGGGATATGATTGACTCAGATTGTGCCACCACCATCCCCCTACTGTTCTGCCCCTTTCCAGTCTCACATTCATACTTCCAGGTATCGGGAGGTATGTACCCATGTATCTCAAGCAACAGAGCATAATAATGTGAACAGATTTCCATTTCAATTAGAAATGCTGATATTTAAAAATACTCCATACATTGGGTAGCATTGCATTATTCTATCACTGTAGATGTATTTTGCTCTAGAATTCTCAGCCTATCAATTTTAGTGAAGCTGGTATTTATTTTCACACAGTTTTATAAATCTTCCAGATAGATACACGTGCTTTAATGAAAATCCCACGTGTCTCCACATGCAGGATCCTTAAAAAGTACGCTGCTTGGGTGAACCCCGAGGACAAACCACAAAAACATTATATAACTATATTAGATTTATTACACTACAACAACAACAAAAAAATCTAATTCTTTTAGGATGAGTGATCAGGTGTAGAATTAACAGATTTCAGCGAACAAGTAAATCTTTAATCAGACAAAATGGACTCTGTCTTAACAAGCATAATGAAAGAAATTACACTTTACTAAAAGACACAGTAAATTAAGCAATCATTAAACACCATGGGGTTGAATACACACACACACACACACACACACAGACACAAAACTTGTGCGTGGTGCTATTTTGTTCAGATTTTCCTAACAAGGTTTTCTGAATTTGTAATCTTGTTCAGGATGTCCATTGCTTAACAATGGGCCTGTAAGGCTTGGCCAAATTCAGCTGTAAACACCAATTCTGCGGAATCGAACACATCTGCAAGGGTTAAGCATATGTTGGCTGGCCATGGTGTGCTAGTCAGCCACCATATTAACAAATGTAATAACGATTTTAAAAAAACCACGTGGAGGTCAGTATGATCCTCACATTAGTACAAAGGAGGTTTAAAGGGTCACGCCACACCCCTAGACAACTTTAGCTTGCTAAAAAGCTTTATGAGTGAAGAGTGTGTCCTCTTTTTTCATTTAGCAAAAAGTGCAGATTTCAAATAAAACTGACATTTTTTTATAAATTAAGCTGGTTACACCCCCTTGGCTTGCAGTCAGACAGGTTATTTTACTTCCTGGTTTGATCAGCTCAGTGGAGCTAAATGCAAGAAACAGCAACTGCCAAGAGCACCTGCCTTGTAAAGACTTCTCATTGAGCTGCATTAGGAAGTGTGTGATTGGACAGCCACAGAAAGTCTGGGCGGGGTTAAAAGGGGAGAGCTGGCAAAGGCCGCAGACAACAGGACTGCAGGTTTTACAAGCTGTTTTTAGATATACCAACAATGAAAGAACAATCATAATTAAATGCATGTAAGTTTTCATTTGGTGTATTTGGTGTATATCAACTAAAAAGTGATTTTTATTTATTTTATATTTTTTTAGTGGAGTGTCCATTTAACACCTCCCCAATACTCCTCCACTTGCCATGCCATGAGTTAGGGATTGTCTGCTAAAATATTGCTGCCCAATTGCTAGTAATATACTATTATTAAAGGGTTACTCCAACCACTTTTGCTTTTAGAAGTGATCATGGTGGTAGGAGTCAATATGTGCAGTATTTCAGTTTGAAAGGTTGCACATCCTGAGATAGTTGCATTTGTGTGCTGGGGAAAGTTACACCCTCGGCATATGTGACTTTGGCAGCCCGGAAGTCAGGTATTAGGTCCCATTTATTAGAGCCGCCACATGATGACCACGGGTGGGGGAAGGAAGCAGTGGGGGCTAGTGCACATATGCGTCCATTGGCAATTGCCACACTACGTCAATCAGCATCTCCTCATAGACATACATTGGCTTAATGTATCACTACAGGGATCGTTCTTCGTCTTCATTCAGAGGGTGAAAACACAAACGTCAGTCCACAGGACACAGGACCACACCAGGAAGGTCTCTGTTGGCTGTCTGAGTGACAGACACTAGAGGTGACCGTAGCTAGCAATGTAAAGTTGCCTTTTCTGAGAGAAGGCTGTGTTTCCATTGCTAAGTCTACAGGATCAGTCTGTTTGCAGTAGAACCACTGCATTAGGCTGCAGTCTTTCTGGGGCTTATGGTGTTTCTTCAACTAGAAACCTAAGTGACACCATTCACTCTGGCTTTTATTGGAGCAAAAAGAGAAAACACTGTTTGTTCGGGCATTTTTATTTTAGAGTTTTTACAGATTTTTAATCCATAAAAAAAAAAAAAAAGAACTGGGCATTTCCTGACACGAGTGTACATTTATCAATTTATTTTCGAGGTAAAATAGTCCCTCATGTTAAATATAAATATACATTTTTTAAATGGTTACCAACGACAAACACAAAGCACTTGTTATGAACAGTTTATAACAATGAATTCTACAACGCTGAAAGCTGTGTAGGGGAAACATTAGTACGCTGAAATAATGAGGTTTAATAAAACATAGAGTCAAACGCTTATAAAACAGCCACACCCTGGAAAAATAGTAAAAAACAGACAAAATAAGATACATTTATCCATTTGGCAGTGTTACAGTTATCCGTCAGTACTGACTGGTGGTGGCTATGATTCACTGCACACTGCTTGGCACTGGGTTGTCCATGCTATACAAATAGGAGATTCTCGTTTAGAAAATGTGAAGAGGAAAGTAAATATATCTATAACTTCCTGGAAAAATATCTGCAGCTTCTATTCTCCAGGAAACTATAACTGTTAAGAAAATGAGTGCTGAGGTGTAGATGTGACTAGTTTAAAATAAATCCATCAATTATATGTAAAAGACCTTTATCAGTTTAACATTTCTTATATTTCTATTCTAACGTATAATAAAAGATACAATGCTGATGCGACTTTACCGTGCAAAGAAAATACGTAAATTACACTTCCCCATGATGTGCAGTCAACTTCTAAAGCTGACAGAATAAAGGAAGTTATCATGTAATTTCAGGCCCTGAAGCAAAATCACTCAATCACCGATAGGCGTAAAAACACACTTTTTATTGCATTCACTTTAAAAACAGCAGAAAAAGTGACTCATGCAGATTCAAGGAAAGAACAGTCAAAATCGAACGCATTTTACCAAGTCTAATAGCCCATTGCATTTTTGTCCTTATGTGGCTTTTTAAATGAAAGTGGCTTGAAAGTACTTTTCCCCACCTCGTTTCCTTATGCATTCTCCTTGTACTGCATCTTGTAAAGCGTCCACTTAAAGCTCCATGATTGTATCCATTTTGCCTTGATTATATAAAATGTTATTTTATACCCACATGATTTTCTTAGAGTATGAGAGAATATACGGTACGTGCAGCAATACTTCAAACACTTCATGTCGACTGAGAGAGATAGCTCAGATAGCTCAGTGCGACAGGTGGGATTTTTGGCAAAAATCACTCTTTTGTCCTTGCAAGGTCCATAAACTAAGTACCATTAAGTTGGGTTATAATACAATGGGTGTGAAGAATCCCCCTCCATTCATTCGATACTTTCCCTCCCTGCTACTTTATTCATGGATTTATTACTGTGACGAAGTGCCCTTCGCCACTTGTGCCTGGAGAGGACTGCTTGCCCGCCTCTTGCCCTGTGACTATGGACCCTGGGAGATTTGGCCCGTTCAATTCAGTATGATAGGAGTTATGTATTTTCGTATCCTTTAGTGTTTTACTGGGAACATGTGCTCAATGGAGTCTGCCTCTATTCCTGGATAATTGGATTATTTTCCCCATTTTCTCCAGGATAGAGGGCTCTGTAAAACCGGTTTGGGCTAGATAGCCATGCTGCCAGCCAGGCCCCAAAAGATACTTTACTAACTTCTGAACCCCTGTTCTGATTCATGCCATTTTTTGATATGTTGATTCCCTGAATGGATTGATTGTAAATATATAAATTTTATGTGAATGTGATGTATATTTTAGAAGTTATGAATATGCTGTAAAAACTGTATTTTTCCTACCTGTGATAATTGATTTTCTATTGTATAAGATAATTGAATCACAGGCAGAGGGGAGGATTTTGTGTGGGCTGTAACCTCTGTTTTATTGGCTACTGTAGATAACATGTGTCCCTCCCCTGCATGGGAGCAGGGCATAAAAGAAACTGTAGCTTGAATACCTGTTCTTGTTACTTCCAGTAAAGTCTTGTTCCATCATTAAGCTTTGGCTCATGTGTGGATTATTCGGCGATTCCAGGGATATTTCTACTTGTGGAATATTGGGTGACTTTCTTTTATGGGAAGAAGGGAATGCTTGACGGTGATACCTTATACTACCGTCACAATGGGTAAATGCAACCTTCTTGTTAAATTCGTCCTGTGGTATCTGGCACCAAGACATTAGCAGTAGGTCCTTTAAGTCCTGCAAATTGTGGGGTGAGGCCTCCATGGTTCGGATTTGTTGTTCCAGCACGTCCCACGGATGCTCAAGCAGAGTGAGACATGTGGAATTTGGGCAAGGCAAGACCTTGAACTCTTTGTCATGTTCCTCAAACTATCCCTGAACATTTTTTGCTTGCTGTGTGGCCGGGTGCATTATCCTACTGAATGAGGCACTGCCATCAGGGAATACCATTGCCATGAAGAGGTGTATGTGGTCTGCAATATGGTGCATGTCAAAGTAACACATGAATGTCAGAACCCAAAGTTTCTCATTAGAACTTTGCCCAGAGCATAACACTACCTCCACCGGCCTGTCTTCTTCCCAAAGTACATCCTGCTGCCATCTCTTCCCCAGGTAAACAATTCGCACTCAACTGGCTATCCACCTGATCTAAAAGCAATCTGAACAATTTGAGCTACAGTAGCTCTTCTGTGGGATCAAACCAAATGGGCCAGCCTTCACTACCCAGGTTCATCACTGAGCCTTGGGAACCCTTGAGCCTAAAGCTGGTTCAATGGTTGTCCTTCCTTGCATTACTTTTGGTAGGTACTAACCACTGCATACCAGGAACAAAAGAATTGCTGCTTTGGAGATGCTCTGACCCAATTGTCTAGCTACAGATCAACTCTGGAAAAATTCAACTCTGTCTCCAGAAAAGCCAGTATTAGTTTAATTTGATGTTGGAAGGAGATAAAGGATATATTATCTTTTGCAGATGTCTAAGACAGAAGAGGATATTTGGATACAATGTATGATAGGTTCCACAAGACAGGTTAGAAATGGCCATACATGTTGCCATTAGCATCAGAGTGTGAAATTTTGTTTCCAGGTTAGCAATTCTAATTTGAATTACATCCTGCTTCCTAATGTTCTGGATTATGATCACACAACCAAACTACTCATCTAGGATTCTTCTTCTCTGGCACTGCTGGCATCATAAACACAATCACAGTCCCTTACAAAAAGTGCTAATTTTAAAAGGCTCATTGTGCCAGCTGGATATGTAAACAAAGTGCCTAACATGTTAATTATATTTATAGTATTTTCTCATTAATAAATATCTGGATCATCTACATGATTCTACAAAGACTATTCATGAAATGAGACCACAGCCAGAAGGACGTCCCCAGAGACCAGCATCCAAGTGTGGCCAACATTAATTTTAACCATATTTTATATTTTGGGGCATGTTCTGTGTACTCTCATTTTTAGTCCTTTGAGTGACCAAGACATAAACCCCAAGGTCCAGGGTCTGGTACTAGTGTCCCTTCAGCCCAACCCATAGAAGGTGGGTTTGGGCTACAATTAAATAAACAAAGTCCCCTAGCCCCACCATTGGGCACAATGAGAGGGGGCTATGTTAATACTAACATGTGGATGGACATGTTATTGTCCACCTCTCTTTCAACAAGCGGGGGTGGACATGCTACTGTCTCCCCCACCCATAAGCTTTGGATGGGTGGTATTTATGACAATTGGGAGGGTGACTCAATATTGTCCACCCATCTAAACTTAGGGCAGCCTAAATAACAGTCCTCGGTAGCAAGGGAACCCCAAGCCAATAGCCACCACCAAACAATAAGAGAAATACATTCTGCCAATCCCCTCACCCTAATAATAGTGATTGTTGCCGAATAGATGTAACACATGTAAAATAAAATGTTATGCTTATATCAGAAGCTGTTTTAGTCTTCTTTTCTTTAGCCCTTTTCTTTTTTACTGTATTTTTTTGCAAAGCAGCTCTTTTTTTAAATAGTCTTGTTAGTTGTTATGGATTTTATTCAGCCTTTTGGAGTTCAGCATTTGGGCTGAAGAAAAGAAGATTTAAGAAAAAAATGAAGACATCTGATGGTAAGTATAAAATCACATGTATTAGATTTATTCTGCCGCCCCCCCCCCTCACTATTTTAAGGTTGAGGGTGGTAGGTATCTTTTTTTTTATTGTTGTGGGGGTAACTAGGAACCAGGGGGACCCAAGCCATCCAAGGGAGTTTATTTAGGGGACTCTAACTATGCAATGGCAAATCCACAGCCCCCACATTGTCAACAATACAGAATGTGACGGCAGATAAGAACCATTCGGCCCATCTAGTCTGCCCATTTTTTTTAAATACTTTCATTAGTCCCTAGCCTTATCTTATAGTTAGGATAGCCTTATGCCTATCCCACGCATGCTTAAACTCCTTTACTGTGTTAACCTCTACCACTTCAGCTGGAAGGCTATTCCATGCATCCACTACCCTCTCAGTAAAGTAATACTTCTTGATATTATTTTTAAACCTTTGTCCCTCTAATTTAAGACTATGTCCTCTTGTTGTGGTAGTTTTTCTTCTTTTAAATACAGTCTCCTCCTTTACTGTGTTGATTCCCTTTATGTATTTAAATGTTTCTATCATATCCCCCCTGTCTCGTCTTTCCTCCAAGCTATACATGTTAAGATCCTTTAACCTTTCCTGGTAAGTTTTATCCCACAATCCATGAACCAGTTTAGTAGCCCTTCTCTGAACTCTCTCTAAGTATCAATATCCTTCTGAAGATACGGTCTCCAGTACTGTGTACAATACTCCAAGTGAGGTCTCACCAGTGTTCTGTACAATGGCATGAACACTTCCCTCTTTCTACTGCTAATACCTCTCCCTATACAACCAAGCATTCTGCTAGCATTTCCTGCTGCTCTATTACATTGTCTGCCTACCTTTAAGTCATCAGAAATAATCACCCCTAAATCCCTTTCCTCAGATGTTGAGGTTAGGACTCTATCAAATATTCTGTACTCTGCCCTTGGGTTTTTACATCCAAGATGCATTATCTTGTACTTATCCACATTAAATTTCAGTTGCCACAACTCTGACCATTTTTCTAGTTTACCTAAATCATTTGCCATTTGGCTTATCCCTCCTGGAACATCAACCCTGTTACATATCTTAGTATCATCAGCAAAAACACATAACTTACCATCAAGACCTTCTGCAATATCACTAATAAAACATTAAAAAGAATGGGTCCAAGTACAGATCCCTGAGGTACCCCACTGGTGACAGGCCCATGCTTCGTATATACTCCATTGACTACAACCCTCTGTTGCCTGTCACTCAGCCACTGCCTTACCCATTCAACAATATTGGAATCCAAACTTAAAGATTGCAGTTTATTGATAAGCCTTCTATGTGCAACAGTGTCAAAAGCCTTACTGAAATCTAGGTAAGCAATGTCTACTGCACCACCCTGATCTATTATTTTAGTTAATCAAACAATAGGCCCCACCCAAAGCTTATGGGTGAAGGTGGATAGTAGCATCTTCAACCCCTTTTGTTTTAACGGGTGTAGACAATAGTATATCCAGCCGCTTTATTGATATTAACATTACCCCACCCCCAAATGAGTCAAGTCTATTTTATAGTGATTTCGGACAGTATTCTGTACAGTCCAATGTCGTGTTATAAATCATGTGTCTTATATGCTCTTTTAACCAGCATGTAAGATATAAAAGGGTAGAAATGGGTCAGTGCTCAAGGTATTGGTACAGATAAATCAATGGATAATTGGGCAGCACACAAGGGTAGTAAGGCTCCCTCAAGAAAGCCTTACAGGCAGACAAAGCAATAGGGTAGAGGGTAGTAGATAGAGACAACTAATGGTGCAGTATATTCAACAATCAGAATAACCAATAACACCTGATTGTTGTATATTCTGCACCATTAGTTGTCTCTTTTATTTTCACATAGGAGTGTAAGAACATCTTCAACTTATGGAGCTGTTATCCCATAGTCTACATTTCCGTTAGCTTCTACATACAGTCCCTCAAAAGACATTCTTGAACTCAAACTATTGGACTTTTAATTACTTAGACTATATTATTATTATTTTTATCTGCTTGCTCTTTATTACTGGTGCCACCTATCTACTACCCTCTACCTTATGTAAGATATAACTATGTAATTTGGTTTATCTGCATTGGTTTTTCTTTATTTCTGTGTAAGAACAATCGACCTAAGTATCACTACGCCATTACCCGTGTGTGCAAATTCAAAATGATCTATTAACTGGGAGACATCCTAGTGTACCATCAGATCCCATCCATGGGAGGTCATTTGGATGTCCCCTGTTTAATTATAGCCCCAGCCCACCAAGAATGGGTGGAGTCTGATGATACACTAGGATTACAATGGTGCAGTATACGGAATTCTACAAATAATAAATTACCATATTTGATACACACTTAAATAAATCTTGTTAAAGGAAAAAATTAGGACTTAATTAAAAAAAATATTTAGATCACAAATCGGAAAATTCTGATTCCAACAGAATAAACTTTAATAAGCCAATAGAAATTAAAATTTTGTGGACGTTAACCTCCCAGCCCAAAAACAAAAACTTTTAATGAGTAAACTGCCAACCCTAATTTAAATCCAGCTCTTACCCTGATGAACGTTCGCTACCTTAGTTTTAACAATAATTTACACTTTAATGACCAACTTCAAAATAAAGGCGGATTTAATTCTTAGAACTTAACTAAATATTGTCCAATTGCGTTTTGTTTTCCTAATTTTGTCGTGACCACTAACAAACAGTTGTGACCTTTCTTAACTAAAGCTCAAGGCAATGCTTTGATGGGTAACTTAACTCTTTTACTGCACAAAGGAAACTCATTGTTAATTGTATTAAACATTGCTTTTCCAGCCACTTTATTTGATTTCTGATCGTTCCATCATCCCAATTTTCACACATGTGGCAAGAGATTGGTGGAAAGCAAAGATAATTATCAGCTCTGCTGAGGAGCCCACTAACTGAAGTACCAAAGGTTAAATATAATCTGTCTGCTCTTGAAATCAAGCTTGTGAGGTTTTTCTAACTCGCAGTAATGTAGTACTTTGGGTGGTGCAAATGATGCTATTTAAATTACAGGGAGTGCAGAATTATTAAGCAAGTTGTATTTTTGAGGATTAATTTTATTATTGAACAACAACCATGTTCTCAATGAACCCAAAAAACTCATTAATATCAAAGCTGAATATTTTTGGAAGTAGTTTTTAGTTTGTTTTTAATTTTAGCTATGTTAGGGGGATATCTGTGTGTGCAGGTGACTATTACTGTGCATAATTATTAGGCAACTTAACAAAAAACAAATATATACCCATTTCAATTATTTATTATTACCAGTGAAACCAATATAACATCTCAACATTCACAAATATACATTTCTGACATTCAAAAACAAAACAAAAACAAATCAGTGACCAATATAGCCACCTTTCTTTGCAAGGACACTCAAAAGCCTGCCATCCATGGATTCTGTCAGTGTTTTGATCTGTTTTCTCCTTGTAAATCTCACATTTGATGATGGACCACAGGTTCTCAATGGGGTTCAGATCAGGTGAACAAGGAGGCCATGTCATTAGATTTTCTTCTTTTATACCCTTTCTTGCCAGCCACGCTGTGGAGTACTTGGACGCGTGTGATGGAGCATTGTCCTGCATGAAAATCATGTTTTTCTTGAAGGATGCAGACTTCTTCCTGTACCACTGCTTGAAGAAGGTGTCTTCTAGGAACTGGCAGTAGGACTGGGAGTTGAGCTTGACTCCATCCTCAACCTGAAAAGGCCCCACAAGCTAATCTTTGATGATACCAGCCCAAACCAGTACTCCACCTCCACCTTGCTGGCGTCTGAGTCGGACTGGAGCTCTCTGCCCTTTACCAATCCAGCCACGGGCCCATCCATCTGGCCCATCAAGACTCACTCTCATTTCATCAGTCCATAAAACCTTAGAAAAATCAGTCTTGAGATATTTCTTGGCCCAGTCTTGACGTTTCAGCTTGTGTGTCTTGTTCAGTGGTGGTCGTCTTTCAGCCTTTCTTACCTTGGCCATGTCTCTGAGTATTGCACACCTTGTGCTTTTGGGCACTCCAGTGATGTTGCAGCTCTGAAATATGGCCAAACTGGTGGCAAGTGGCATCGTGGCAGCTGCACGCTTGACTTTTCTCAGTTCATGGGCAGTTATTTTGCGCCTTGGTTTTTCCACACGCTTCTTGCGACCCTGTTGACTATTTTGAATGAAACGCTTGATTGTTCGATGATCACGCTTCAGAAGCTTTGCAATTTTAAGAGTGCTGCATCCCTCTGCAAGATATCTCACTATTTTTGACTTTTCTGAGCCTGTCAAGTCCTTCTTTTGACCCATTTTGCCAAAGGAAAGGAAGTTGCCTAATAATTATGCACACCTGATATAGGGTGTTGATGTCATTAGACCACACCCCTTCTCATTACAGAGATGCACATCACCTAATATTCCTAATTGGTAGTAGGCTTTCGAGCCTATACAGCTTGGAGTAAGACAACATGCATAAAGAGGATGATGTGGTCAAAATACTCATTTGCCTAATAATTCTGCACTCCCTGTAGTTGTTGAGATGATGAGAACATATGCTATTCTGATACATCACTTGAAATTCAGTGCAAACCCATGTTAATGGAAAAAACAACAACTTAAAAGCTTTGTATGATACCAAGTATCATTTAGCACTGAATTTCAGAGAGACAGTATGCATAATGCCATAATTCTATGAAATGTACAATTAGTGGGAACCTAAACAAGAACAAGGGGTTTCAATTCCAGGAGAGGGACTCTTATCTATCCTACCCACTGACTGTAGGCAGGGCTGGGATCACCAATACCAAATGCCATCATCCCACAGGTGGGTGAATGTTAAGAGTGCTGCGTGAAGAGTCATCCGATGTCCATACAGTCTCTCTGCGGAATGATGGGGCTTTATAAGGGGAGCACTGGCCACCTACCTAGAAGGGAAGGTTAAAGGGGAAGGTTAAAGCTTGCGCCTTTCCTTAACCATTGGTGCAATGGACATGGTTCTAATATCAAGCATGCATTTCCAGGATTGCTGCTTTCTGGGTTGTCAGACAGAGTGATACAAAGAAAAATGCACTCCAATGCCACCACATTAACCAATTTTAGTCAAATTTTAGTCGACTAAAATTTTTTATATTTAGTCGACTAAAACTAGACTAAAAGTAAAACAATTCAGTTGACTAAAATACGGCTAAAGCTAAAATGGCTTTTTAGTCAAAAGACTATAATTAAAACTAAACTACAATTTGCCGCCAAGTTGTAACACTGCACAGAGGGGCTGGGGAAGAGGCAAACAAGACCGATCAGGGCTTGGGAGAGAGACATCTAGAGGGGCTGGAGGGATACAAAGAGACACAGTGGGACTAGGGAAGGGGCAAAAGAGACAGACCAGGGCTTGGGAGAGAGACACCTGGAGGGATTTGGAGGATACAAAGAGACACAGAGGGACTAGGGGAAGGGGCAAAAGAGACAGATAGAGGCTTTAACTAAATCCATTCGATTTTAGTTGTGTCGACTAAAATCTACTGGAGATTTAGTCGACTAAAATTAAACAAAAACTAAAATGCTTTTTTTGTCAAAAGACTATGCCTAAAACTAAATTACAATTTTCAGCCAAAATGAAGGCTACCTCAAAGAAAGGTAGTAGATCCACACACCGCAGAAGCTCACAGAATTGGTAAAGCAGCCAATGTTGTTGGCAGGGTGGGCGATTGGCATTGCAAGTATTTTCCTTTTTCCGTGGACCACCCTCTGCTCCCCCATTTTCTCTGAGAATACATTACATCTCATTACATTTTTAATAGATGGTCAGTACAATATTTTCTCCATAAATGGATGGACACATGCAGTGATGTGAAGTACTAGATAAGGCACTATTAAAGAATACAATAAAACAAGCAATATGGGAGCAAAACATACAGATTGAAATGTAAGAATTTGATGTCCAACACGGGAGTTCAACACAATATTAGCACTGACCAAAGACTGATAACAGAATAGCTAAAAAACACTGAGCAGGTGAGGACCATTTGTCAAAAATCAAACTAAGTGTAGCAATTTCTCAGGTGTTCAGAGGTGCAGAGCACTAAACATGGAAAACAAGTCAAGGTACGACTAGTGCGCCGCTGATTCTTGTAAATGTCTCAGGGTGAATTGTGTTGCTAAGTTTTAACTAAGTTCTGTGTGAGCATCTCACGACTCCATAAACACAACACTCCATAATAATAACCTCCAAAATGTTTAAATTATAGGAGAGTTGTTTGGTACAGATAGGTAGTGAAGAAACTCTCAGTATAGATTTTATCCCATCTTGGAATTTAACAATGTAAACAGTGCTGGGCTTAAACACAATGTGGACATATGGCGTGACTAAATCCCCATATTTGTACAGGAGACGTGATTTAAAATAGCTTTGAAAAACGCAAAACATTTTTTTCTGAATGTGCTCTGAGCCATACTGGTGCCTTTTATTCTATGTTATACATATAACAGCTTTAAAAAGAAAAAAATAAGACAGCGAAGTGTCTTATCAAGCATTGTATTCTTTCATAGAAATAGTATAAAAGGTGCATGTGTCACTTAAACAAATTAATGGATCCCGATGAGAGTGATTTACAGTTCATAACAGTTGAATTTTCTCCTGAAGCGCACAGGTTTAGTCATTAAGGTAATTAGAAACAGGTAGTTAAGCTTCTCCAAGTATACATGTGAAGAGTACTCATTTCTCAAGATCTCCCAGGTGAGCCCATTATACTGTTATTATATCTAACAATTTCATATAAATTAATGAAAAAAGCCAATCTTTCTTTTCAGGCATATAAAAACACAGAGAGAGAGTGTGATGTTCCCTACTCTTTAAATAAATATCTTGACTGAAGACGCTGTCTTTTATTCCTGGTGTAAGTGTTTAACAAAAGAGCAAAAATATTTCTGTCATTCCTAATACTATAATCCAATGAGATAAAATGAGTGTGTGAGTAGAGATTATTAGAGAATCTGGAACAGGGCTGCCCAATTGGTAGATCCCCAGATGTTTTAGAACTACAACTCCCATGATGCTTTGCATGCCTTTGGAATGACAAAACATTAGTTCTACAACATCTGGGGATCTACCTATTGGGCAACCCTGATCTAGAACAATTCTAATAAGAGATTTTAGTATGGCAGTGCATGTTTGTCTGTGTGCTATATCTACATATGTCTGTGTACACAGATGTATTTTTGTAGATTTGTATATTGGTATATCTGTGTGTATTTTTCTGTGTGTATTACACAAAGCAGACACTTTTTAGGTACAAAAGTACTATTAAACCAAATAGCCGAGTCGTAAATAATGTGACTGACATACCCTCCCCAGCCTATATTTAATTTGTGGATATTTAGAGGCACCCCTTGTGGCTCACTCAGCAACAAGTGACATCCTGAATGTGCGGGCACTCTAAGAGACCCTTTCTCCACGGACTGTACACCAATGCCCCTTTAATCACGTTCCATGTCCTTTGTCACCTTTGTCAGTGGCCATTTTGGTCAGTACTCACCACCATTCAGCATTGCGTCACTTACGGGAAGCATTGTGTCACGGAACCTCAGTGTTGATTAGCGCGTGATTATGAAAGTCAACTGAGGTCTGTGTAAGCACTGGGTCATGAACGTGATTTCACACCCAACAGAAGGGCAGAGGGTGGGATTTCCAAGTGGTACCATCTTAGACACTTTAAAATACGATGACCCAGTGGGACCAGCACATCGAATTCAGTACAAGTGACAGAGCCGCTTCAAATATCACCCTTCCTGGGTCATTGATCATGGTAGGTAGGTGGTAGTATAGTTAATTAATTAGTAGAATACAATATATATTGATTATGGGAATACAATACTCTGTACAGTGCTAGGGCTTGTTGGGTCTGCTTTATCCTCTGTTTTATATGCTGTGCTTACCAGCCCTCATGTAACAGATTTTCTCTTCATGTCTCTTCTACAACAAGCGACCTAAGTATCAATATGCTATTATTACACTGTGTGTGCAAATTGCTTCCTGTGGAGAGAAAGTAATGAATTTTTATTAGGTGAGTGGCTTTTTATGCGCCTCTTTTTTTCTTGGCCTTTTGATGTCGGAATTATATCAGGTAGGATGGGGGGGGGGAAGGGGTGGGCGGAGGGGGTCTTTAGCTATATGGGATCAAGAGCTCTGTCATAAAGATAGGAACGTTTCAGAAACCTTTTGTCTACACTCGATAACTAAATATAGCTAAAAGGAGTCATATGTTTATTAGCCACACATATCATGTCAATAGTTTGCTTATCTCTGTCCCTCTTTAACCTGCAGTAACTTTGTAACACTAGGGCATAGGCTTGGAAGTAAATGTATGAGAAATTCTTGCTTCTATGACTTAGCTGCTTCTATGTCCCTCAAAAATGTTGGCTTTTCTGGAGCCAAATATGTATTTTATGCACTAGATCAGCATACTCTATGCTGACTGTTCTATATGTCTGTGCATCTCTCTCTTGACACACACACAGACCTTATATATTATACACACACACACATAATATATATATTTATACACACACACACATACACATAGACAAACAGACAGAGATGTGTTAGGGTACACACACAAATGGAGATTAACAAAGCCACTGACCATTATGAGCCTAAAGGATAAGTCCACATAAGTGCTCAATAACAATTTATTATCTGTGGCTACAATTTGCAAGCGATGTCGCAGTTTTGCTGTCGATTAATGTATCTGATGGTAACAATGTTCTAATTGAGCTAAAACACTATATCCATACATTGGAGTAGTCACAGTACACTGCTTGTTATACTCTGTCATTTTTTCACATGGTGGGCTGGTGACGTTCCACCCAATTTATTTTTAAAACATTAGCTATGTTGCTATTAGCTATCTGCGTAATGCCCAGTTGATTATGATTGATGTATTTACTTAAAGGAACACTATAGTTTTAGGAAATGAATACAAAACTAAATTTCTAGCACTATAGTATCCTCTGCCCTGCCGGCAATCAAAGGGTTAAACACTAACTTCATTCAGGACAGTATTATTATTATTATTGGCATTATATGATGCCAACTTATTCCGCAGCGCTTTACAATATTATAACAGGTGAAATTCAACAATAAATGATACAATTACAAAATGTTACAACCATTTTGCTAATATAAGGGGTGAAAAAAATGTTGGGAACTACTGATCTACAGCATTGAATCAATGTCTTTCTACAGGGATTAATCAGATGCTGGACATCCTCATGTAAAGCGTGAAACAGCAAAAAGCGCCCCCAGTGGCTCTCTGGAAGACAGACAATAGAGGCAGTCTTACCCCTGAAATGAAAACACTGCCATTTCTCTAAAACTGCAATGTTTTACATCACAGTGTTAAGGGAACAGGGACACTGCACCCAGACCACTTCAATGAGATGGAATGGTCTGGGTGCCTATAGAGTCCCGTTAAATGAAATCATCAACATGTTACATAATCACATTTATTCATAATTGTTCGTTTCTAAGTATATCTGATTTAACATCTCCATGTGCATACAATCCCTTTTTCCCTGGAGCATTAAACCAGATGGTTTACGAGTCTTGCTTTTCACAATGTTGTAAAACAATAAATGGCTCTACACCAACTTCCTATATTGACAAATCCTTATAGCCCAGAGTTAAATATTCCAGATATTTAACTATACACCCGACAGAGATTGACAGAGAGAGAACCATACAGACAGGGCCAGCCAGTGGCGTACACACTACCCATGGGGCCCCGGTGCGAAAATTGATCCATGGCCCCCCCCCATTTGCTCTGCGCGGGCCGGGGCCGCAACACATGGTGGCGGGCACCTGGTCGCAGGGGTCGCCAGGCTGCGACCCCTGCGTCCGCGGTATGTACGCCAGTACATGCAGATACACATACACTTAAAGGACCACTATAGACACCCAGATCACTTCGGCTCAATGAAGTTGTCGGGGCGCCAGGTCCTTCTAGTTAGTCTGCTATGTTTCACTGAGGGTTAATCCAGCCTCTAGTGGCTGTCTCACTGACAGCCGCTAGAGGCGCTTCCGCGATTCTCACTATGAAAATCACAGTGAGAAGACGCTGGACGTCCATAGGAAAGCATTGAGTAATGCTTGCCTATGGGCAGTTTGAATGTGCGCGCCACTCTTACCGCGCATGCACATTCGGAGCTGAGAGGCGGATCGGGGCGGAGGGATCCCCAGCGCCAAGGGAGTCCGGTGCTGGAGAAAGGTAAGTGCTGAAGGTGTTTTAACCCCTTACGGACCAAACTTCTGGAATAAAAGGGAATTATGACATGTCACACAGGTCATGTGTGCTTAAGGGGTTAAACACACACACTCTCACGAACAAACACATACACACTAGCTAATAGACACACACATTTACTGACAGAGACACACTCATTGACAGACAGACACACATACACGCTCACTTACAAAACATACACTCTCACTGACAAACACACACTCACTAAGACACCAAACAGACTGACTAACAGACACACACTAACAGACACACTAACAGACTCACACAGTAACACACTCACTGACACACACACTCACTGATACACAAACTAACACACATTGACACCAACTAGCAGACACACACTCAATAACAGACACACACAAACTAACACATTAACTAACACACTCACTGACACTCACTAGCAGACACACACACAGTAACACACACTGACACAAAAACTAACACTAACACACATATACATACACACATTTTTTTAAAATGTGATCTCCCAGCCTCCCTACCTTTGGGAGGGCTGAGGGGATTCCCTGGGGTCCAGTGGGGCTGCCCGGTGGCCGGTCATGCGGGCGCGCGAGGGAGCATTCACCCCTGAGCGCTCTCTGCCCAGCTCCCTCGCGCGCCGCTTACTGATGCCGTCATATTCCGGCTCTGGCCAGCATCACTGTGGTGCATGCGAGGGAGCTGGGCAGAGAACACTCAGGGGTGAATGCTCCCTCGCGCGCACGCCAGCCTGCCCGGTGACACCAGGGCCAGCCTCAGGGGGCCCTGAAGTGGCCAGCTCCTGGTCCCCCCCAGGAGAAGAGGCTGGCAAACTGGTGTACATACCGGGTCACAGGACGCGACCCCTGCGACCTGGTGGGCCGGGCCCGGTCGCAGCTGCGACCCCTGCGACCGTGATATGTACGCCAGTGGGGCCGGCATTACCACTAGGAAAACTAGGCAGCTGCCTAGGACACAGCCACCTAGGGTAAAGCCAGTGGCAGAACTACAGGGGTCACTGAGGTTTAGAGTGTGACTGGGCCCCCTGTATTCCACCTGTCAGGGGGTCTATGAGCTGGCTGACTGGCCACCTTATGGCTCCCCAAGAGGTGGCCGGCTGTTCGCTAAGACAGAGTAGGCACATGCTTACCTTAACGGCAGGTTCCTACTCTGCTGAAATACAGTATGTCTGGGGGTGGGCTGAGCATGGGTGGCAAGGGAGTGGTGATGCTCCTGCTCTTCCTCACTGCTTCCTCGCACGCCCTCTGTGATGATGCCAGGAGCTGGAATATGACCTCACTCCACTCCCGGCGCACGAGGGAGCAATGAGGAAGAACAAAAAGATTCAAGCAGCTCCACACTAGACACTAGGGAGAGACACCAGCTCTCATAAAGGTAGGGAGGCTGGGTGGGCTTAAAAAATAAATAAATAAATAAATAAATAAAAAAGGAATATTATTATTATTATTATTATTATTATTATTATTATTATTGCCATTTATATAGCGCCAACAGATTCCATAGAGCTTTACAATATTATGAGAGGGGGGAATTTAACTATAAATAGGACAATTACAAGAAAACTTACAGGAACGATAGGTTGAAAAGGACCCTGCTCAAACGAGCTTACAGTCTATAGGAGGTGGGGTATAAAACACATTAGGACAGGAAATAGCAATCAAATAAGGTGGGGGTGAAGCACAGCTGGAGGAGAGAGTAGAGTGCTGCCCTTTATGAGAGAGCAAGAGACAGGTATGTGATATAAATAAAAATCGTTTGTTAGTGTGTGAGATAATGTGTATGTGTGAGTGTGTCAAATCAGGGAGTGTGTCACTAAATTTGTCATTGAGAGTGTGTGTCTGTTAGTGAGCATGTTTGTGTCTGCCAGTGAGTGTGTGTGTGCCAGAGTGTGTCTGTAGGTGATTGTCAAATGACTTAGTGTGTGTGTCGGAGTTTATCTGTAAGTGAGTCTATCAGCGTGTGTCTGTCAGTGAGTGTGTGTGTGTGTGTCAAATCAGTGAGAGTGTGTGTATGTCAGTGTGTGAATAATAAAGCAAGTGTTATTGTAAAAAAAAAAAAAAAGAAGTCACCCTTCCTTAGGTTTTTCCATCTCTCCCTCTTTTTCCTCTGATTACATCAACTTCAATCAGAAGTAAATGGCTCCTCACATCACCCTGCACACTATTACAATAAACTAGGAGAAATAATACCATATTCGGAAATCTTATGTTTAACCTTTTTAAATGATAAACGCTAAATCAATAAAAAAGTGTCATCAAATACATGTTTTCTTGAACAAGGAATCTTTCAGAGACAGCTATTTACAAGAAACGATAAGACTCTCTAATCCTCAACTTGAATCCTTCTGTGTGAAAGCATCTGGCCTTTACCGAAAACGGGTAAATGCCAACAAGATTTTTCCATTCCAAGTGAATTGCTTGTGCTGGCAGGCTCAGAATACAAAACACTTTTGTCATTGCAAAGGCACAAAAGCTATAACCCCTTCACTGCTGAGCAAGCAGCAATGCTCGAGTTTAACTTTCTCCAAGCAAGGTGAAGGTTTAATCCCTGTGCGCTGAATGACATATACTTCCCATAGGATATAAAGATGTTCTAAAAACTTTAAATGTTTAAGTGACATGTTTAAAACATAAGCTTTAGGGCACGGATTCCAATAACCTAGCATCTATTTTTCCGAGGAGAAACATAATCTCTATTTATTTATTTTAATTCTCTTTCATCTCAGATGATTTTTTTTTTCATTTTTTTTTTTTTTTAAGATTTAGCAACTTACATCAAATTGCAGTTCAGAGCAGGCACAGCCAGGGCACAAAATGCAAATAAAGAGGAGAAATAGAAACACTGTTTCGATTCTCCTCCTCTCTGTATGATATCTCTGGGCTGATTGTCAGGTGCAAAGAACCCAGCATATAACAATGGTTGCCACAAAGGTAAAGGGTTACTCCAACCACAATTACCACTTCAGTGATTTGAAGTGGTCATGGTGGCAGCAGTCTGTATGTTCAGTGTTACTTTAAACACTGCACGTTCAGATATATTTGTAATTATGTACTAGAGGCTAGTTGCACCCCCAGCACACTAGACTTAGGCAGCACAGAACTCTGTTCTGGAATACCTAGTGTCAATTCTATGCATATTTAACATCTGTCATCAGCGAGCAACGCACGCTGGGAAAATATGTAGTGCCTGCAAGGGTGAACTGGCCTTCCCTCCCTCCCACCCTGTGGGTTCTCCCTCCCGCCTACCTCTGTGTTTTTTTGTTAATAAACCAATCCCATCCTCCCTTCCAAAATTCTTCCATACAAACTCCCAAAAGCCCTCCCAGCCTCCTCCCCTACCCTGCTCACATTGCGCGCATGAATCACGCAAGGTCCCTTGTGATGGAGGAAGGTCAGCGTTGGTAGCTTTGCCTGTTGTTGGATTGCAGGTAAGTGAAAAATTCATTGTCTTTTAAGATAGGCCTAATAGCAATGCAAAATATTGAATTTTTAACCTATAAAGGCAAACTGTGCACAAAGGTTAGAGCATCACTTTAAAATGGAGGGACCCAGTAGCAGGATAAAGAGATATGGAATTCTACATTTATTTTTTACATGTCAATAATAAATATTTGTTAACTTTAGAGTTTCTATAACTTTACGGTACATTTTATTATTCTAGTATTTTAAATTATTTAAGCAATGCTGTAACAAGAGCTTTTAGCTTTTAAAAAAACAGTGTTTCTTTTTTATCTGTTTCATTTTATTAGTTATTTGCTATGACTACTGCACTTACATTGAACGCTCCTGACACTTATGTGAATTTACTTGTACACATTCAACCTTTTCTATTCTGTCACCATTTATTGTACCTTGTACCTCTTTTCTCTAAAATGAAACTCTGAGGAGAAAAAAAAATACTAGAGAAGTGACAATTCCTGTTTAACAATGTAACATTTATCTCAAGCTGTTAAAAATTAATACATTTTCATTTACAGAACACCAGGAAAAAAACTATAAAATCCAACAAGTTGCTGCTGATGCGTTAAAACTTAGGTATACAGGCTTATTTACTAAAGGGAGAATTCTAGGCATATTCAAAACCAATTTCAAATTTAAGGTGAAAATAGTCCAATTGGAAAAATGTGCAGCACTGAAATTCAGTGTCTCCACTCTCTGCATGGAGACACTGAACTTTCCACATAGAGATACATTAATTCAATTAATCTCTATGGGGAGATGCTGATTGGTCAGGGCAATGTCTGGCTCTGTCCCCACTCCGCCTCCTTGGATGAGATTATCAAAATTGCTAATCTCAGCCAATCCAATGCTTTCCTTTCTGATTATCTCAGGAGGCAGATCAGAGCAGTACCAGATGCAAGGATCCCTGTGTGGTGCTGGAAAAAGGTAAGTAAATTACCTTTCTGACCCAAAGTAAGTGGGGCTGACCACCTAAACAGTGGTTTTAGAACTATACTGGCAGGAATACACATTTGTGTTAATGACACTATAGTGCCCCTTCACAAGTATTGTATTTTTTCAGCATTATACATTTATACAGCAGCTATCAATAGCCATTTTTCCACCTATAAGCTAAATCGCAATATTTCCTGACACTATTAACACCTGTATTGACGATGCTTTAGCACTCAATTGAGAATTCTGACGTTTTAGGCCCCACTCAGGGTAAACTCAATACGATCCTAGGTCAGAGATGTTAGCAGGGTATCATCAAGTGAGAATTCAAATTGAATCTCAAATTTAAGGTCAAAATAGCTGAACTGAGAGAATTCTCAATGCTTTACATTCATGTTGAAGTCTCACTTTTGTAAATAACCCTGCAAGTTTCCGTTGGTAAGTAAAGAGTTAATTTAAACATTAAAAGCCATTAACAATAATCACCACTGACATGTATATAGAACTGACCCTAAATGCTGCTTTAAATACAAAATGCGTATAGATCCCCACTGCCCATGATGCCAGGTTTGTGTAATACATGCTGGCACAACGTACGCATCTCTCACTTACGTCAGATCTCAGATTTCTATTCATTACTTTATGGGATATACTCCCAACCAGAAATGCATTAAGAATTCGCAGCTACTATCAAGGGAATGAGACAGTTAAGAGAGAGAGAGAGAGCGAGAGTGTGAGTGAAAGGATCATGTAACATATTTTATGAATGAATGGTTTGGCGATTAACTAATATTCTCAGGATAACTAAATGCATATTTGTATGATGCCATCAAAATTACTTAGCAAACAAAGCACATGTCAGCTAATCTTTTGCAAATCGTTGTAACCCCCAGCTGACATGTGCAGGATTCCACAATGTGGAGGAAGGATTCTGGCTGAGAAAAGATTTTTTAATAACCACATAACCTGATTTAAAGTGGTCAAAGTCATAAAATAATGACATGGGTGTGTATTTGCTGTTATACGAGTTTTAAAAGAATATTTTGGCACTTTTATAAAACCTACCTGTTAAAAAACTCACAGTGCTGGTGCTGTAGAAAGAAAAGACAACCGCTAATTCCCCCCAAAATAATTGTCATTCCTGAGCCCTGCAGTTGTAATAATACAAAGTAAAAATATAAATAATGAACGGTATGGTATATAAAGGGTAAAGGGGGCATATAATAAGAGGACAATGCTGTGTGGCGCACGGATCAGTTCACACGAATCTCTCATAGACTGAGCTGAGTACGTCTAACAAGGAAGTCACTTTGTGAAAAGATGGGGGTGTGGCTAAGGGGGTGGGATTATGTTTCTGGAAGCAACTCATTTTTGGGGCAAAACTAAAGAGATTTGATTGGGGACAAATACTAAAGCTTGACTATGAGACCAAAATCTATCAAAAGCTCTTAAAGTAACACTCCTTCTCACTAAAGCACATCAGCCTGTTAAAATGCAAGAAGCAGAGTTAAAATGGTGTGTACTTTTTATGTTACATGCTATTTTATCCTGTGTAGGGCAATTCCAGTTTTCACACCAAATCATTTACCTGAGGGTGGGCCTAATTTAGGAAAATTCTACTTCCAAGTATAGAGAATGTTCAGCTATTTTACCTGCTATCTGAAGAGACCAATGAGTGGAGCTATGGTACGATGTTCTGTTTTTGCACTTTCTATACAAACCATGCATGTGGCATCATGCGAAAAGAAAAAAACAATATATTGTGATTTAAGTGTAATAATGCATATGTCAGTAGCCATTTAAAGGCTACGAAGGGCAAGTGACTTTTCCAATTTATCCAATGAATATGGGAAACATGCATCAGTTTCAAGAAGTTGCCGAACTTTATACAAGGTTCAGATTATGATTCTCATATTTGCTACTTATTGGCAGTTGCTTCAGTGCGAGCAGAGAGAATATTGCGATCAGCGTTCATTAGCTGACACTACAATTTATTTTCCTTTTCTTTTTTCTTTTTTGTAAATTATGTCAATTACTTGAAGACAAATGGACTGCGAGAGCAGTAAAACAGGTGTGTGGAGGTAGAATGGACATCTTGATGTAGAGGCCAACTGCTATTGTTATGGGTCAACTTTACAGGAACTACCGAAACAAATATTGCTGTAGGAGATTGGCTTTGAGCAGCTAATTAACTGCTGGGACGTTATCACTAGAATTTCTGGAAATGTATTAATAGATTAAAGAAGGAATTAAAAAAACAGGAACAATTTATTTGGAGGAAAAAACACATTGGCAGGAAGCATCTGTTTCGAGGATGTTACACAGAAGCTTAATGTTGCTGAGGCATATTAAAATATGTTCTCAATAAAGGCGTATCTGGGGGTTAATGCTCAAAACATTAACATCTTAGACTTCGATTCTGACCTTTATGTGGCCATTTAAACAAAAACAAAAACCAGTTTTATTTCAAGTCTATCATTTTTCTTTTCATGTATTTATGATTCAGCATGGGACAGGACTTCAAACTATAAATCTAAGAACTTCTACCTTACAGGATTACTTTACTCTCGTCCTAAGTGCTTACATACACTCTGCCCCAGCCTTACAGCTCACCTGTATCATACCTCAATCTTAGCAAGATAGGAGCATTGCTAAGCTCTTATAACCAACCAGACATTCCGACATTATATTCTGTTCTTGTCCAGCTCACCTGAACATTAACTGATCACTCGCACCTTGATCCCGACTTACCACTACACCCGCACCCTGGACTCGCCACAACTCATCTCCACTTTGTTCTCAATCTAACTACTGGTGGAAACCCAACAACTCACCATCACTTTGTCAATACCTACATAACTGAAATGGTTGCTGCTGTAAAAATGTGAACTTTTTTTCATTTTTATTTTTTATGTAACTAATTGTTATAGCTATATTTTTCTATACTGATGATTAATCACACGTTCGCATTTCTACAGGTTTGAAATGTGTTCTAAAGGGAAAGTCACAATTCAACTTTACTCCCTTTTTTTAATGCACTGTGGGATAACGCATTAAAAACATATTTAAAAAAATACATTTGAAAAAGGCATACACACTTTTGAATTTCCCCAGTTTGCTGTAAATATGCCGTTTCTGTTAAAACCAAGAAATAACTGAGATTTATCAGACACTCCTGGACCTCTCATTAGCTTCAACTATGTATTGTGCACATCTCAAACTCAAATTTAGCAGGTATTAAATAGGTAGAATAGCATGTAAGATCCCATGCAAGTTAATTAAAAGGGCCGATGTGGACTGGTGGTCATGTTGCAGCTTTTTTTGGAAATCAAGAAAGTTATAAACTGAAATCAGTGAGTCAGGAGCAGGTGGTAAGTTGCACCATATATAATCTTCCAATGCCAGAACCATGATCTACATCCCACTTTTAACATAACTGACTATCTACACCGTGCCCCATATATCTTCTACAAACATTACTTTAATGCATGATCATAGAATGGTAAAAGATGATACAATGACCCCTGGAATAAAGAATTGTTTCACATTTGGTTTGCTCATAGACAGTTTCATTGTAAAAGATGGAGAAATAGCAAGTATAGTATATTGCGATATAGACACAAATCCTCAGTAAAGCACATGTTTTCTCCACCAGCTGTGTGATGTAGGGTGTAACTCCTAGAATCTTGGGAATGTGTGATCTTGAGCAGAGAGGTTCAACCATGGTCCATCTGTTATTGGACATTCCTGATCTAAATCGATTCCAGGTCTTGGTGATGTGCTCTAGCTTCCAGTAAGAGTGAAGGCTGACAGATTTAAAAAAATCAGAGTAATTTACAGCTTAATACAGAACCTGAACAAGCTAGGGTGGATAAAGAAACATCTCCAAGAGTTGAAGGCAACATTATTTGTCTATCTTGCCACAAAGGTGGTCAACAAGAGGACCAGGTGACAAGGCAAGGGGGATAAATGGACAATGTATCTCTTGGCACTTTCTTAATGGAGTTAATTAAGCAAAAGATGTCACTTTCCAATGCGTTGATTCGAAAATGCGAGGGAATGTTTTGGACAAGGTGTCCAGTTAAGCTTTTCCTAACCCATACTACACATGATTCACACTAGCTTAGCAGATGGAAGATTTGAAGTGAGCATTGATTTCCATAACAATTGCAATATGTAATAATCCAACAATAATACAGATTATCCATAACTCATATAAAATCACCACGCCATCCTCATTAGACAATAGTCACCACCATATGGATCAGAATGTTGTCTGGATTAACCAATGGCCCTCAAGGTAGATAATATGCACAGATCAGCAAACATTAATGTATTTTAAAGTTTATTTACTAATCGCTGAACTGTAGAGAATTGAAAATAGACTTGCAAAATTTAGACAATAATATGAATTTGGAAATATTCTACATCTCAGCATTGGTCACTATTTGGTTCTTTTGTCATACTTTTTGAAATTCCAATTGTCTACAATTTGGTGTTTAGTTAGTATACTGCAGCACAGCAAATTCATCAAGGCAAAAACAGGTGCACCCAAAATTGCAGTGTTATGCCTAGATAAATCTACCCATTTTGTCTTTTACATCTATTGGTCATAAAAATAATAAAAAAATAATAGATATGAATTGTGTAAAGCATTTTATTTTCTTGCTACACGTTATGTACATTGTGTGGTTGGAAATAAATGTGAAGAAGGAAAATCTATGGGCACAATCAGTGGGTTAAGCCAAACTGCACAACTACTACATTTTGTTCAGGGTTAGAGAATTCCTTTACTTTGTCCCACTTCATGCTCTTGGTCTTCCCTCAATTGGATAGATAGCAATAAATCCTTTTCAAACATGAACACATGGGATACAATGTTTGTAGGAGGGAACTGGTTCAAAGTGGAAGACGTGAACAAATTAAATGGACACCCAAGATCCCAAAAGCACTGTAGCTTTAAGTTAAAGGGACACTTGGTGAAGTGCTTTATGTGTTAAGAATAGGTCCTAGTTTTTCATTGTACAAAAAGTACAGGTTTCAATAGAAATTGGTACTTTTTAAACATTAACCTTGTAACACCCCACTGGCTGTCAATCAGACAACCGTTCCTGTTACTTTCTGGTAGTTTAGCTTCCAACTAGTCGGAAACTCTCTTCAGAGAGCTAAGCCCAGCAATGCAAGGCTTAGCTTATTGGCTGAGAGCAAACAGCTGAGCTCAGGAAAGCAAATGGAAATTCTTAGGCTGTAGTTTCCAGTTCTCCTGACGACTGAAGGGAGGAGAGGCGCAGCACCCGGCAAACACCAAGTAACAAGTTAAACTGTTATTCAGATTCTATAAATACATTTTAAAAAGGCTTAGGTGCTTTTTTCGCATATATAATATTCATATATGTTGATATATATTGATATGCATGTAAGCAGGTTCTTGATCCAATTATGGAGTCAAGAAGCAATATTTCCTTTTTGTTGCATAAAAGAAAATAGCTACTTTAAAAAAATGTATTTATTTATTTTTAATCAACAGCAAAAGAATAGGCTTCATGGTTTAACTTGAAGAACTGTAGTGTTTTTTTAGCCTAGACAACTATGTGTTGTAGTAGTTATGGTGCTTATTTTTTCTTTCAAGGATCAAAACCTGCATCATGTTTTTACTTTGTCAACTCCATGTAGACCTACAGTAAGTAATAAAGAGGGCCACTCTATTTTGAAATAGTAGTCTAAAAGGACAGATTACAGTGATGGCTAACCTTGACACCATAAATTGTTTCTGGACTACATTTCCCATGATGCTCAGCTAGCTTTAAGAGTCTAAAAGCTGTGGACTGAACATCATGGGAAATGTAGTCCAGAAACAATTTATGGTGTCAAGTTTAGCAATCACTGGCATGGGTCAACATTGCTCCTCGAGAGTTTAAGTACGTGGGACGGCAGTAGCACTGATTACATAGAGTGTTCGTATTTCTTTTCCAGTACGACATTTCTGAGGTAACAGAATTATTGTTTTAAAACAAGACACTTCACGGGAAAAAAAAAAAATATCTTGTCTGATAATCACAGTTCAAGACGATCAATACCATAACCGGTCATATTGTGAAATGCTGCAGCTGAAATCATATTAAATTTGTTCTGTAATATCACACAGACACTTCAATACAGATGACATGAAACAAACTTTATCTCAAATTGCAGTTTATAAACTTTACAGTGTCTGCCCAGAGGCCAGAATTATTTATGATGTAGCAAGGTCTGCATGCAAAATTATGCCAAGACACTACTGCTGACTAAATCTCTGCTTCTCTTCAAGTGAAGAAGAACCATTAAAGGAACACTATAGTCACCTAAATTACTTTAGCTAAATAAAGCAGTTTTAGTGTATAGATCATTCCCCTGCAATTTCACTGCTCAATTCACTGTCATTTAGGAGTTAAATCACTTGGTTTCTGTTTATGCAGCCCTAGCCACACCTCCCCTGGCTATGATTGACAGAGCCTGCATGAAAAAGAAAAACTGGTTTCACTTTCAAACAGATGTAATTTACCTTAAATAATTGTATCTCAATCTCTTAATTGAACTTTAATCACATAGCAGGGGATAGGAAAATCTTAATTAAACAGAACTTGCAATAAAGAAAGCCTAAATAGGGCTCTCTTTACAGGAAGTGTTTATGGAAGGCTGTGCAAGTCACATGCAGGGAGGTGTGACTAGGGTTCATAAACAAAGGGATTTAACTCCTAAATGGCAGAGGATTGAGCAGTGAATCTGCAGAGGCATGTTCTATACACCAAAACTGCTTCATCGTCCCTTTAAGTACATTGTAACAAAACCTCAGTTAGTTTGGAGGAGGGAAGGAGCAGTATATTAATTTGGAGGAGGGAGTGGGGCAGTATATTAGACAGCGTATTAAATTAGAGTGGGGCAGTATATTAGATTAAGGAGCAGTGTATTAGGTTGATGCAGGGAGCAGTGTATTAGAGTGGGAGGAGGGCAATGTGTTAAATTGGGGGAAGGAAGGGGCAGTGTATTAAATTGGGGGGTAGGGCAGTGTATTAAATTAAAGTGGTGGGAGAGGGGGAAGTGTATTAGATTAAGGGGCAGTGTATTAGATTGATGTAGGGAGCAAAGTATTAGAGTGGGAGGGGGCAATGTATTAAATTGGGGGATGGAGGGGGCAGTGTATTAAATTAGGGGGTTGGGCAGTGTATTAGATTAAGGGGCAGTGTATTAGATTGGGGGGAGTGTATCAGATTGGAGGGCAGTGTATTACATTGGGGGGCAGTGAATTAGATTGGTGAGGCTGTGTATTAGATTGGGGTGATGTATGGGGCAGTGTTTTGGATTTGGGGGCAGTGTATTGGATTTTGTGGCAGTGTATTAGATGGGGCAGTGTATTAGAACGTGGGGAGGGGGCAGTGTGTTAAATTGGGTCTGCATCAGGGATGTACCAAGAGCAATTGGCACCTGGGGCAGATCCTGTGTTTGGCACTCTCCCCTCCCCCTTAAAATTTAAAAAACACCCACAATATATTTAATGTTTAATGTTTTCATTTAAAAAAATTGCATAAATGTGTAAATTTTTATAAAATCATGTCCTGTGCCCTTCTACAAAACCCCTCTCTTGCCCGCCGTTCTACAAAACGCATGTCCTACCCCCATTCTATAAAAAAAACCTTCACCCCCTTCCACAAATCCCCTGCTCAGCCCCCTTAAACAAAATCCCTGCCCCCCTTCTATAAACTCCTGCACCACCCTTCCCCAAAAAACCTGCCTGTTCCTCAAAAGCCCCTGCTCAGCCCCTTACAATATAATTAATTTTTACACAAAAATAATAGCAACAGTCTTTAGAGTCCAGTCCCAGGCACATAATCACTCACACACAGTCACACAAAAAGTTACAGACAGTCACACACAGTTACAGGCAGACAGTCACACACAGTTACAGGCAGACAGACAGACACACACACACACACACACACACACACACAGTTACAGGCAGGCACACACACACACACACACTCACTCACTCACAGGCAGATAGTCACACACACACAGTTACAGGCAGCATCCCCCAATCACAGGCAGACAGTCACACACACAGGCAGACAGTCACACACACACACACATAGTTACATGCAAACAGTCACAAGCAGGCACTCACACACAGAGTTACAGACAGGCAGTCACACACACACACACACACACATACACACACACAAACACAGTCCTTCCGCACTGTGTGTATAGCAAGGAGAATGAAAAGATATATTTGGGGGGAAAGAGGGCTTAATTGCAAGACAAATGTGGCCACCAAATTGATGGAGGGGATTAATTGGAAGGGGAATGTGCCAATGTAAATTTAGAAGGGAAATGCTTATTTGGCATACAAATGTGGCAAATTTTAATTTTGGCAGGGAGAGGGTTAATCGTCAGGGAAATGTATCAGTCTAATTTGTATATGGAGAGGGTTAATTGCCATGCACCAAGGCCCTCTGTTCATTAGTTCCACTGCTGGTTTTCAGGTATTTTTTTTATCAAATGCTATTGAGCAGTCAAAAAACAAAGCTCTCTCTCAACCAAGACCTTGGCTTCTCTGCAGCCATAATGCGGAGGGTACACTTCTACAATGTAAGCCTGTCATTGCCGTTCAAGGTCGATGGCTTTGGGTGGATAATAGAGAAGTTATCGGTGGTGGCTCTGTAGCGTTTAGATGCCTATTTCAGAATTCACATTTCAAATAAATGCTGATAAATAGTTTTATGGGGCTCTAAATTGTCATCAATGATTACTCTAGGGAAGGAAGCCCTGCAGGTAAAATGTTAATAATGATGATATAAAAACGCATGATAGACTGCTAGCTTTACAGAAATATATCAATGTGTACGTTATGTTCCTTAACTTGGCTAAAGTTTAAAAAATGAACTTTCAATTATCTGAAATTTTTAGCATTGAATAAAACATTGACATTCACTAATAACTTGTATTAACTATTATCATGTGATATTTATTTTTATTTTATTTTTATATCAAATATTTAGAAATGGACACCAGGTACAGTCCGGGCAATGCCAGGGCACGCATTGTTTAATTTCTAATGTGATAACTAGAAAAGCAATTAAAGAGAGCGCAAAAAAAAATAGCAATAAACAAAAAAGTAAATAACTACAAATGCCAGTATATATGAAAACAAATAAAACGACTGCTAAAACACATAAAAAAAACTTTCCCAAGTTTCAAGTCGAAATTGCAAACCACAGTGTCAGCGCTTAGCGAACATTCCCCTGTGAGATATTCTCCGGGGTATCACAACAAACTTGTACAGTCCGACTTCCATAAATGGGTATCAGTATAGAAATCTATGCATCAACACTGTTTCATTTCTACTCTGCATATGCTGACTGCAAACTTAGACCATGATTGCCAGGGTGGTAAGATGGAGGCGCCCAGTTGCAGGAAAGAGATGTAGATTTCTTCTTTTAAGGGAACACTATAGTCACCAGAACAACTACAGCTTAATGTGAGTATAATCATTCCCTGCAGGCATTTTTATATAAACACTGCCTTTTCACAGAAAAGGCAGTGTTGACATGATGGCCACTGGAGGTGCTTCCTGGGGCACTGGCGCATGGATACACTGAATGCTTCTCATAGAGATACATTGATTCAATACATCTCTATAAGGAGGTTCTGATTGGCCAAACCTGCGATGGACCTCGCCCCCGTCTGGCCTCCATGCCAATTTCAGCCAATCCTATGCTTTACCTATGGGAAAGCATTGGATTGGCTGAAATAATAAATTCTGATGATGTTAGCAAGGAGGTGGATTGGAGGGATGGATATAAGGTAAGATTTATTACCCTTTAAGGGAGATAATAGAGGGCAAGCCACCTAAATGGTGGTTTTAACACAAGAGGGTCAGGAAATTTTTATTTTTCATACCTCACAAACACAATCTTGTTAACTATAGGGAATAGGTAAACAGTTTTAAAAATCAAGAAAAGTGACAAATTCCCTTTAATCACGTGCTTGTTTTCACAAGACTTAAAACGTATAGAAACCACTTCACCCATACTACCATTACAACATTAATTAAAATATAGAGGAAAATTTGTCAATTTTTTTAGTCTGATAGACTTCCCGTGTGGTCTCAATGTTTGTCCTGTGACCTGCTCAGACCTCCATGGGGTGTCCCGTTATGTGAAGGAAATCACTAGGTTAATGCATGTTTCTTCATATAATTTAAACCATCACAAGAGAACACCAACTTACTTCTTCATGTTTTCAATGAGTACTATAAGAGAAAATGAAAGTGCGACAGAATTCCAAGTTGGGTGGAGTAAGAAATGATGCGTCCTCCATATGTATAAAATTACAATGAGTTTTTAAAGCAATAAGCCTAAAACATTTTATCAAGATTTATCAGGTTCTAGTCACTAAACTAGGAAATGGAAGATTGGGGCACAATATTGTTTATATTTTATGATAAAGTGTATTTTAACCCCCTCAGAGCGTGAGGACTTCCCATGCCTTCCTGCACAGAGTGGCTGCTCTCACCAGGGAATCCCCTGTATAAATAGATAGATATCAATATGTCTATTGCTGCAATGTGGTGCGAGCAAGGTTAAATCCCTGTTCACACCAAGTAGTCTTAGGTATCAGTCAATGTCAATGTGGGCCACATTTTCTGGCCCAAGGTTGGCTGATAAGCTGTATGCTCTGTAAGCCATTTAAATCCCGCTCAGCAGCATTGCTTCTGGGCAGGCAGGTACTAAAGGGAGACAAATGTCGGGACAAACCGACGATCACAGTGTAATAGGCATGAATGATTTCCATCATTACAGGTATCTGCCTGTAGTACTGAAAACAGCCAGTAGATGGTGGTAACATACCACTCTACTTTTATTACTACCCACTTTTATTACTACCCACACTACTTTTATTCTACCCACCATGACCACCTTAGTGATTTAAAGTGGTCATGGTGGTAGAGGTCTACATGTGCAGTGTTTCTGCTTGAAACACTGCACATCGAGAGATATTTGCACTTTTATCCTGAGGGCTAGTTGCATCCCCATTACACAATTCTGTTCCAAGCTTCATAATATCAATTCTGTGCAAAAATTACGTCTGTCGTCTGAGCACTGACAATCGATGCAATGAACTTCATTCTTGTAGGTAGCAGCCTGCAAGAAGTGCTCTCACCTCCTTCCACAGGTGAAATTGCTAAAAAAACAAAACAAAAAAACTCCTTCCTCCCTCCCCTTATCAGCTGAGAGCGCGCGGATGTGCTCTGAGTGAACGAAATCATCCAATAAAATGCTTCTCTATGAGAGGCATCAGAGTGGGCCTCGTAGCAGCTCCGGTGACACCAGTCAGGGAGTGGAGAGCAATGTCCGGAGCTTTGCCCAGTATCGGATTACAGTTAAGTTTAAAACATGTTTTGGCACTTTTTAAAATGGCGACCTAGCCAGCAATACCCAAAAGGGTATAGTAAGTTAAAAAGAGATATGTCTTAAAACCCCTTTAACTTGATGAGGGCAGCACAATGGCCACCCTATTGTCACACACCATGTTCATGGGATTTCGATACTAATTAGGAGTGAACGCAGAGGGAAAAATGGCTTTCTTCCTATTTCCACACTCCTAAGTGTGCCAGGGCGACTGGGAGATGAGTTGAGCCCTCTTTGCTCCCCTCATAATATATGCAAGTACCTTCTTAGACTGGCAGGAGAATTACACTGGAATAGTGCCAACAGATACCAGTGTTCTTATTTACTGCCCTCTAAAATTGTCATGCATTTAAAAAAAAAAAAGATATTTCTAAATACACAATGCAATGAAGAAATGAGTTACCCCCAAAACAACAATAACCCTCTCATTTAAAGACTGAACTTCACACAGGGGGGTTGTAATATTCTGCTGAAGCTGTGAACCAATGATTGGCTGGGCTCTCAAGCCAATCACATCACCATACTTATTTCTGTTCACCTGCAGTTGTCTAATATCTATTTGGAACATCAGTTTGAAACTTAAAAAAAGGAAAACTGTAATGGACAAATATAAATGGACAAGTTTGGAGGCAATTTGGCACCTGATGCCTTTATTTCTACATTTTGCCAGAGGTTGTGACATATTGTACTATTTTTTTTCTTTTTTTTTTAGCAGAAACTAAATTCAGTGTTACCCACCAAACATGCATCAGACTTTTCTTTGAAAAATATCCTTATTACCGGTTATGTGTTAAATTGATATATATTGTATAATTATTCTATTTATTTTTTTGTAATATTATATTGTACCCTAATGTAACAATGCAGTGTCATAATCTAATATTATTTACAGAAATCTGCAATCGGGAGTCAAATTTGAAGCTCAGTAAATCACCTGCCAAATTATTGATATATATTTTTTTTAAGTTTATAAATTACTAGAAAATACACATTTAAAAAAAAATAGAACAATCTTTCTATTCATTCTGAAACAAACTACTAGCAGCCTATTCATGATTATAGCTAATGGGTTTGTGAGGAAAAAAAAATATTTACAAAGATCAAATTTCACATTCTGAAGCTTGTTCTCTGTTACACATAATAATCTGTTAGAAACAAATACAAGACTATCTGAGCTATCAGGAAAGTTACTGACAATGTAAATTTACACAGAAACCCATAACAGGGGAGCAGTATCTTAAATAGAGAGAGAAAGCCACTTACCTGCTTCTGGGATGGTCTGTCCTATTGCCACCAGGAACAGGGAGTGCAGATAAAGTGCTAGACAGACAATCATAGCAACAAGACATAGGTAGGTTTCCTATTTGTAGAACCAACACTTGTTTAACACAGGCATACTAATTATCGGGGTCATCAGAGTCTTCTCATTAGTGTCATCCTGGGGGGGGGGAAGGTCTGTGGAGGGGAATTGCTTAGACAAGACAGTTCTCTAAAACTTGTCCTCAAGGCTAACACCCTCTTCTCCCCTGGAGGCAGAGCTAGGATGGGTTGCAAAACACAGTTCTTCTGCAAACTTTTCAGAGATCCCAGGTTTAACCATGTGAGGCTTGGATTGTGCTCCTAACTTGCAGATCATAGAATGCCCTGTTACAGTAACAAGCAGAGAACTCATCCAACAGTTTGTATTCTTGCCCCATGTGTGTGGAAGTAAGCATAGATTGAAAAGGCTAAATCACTTGCTGTACACATTAGATTCTTTTACACACCCTCTGTGGACTCAGTCACTAGGGAGGGTAAGATTCCCTCCAGGTCCTACTGCTCTCTAGTTAAGAATTAATTTGTGTCTTAGTCATACAGTGATTTGGGAATCCAAACTGCAGCAGTTGTATAAATATGTACAAACATGCAAAAATCTCAAGCCAAGCAAGTCAAAATAATCCCATCAATATATTTTTCCTTTTGCAGTCGAAGCAGAAATTAAAAAATTCTTCAATTGAAGATCTTCAACAGGGTAACAACTGAGACTTTATTCTAAGAGATCAGTATCTCACACTTTAGAAATCAGATAATGCTTTCAATCCCTGAATAGTACAAGTTCCTGCAGAACCTCTTGGACAGAAAACTTGTAATGAATGGATGCATAAAATTAGCAAAACAGTTTCTATAAAACAGGAGTGTATGATCCTACCCCCTGCGTTTCGCAGGATTTTATACCAGCCATAGTCCATCGACTTGTTCAGTGCTTCCTACTTATAATTTTAGAGATGAACAGGAACTTTCAAATTTTTTGATCAAAACAGCAAAACTGGTCAAAAATCTTTAATCCTGCTGGTTCTCCAGCTCTGAACTTTTGAGTTTAAAATGTGAAATTCAATCCTGGTTTAATGAACAACTCTGAACATCTAACCTTATCTTAACAGCAAAAATTGGACATCCCTGTGCTAAAGTATATATTTGGACTAATTTAACATTCCACTTTTTGCAGTCCCTCTTCTATGACTGTACTCACCCCATTTCACTCTGAAAGGTAATGACAAAACATATTCATCTTGTTAATTGCTCTGTGTCTTCTCTGGAAGCACTACCTGCATAGTCACTGCAAATTGTCCAAAATAAATTGACCATAACCTGCATCTCATCCTAAATGTAAAATTTATAAAGATTGTAACTTATGATGAATGAAAGTGTATTGCTTCTATTAATGTCATCTTACCCCTTAACAATCACCCTTTCTTTTTTGTACCCCCTGAAAACAATAAAAATTGTCAAATTGAAAAAAAATTAATGTTTTCCATTGTATAATTTTCTCCCTTGTTGTACATTGGTACAGAACATATTTTCCACCTCATCTGCAAAGTCTACATATAATTTAAAAAAAAATAAAAAACAACCCGGAGTAAAATAAGTGAAACTTCAAATTGAATTCAAATTGAATTTGAGACCAGAGTAACTGAACTAAGAGTATAACTGACTTCGAGAATTGTTCAATTTCGGCTATTTTGATCTCAAGTTAGCAATTCACTTCAAATTCACCTTGAATTCTCACTGCAGTGAATAACCCTGTTTCCATCATGAACTGGAGAGCAAAAAGGAAGGCAGTAATATAATTAGCTGATTTAATGAAACCACGGAGCAACGCAGGGAGGAGTGGGCCTTGACAGAGCCAGGAGTAGGCAGGGTGAAGTTCAGGTCAAGAGGATGTACTGTGATTGTGCTGGGGGGCGTGGGTTAGAAGGGAAGGTTAAATAGCGGCCATTTTAGGGTAAGTTCATTCTAACTTGAGCCTTTCTTACCTGTAAATTGTTGCAGGTCAGTTGGGCTCCTCTTTTCTTCTTTTCCAGGCGCAGCATGGCGTCCTTGGAAGAACTTCTGTCGGGTGTGCGGTCCGTGGTGAAGGAGAAAGGAATGGCGTGGCTTCAGGAGCAGCTGGGGGTTCCGAGCACGTCTGCTCCCCCCCATGCGGTGCCGGACCGGAGGCCGGAGAGGAGAGCTAGGCCGCCCCAGCGGCTTAGTCCTGGAGCGGGTCCTGCAGCCAGACGGAGGAGGAGCTCGGCGGGAAGCAGTGCGGCGGCCGGAAAGCAAGGACGTGGAGCGGGTCGTCGGCCGGGACCGCCAGCTAAGCGCAATGCCGGGGCGGTGAGGTTGCAGGCCAGGAGGAGGCCTCCCTTGAAAAGCGCCCCCTGCCGGATGGCGGCGGGCGGGCAGGCGGAGCTGACAGCTGGTGCTGGAATGGAGCAGGACGGAGAGGATTCGGCTGCAAGACCCAGGAGCAGCCCTGGACGTCCCGGTGAGTCGCCCCCTGGGGGCAGCACTGTGGGGCAGGAGGGATTGAGAGGGGCTGGCAGTGGCAGGACAGCGGTCTCACAGGTTGGGGAGAGGGACCAGGTCGGCAGGGCGCAGCAGGAGGCGGCTGGAGTTGGAGGCAGGAAGGATGGCGCTGCGGATTCAAGGGACCAGAGGAGCATGGCCAGGAGCTTGGGAAGAAGGGGAGACGGGCACAGCATCAGTAAGTCAGGGGGCTCAGGAGAAAGGAGGAGTGGCAGTATGGAGCGGAGTGGCAGCAGGCGGGTGACTGGCCAGGAGGACGGCGGCACCCAGGACAGCGGTGGGCGGGAGGCCTTTAGGGGTCGATCGCAGGAACGGCTCGATAGGAGGAGCGCCAGCAGAGGGAATGGCGGAGGACGGCAGCGCGGAAGGGCAGAATGGCGGGACAGCAGGTCAGGGTCTGCAGGCAGAAGGAGACATGGGAACGGGAGCCCAGCGGGGAACCGGAGCAATAGGAGGAGGTCCGCTTCTCAGGACAGGTGGCTGCGGCGCCGGCGCAGTGAGTCAGGGTCGTCTGAGAGGAACTACGCGGTGCGGAGGAGGAGAAGTAGCGAGCGGGAGGGACGATGCAGGCGTGGGAGTGGTGAGGACGGGTCTGATCACGGGAATGAAGGGCGGGTGAGGCTGCAGTCGGACAGATCACCCAGGCTGTATTCTCCTTGCAGGTCGTTGAGTAGGGCGCCCACGAGAGCAACACACGAACAGGCGGGCAGGAGTCGGCGTCCCCTGGTTCCTTCTGGGTCAGCTGTCGTGGTGGAAAAGGTGGCGCCCCCGCGGCCAGCAGCGGCCGGGGGCTTGAGCGGTGAGTCTCCAACTGCATCACACTCAGGAAGCTTACTTGGATGTTTAAGATCTCTGTTAGATTCATGGTCTGGGGACGGGGGGTCTCCGACACAGTTTGAGAAAGTGTGGGTTGCGGACGGCGGTCGGGCAACAGGGGTGAAGGACGCAGCGTCAGCGGAGCCGAAGGGGGGTGAGGGCACCGCAGGGACGGGTCAAGGAGCGACGTGTGACGTGGGTGAGCATGTCGTTCTCGGCGGGGAAGTAACGGATGCGGCGCGGCAAAACGTGCATGTGTCTTTTGCGGGACCGCTGGGGTGCCACTTAAAGGTGGAAGTTAAGGATAAAATTTGGAAAGGGGAATTCGTGGAAATATTTTCCCTGCTTCCCCTGGAGGAGTTTTTAGATTTGAAAGAAGAGGATAAAAAGGATGCGAAAAAGGAAGAGGAGGAAAAGAAGCGGAGGTATCGGAAGATACCCAAGTCTTTTGGGAACTGGTTGAGGGCTTTTTGTATCTTGGCGAGCGTGATCGGGGAAAAATACCCGGATCGCTGTTCGCAGCTTTTTTGTTATTTAGACGGGATAGGGGACGCATATCGGACTTATGGGGGTTTAGCATGGTGGAAATATGACGAACAGTTTCGTCAGCGATTGGCGGCAAACCCGTCCATGCGGTGGGACCAGATGGACTTGCCTTTGTGGATGAGGCTGATGATGGCACAGAAAAGTGCCCCCTTTCTCGGAGCGGCCGGCACGGACTCAGGTACCGTGTCGGCAGGTCAGAAGAAGGGTTTCTGCTGGCTCTACAATGAGGGCCAATGCAAGTGGGGTGCATCTTGCAGATTTAAGCACGAGTGCTCCGGTTGCGGGGGTAATCACGGAGTTTCCAGGTGCTTCCGAAAAGGTAAGCCAAACTTGGGAGGAAGGGTTGTCGGCGCATCAACAGCTGCGGCTGCAGCTGGGAGCGTCGCCGGTGAAGGTAAGCGCGATGCTGCCTTGGTTAAAAATATACGATAATCAGGAGGCGGCAAAGTTTTTACGGCTGGGTTTTACAGAGGGTTTCAGGATTCCGTTTCAGGAGAGGGCTGCGGGTGGGTTATGTAAAAACCTTCGGTCAGTGGGGGAACATCCGAGCATAGCTCGGGAAAAGTTATGTAAGGAAGTGCAATTAGGGAGGATGGCGGGACCATTCGCTTCCCCGCCGTTGGTTGGTTTGCGTGTGTCTCCACTTGGGGTAGTCCCCAAGAAGGAGGTGGGTAAATTTCGTATGATACATCATTTATCGTACCCACAAGGTGCATCGGTTAATGATGATATCGACGAGGCCCTGTGTTCTGTTTCCTACACATCATTTGACAAGGCTGTCGAGTTGGTTAGGAGAGCGGGACAAGGGGCACTAATGGCGAAATTGGATGTGGAAGCAGCTTTCCGGCTTGTCATCACTTATTGGGGTGCTATTTCGATGGGGGGTATTTTGTGGACTTATGCTTGCCTATGGGTTGTGCCATCTCGTGTGCTTACTTCGAGAGGTTTAGCACCTTTTTGGAGTGGGTCGTACGACGGGAATCGGCTGGGGGTGCTGTGGTGCACTACCTTGACGATTTCTTATGCGTTGGCCCACCACGCACGGAGCGCTGTAGCCAAGTGTTGAGGACCTTCCAGTGGGTGGCGCACACATTTGGGGTGCCGTTAGCAGAGGACAAAACGGTGGGGCCCACTACGTGCCTCAGCTTCCTGGGATTGGAGATCGATTCGGTACGGAGGGAGTGCAGGTTGCCCGGGGACAAACTACATGCCCTTCAGCGGCTAGTGGACACGATTGGTAAGGCGAGGAAGGTCACCTTGTGTGAACTTCAATCGTTGATAGGGAGCCTGAATTTTGCGTGCCGAGTGATCCCTATGGGGAGGGTCTTTTGCAGACGATTGGCGCGGGCGACAAGCGGGGTGAGAAAACCGTCGCATTATATCAGGGTGTCAGTGGACATGAGAGAGGATTTGGAGGTATGGGCGAGGTTTTTGAGGGAGTTTAACGGGAGAGTGTTTTTTCGCGAGACGTTGGGATCCTCCACAGCCGTGGGTTTGTTTACGGATGCATCAGGCAGCATCGGATTTGGGGCGTACCTAGCGGGTAAATGGTGCGCGGAGGGGTGGCCGGAGGCATGGAAAGCGAGCCCCTTGATTAGGAACTTGGCCTTTTTGGAGTTTTTCCCGGTTGTTGTGGCAGTGGCGTTATGGGGTCCGGAGTTAGCCAATAAGAGGGTGGTGTTCAATTCGGATAACATGGCAGTGGTGCAGGCTATCAACGGATTATCGGCTTCTTCATGGCCAGTAGT